AATAAAATTAGTTTAGTAGTCTATACTAATATTATAAAGAGGTAAAGTTTGTGATCTTGTGAGTTTGTGAGTTTGTGGGTTTGTGAGTTTGTGAGTTTGTGAACTTGTAGGGGGTAATCTCAGGATCTACTGAACCGATTTACAAAACTTTTTTACCAATAGAAAGCCACGTTCTTTCTGAGTGTCATAGGCTATATATTAACCCGAAAAATGAAAAGGATTTTTCGTGGTAGTCGGATTTGCAAAGTAAGTCGGAGAAAAAACGGTCGAACGAAAACGTTTCTTACGAACGCTGCCTTAACGATGAGAGATATATGATTATGTTCTAGAGAAAAGTTGTAGAGCTTAATAATGCCTACAAAAAAGTCCGCGAGAGCATATGTCTAACTTTTATATTTAAGTCACAAAAAGTCGTTTTTTATATTACAAAAATAAATTAAATCGGTAGGTCATGTTTATTGGTCATATTATCAACAATTATGAATTCTTATCAAAATAAGTAAATTTATCGTCTAAAATATTTAAAACAAAAGACTTTTCCCTTTTACTGCATATAATTTGGACAAATGGTTAAAGAGATAATACAACATATTCGTAGGTATGGACGAACCCGAGCCAGCTGTTTGTCTGTTTTTCTGTTTGTACGGGCTAATCTCCGATTCTATTGGACCGATTTAAATGAAATTTTGCATGGTGGTACCTTATATCCCCGTGCAACATCTTAGATACTTTTCATCCCGGAAAATTAAAGAGTTCCCGTGGGATAGTTAAAAAACTATAACAATTTATACAGCTTAGTACACAAAAACTACTGATTGGATTTTAATGAAACTTTACAATAATATAGTTCATACATGACAAAAACAAATCAGCTACTTTTCATCCCGAAAAATTAAAGAGTTTTCGTGGGATAGTTAAAAACTATAGTAACTTATACAGCTTAGTACACTACAACTTATTCACCTAATTTAGTGAAATTTGGCATGCTGATACCTTATATTGCCGGTCAAACAACAGGTTACTTTTCATCCCGGAAAAATGAACGGTTCCCGTGGGATAGATCTGTTTGTGCTTTTCTAGAGGTGAACCCGAGCGAAGCGAGGGTGAGCCGCTAGTAATTAATAAAATGAATCTGAATCAGAAATCTGTTCAGAGAATTGGAAGTATTTTAGCTGGCGGGACGATTGGGGATACACAAGTTTACACTAGAAAATTAACTTTTCATTAGAAACAAAAATATTATTACCTAGTAGGTACCTGCACCTATAAAATAAGTTGTATAGTAAGTATATGTACTAATATTGGGTCGTGACTCCGCTTGCGTGTAGGTATAGCGACAAAAACTAGCGTTACTGCCAATTTAACTATCTCCATTACCAACAAATCTATTGAACTATTGCTGCGTTAAAAGTAACAAACACACAGTCACTCGAATTTATAATAGTGTGTGAGATTTATAGTTATGACTTATGAGTAAAATTAGCATTAGCTCTGTGCACAGGTTAAAAACTCAACGACGAAATGATTCTAGACTCAATGTACACATTTTTATATATTATTGGTACGTCTAATGAGCATTTTATGTAAATGTCGTAATATGCTAAGGTTTTATACATTTACAATATTATAAAACATTATAATATAATATAACTAAAATAAATATATATATATAACTAAAATTAAATAAATAAATATATTATAAAAATAATACACGTTTCATCCTTACCGCGTAATATAATATGTACATTGTACACACTCGTACCTACGATTATGTATGTCTCCGACTGCATAATACTATATTCCTTTGTGAACTTGTTTTCATCTTTTTAGTTAGCTTTTATGCAGTCGGGTTTTTTTTTTATTTTATAATAATATATTAATTTATTTACAGCTTTTTAAGTATTTTAAGTAGGAAAATTAGCGAGAATGTTTGTTAACCAACTTTAAATCATTATATATCCTAAACTGTTATTTAAATAGAAAAATGATGAAAGAAACCTGAAAATGACTTTTAAATACCTATTCAATAATACCCCACTTGACATAGTTCGTCAATTTAATTTTTTTCTTTTTCACTTTCACATTATAGAATCTAGCAGCCCCCATATTTATTAATTTTTTATTTCACCTATCTAAGAACACTTGGACTAATGAGACGAATCTAACGATACTTTAATTAAAGAAATCCATCGAGTGGTTTGGTAGTTATGAGGGAATAAAGAATATTACAAACAAAGATATATACAAAGATAGGCGTGAAAAAGATAACCCTTCCCTTGCAGTCGGGTAAAAAATAATGATTATTTGTTCATGCAATCATATTATTATTTTGTATCTATTTATTAATAATATTATTATTATTATTAATTACATTGTTTGTGCCTATTACATCACGGTCTGTTTTAGTGTGCATAAAGGACACGTGTGGATCTTTCTATAAGTTAAAATAGTGCAGTGAATAAGCCCGATCACCGAGTGGTGAGCGCTCTTTAGATCGCGCACACCGATGTATCCTTCGCTAAGTCTTATTATCTTTTTTGTTGTTTTGCACACCTCCCGTTACTTGCTCGTATTAGTCATGTTGTCTAAATGTGGTTCATTTTAACTCTCATGTTTCTATTTGCTTCCATTTAATTACCTTTTAGTTTTATTTACTAAATATGTGTTTACCTATATCTACCTACCTATTTTTAACTTTAATTACTAAAAAATTGAATTGGGCAAATGTAATCAATAAATAGTAAACTACAAACGCTTTAAAATATAAAAATTAAACTTTTAAAATTGGTTTAATTAATTTCTCATATCTTTTTATTTCATTCCAAATAATTCAAATTTGATCATTTATAATATTATATTGTTATATTTCATAAGTGCATGTCTTCTTACATGCATTTTGCAAATAAAATTTAATATTATCAATAATTATAATAGGCAGATAAGGTGGATACTCAAGATCAGACCATTTTATTATCATTATCGTCCTATTGCGATGCGTCAGCGAGCGAATCGAGCACGAATAAACCGTAGAACGATTACATTATATACCACTTGCTTATTTGATATTGTTTTCAATAATATTATGCGTTGTATTCATTGTAAATATTTGTACCTGTTGAAAGTTATTTCATACCAGTAAGTTGCGATGATATTTGTAATCACTTAACAGTGTACAAGTTACGTATTTGTATTGTAATTTGTATAAAACAAACCGCTAGATCATGTAATTTTCAACCGACTTCCTCAAAAAGGAGGAGATTCTCAATTCGGCTATTTTTTTTTGTTTGTTACGTCCGTCATTTATTAACCGATTTGGACAATTTTTGTTGTGTTTGAAAGTGGTCTTCCAGATTGGTCCCATTTAAATGCCACCCATAAGAGTGGAAAAATAGCTAATAATAATTTTACCTACTTCTAATTGTCATATTGACTTGAAACTTTGCAAGTGTTTCTATTTCCTTTGATAGTGCAGCGGTTTGGTATCGTTGACCTGATCTGATGGTAAGGCCAGAAGGTGGATAGGTTTAACGGCTAATAGTAGATACTTTGAGTTTGGGGCTTATTTTGTTTGATATGACAAGCCTAACGAAAGTTAGAATTGGATTTTAGAGCCAGAGTTTTTAGGGTTACTAATAAAAGCGAATTTTAGTTTATAAGTCTTCGTATAAAAATTGGCGTCGAAGTAACTTAAAACGGTTTAAGCGAATATTTTATTAAAATACTTTCTTCTTACTTTGCTACTACTATGTCTACACTAAAAAGGGAAAAATGAAACTTTTTAACAAAAAAATAAAAACCGATTTCAAAAAAGCAGTAAAAAGTTAAAAATAACCGGTAGTTTTCATTAACTATACATACCTAATCAATTATTTTCGAAGTCGGTGCCAACTGCCAGCCGATACAAAGCCTTTAGCCTTGAGCTTTCCTCAATAAACGGGCTATCAATGCAAAAAGATTTTTTTTTTAAATCGGATTAGTAGTTTCTGAGATTAGCGCGTTCAAACAAACTGTCTCTTTATAATATTAGGTATAGAGGAAGAAAGAATTATTCATAATAGGGAAATAACTATTTTGTCAACAAATTATGATATTAAATATTAAAACAGATATCTATACATTATAATAAAATTGTAACTAAGCTGAATCTGTACATTAAATATTTTTTGGAAAATCTGATCGAAATAGACATTTTTATCGATACAGAGGCCGAATCTATATAGAATATAGAATAGAATATATCTTTATTGACACAATTGTTTGTTGTTACATAAGCCTGTTGAAGCCTCTGACTCCCAAACTAGAATAAACCTGTATGTCAGGAGTCAGCGCCCTCTTCCATCTTTAATGATAATTGGAGGTCAATAATATTACGGTGCATGTTTAACTTAATTTTAGAAATTCTTTGTGAAAGAAGAAAATAAAATAAAAAGTAAAATAAAAATTAACTATAGTTTTTAGAATTTTTGTCTGCCCGTCTGTTACCGCATCACGGAAAAACCACTGGAGGGATTTTGATGAAATTTGGTATGGTGATAGCTAGTTATTCGGGTCAACATATAGGATACTTTTTACCGCGGGAAAATATCTCATTTCTGAGAAAAAATACAAAAACTGCAATGAAAGAGTATACTAATATGTAAATCCTAAGAATTTGGTTTTTGGTCATCTGAACGCGGGCAGAGCCGCGGGCAATGCTAGTTATAAATATATACCTATTATCCGCCGAAATAGTTAAATATTAATTATATATCGAATAAAACAAAATGAAAAAAGGTCTGGAAATGTAGTATTTTGTCACGTGTTTTTGAGAAATTTAAACCCCTTTAAGGAAATAATTGAAAATTTCAGCCTCCCCGGAACTCTGAAGACATGTTAAACATTATATTTTTTTACTGCATACTTAAAATATTTTGATACATGACTTCTTGCGTTTTTCCATTAATTATATCTGGTCTTAGATATTTACATATAAATAAATATGTGTTTTTGTTTGATTACAGGGAACTGGTAGCCTTTGTGGCTACTCTGTGCTTGTATAAGGCTGTCCACGCGCAGCCCGCTCATTGTGAGTTTGATGTCCAATGCCAAAACAATTACTACTGTGTGCCCGATGCCTTCGTATGCCGAAGATGTCTCGAATGTGAACAGCTAAAACGAGATCCACCACACGCACCTTCTTCATGTGTTAAGTCTGTGGCCGAGTGTGGATCGTGTATTAAAGGGTTAGTAATTTTGTATGTACCTAATATTTCTATCTAAAAATAGTCAGGATAAAGGATGCAAAATTAGTAAAACAAGCGAACAATAATTTAATTAATAAAATTTTATCATCAAGTAAATAGTTATCCTTTTAGGCATTTGATAAGATATCACTTGATGTATATTTGTATTAATTTAATTTGTTATAACACTTAAGGATATTATATTAATTTTTTTTAGATTGTAGTGTAAATTAATGATTTTTTTGCTTTACAGGCTGGTAGAAGATAGAAGCGACGTCAGTGCAGAATGCGTGTCCCCATCAGTCGACTACAGCAACACCACAACGTGGGTGGTGGTCGGCTTGGTTATAGTATTCGTGGTGGTTGTTATCGTCATCGGCGTATATCTTGTCCGTAACATAGACCCAAAAATATGTAAGTAATCAATCAACTATTTATATCTTTCATCTTTCAATGCTTTGCGGTTTTTAAAAATGTAAAATTGCAAACTCAGTGTTAATTATATTATGAATTAATTCCACATATTAATTTAATTCTTTAGTTAATGATATAACCGATTGCCTGTGATTTTAAGAGAAATGTAAAATTTAAGGGTTGTCAAAAATACCTAGCTATATTTTCATAGCAAACGGCAAAAGATTTCAAAATTAAAGCACTGTAATGTCATCACGTGATATTACTTATCACGAACTTACATTTTACATTACAATTAGACCCATCAACTCAGCCGTTTCTCAACTGACACTCAGGTGCACCTCACTCGTCACCTATCTAATGTCTAGACTTCGTTAGAAGGCTTAGGGTTAGTGTTAGTATACTGTTTATGTTGTTTAGTACTTAGTGTTAGTATACTGTTTATGTTGTTTAGTACTTAGTGTTAGTATACTGTTTATGTTGCTGTGTTGCTACAGTTAAAACTCTTCCAGCGGCGTCCACATCGCTGCAGCGCGCATTCAACATCGGCACACGGGCGCCGCGCGGCGCGCCGCCGAGCGCGCCCGCCGGCCCGCCGCCGCCCTACTACGAGGCCCCGAGCGCCGCGGCCGCCAGCCCGCCGCCCGACAACCCTGCCTACCTCATAGACTATGAGCCCCACAGCGGTGAAGGTACCCTTTCCATTTTGTCCACAAATAATTTGTGAACAAATAATTACAACTTCATCTTTATATCGAATTGCCCGCGGCTCCGCCCGCGTTCAGATGACCAAAAAGCAAATTCTTAAGTTTTACATATTAGTATACTCTTACAATGCAGTTTTTGTATTTTTTATCAGAAATGAGATATTTTCCCGCGGTAAAAAGTATCCTATATGTTGACCGGATAACCAGCTATCACCATACCAAATTTCATAAAAATCTCTCCAGTGGATTTGCCGTGATGCGGTAACAGACAGACAGACAGATAGACAGACACAAAAATTCTAAAAACTATAGATTCGGCCTCTGTATCGATAATAATGTCTATTTCAATAAGATTTTCCAAAAAATATCTAATGTACAGATTCAGCTTAGTCACAATTTTATTATATGTATAGATTTGTACTGAATTTAGTACACAAGTTCTTAATACAATTTTCATTATGATCTCATAAGGCTGACTTCTTTATAAGTTGATTCAGCAAAAACTTACAATTATCACTTTTGAGGTGATTGATGATGAAAAAAAATAAGCTTTTTTATTTCAAAATAAATTACTTAGGTACATATTTTACCTAGATAAAGAAAAACAAATTACAAAAGAAAAAAAAAGAAAAAAAATTACTCATATTTCGTAAAATGTTAAGTAAAGTTTATAAAGATAACAATTTTCCAGGAATAAGTTGATAGTTACGATAATTTTTTTTAATGAAATGCAAAAACAAACAATTGCCGCGTAAAAGATGACGCACGCGGTGCAAGGTGACCTATTGGTCTAATTAAATACAGTGCCACTGCGGTCAGTACCCACATCCCATGCTTAATAGATGTGTTGATTCAACTTAATCCTTGAATTCTAAATATTTATAAAAATGTGACTTATTAGTTAGAACTTGGAATTCTTTTGTTATGCAAATGCTTGATATATAGCAGTATCTATCAGTATATAAACAATATGTATGTACGTGGATATCGTGTTTAACCGATAAAGTAAATTAATATTGTTTAGTTACGTAGTGAACACCGACCTTGCTTGATAAATATTATGAGTAGGTACTACATACATATGTAGGTAGGTATATATATATATATATATATATATATATATATATATATATATATATATAAATGTAAGTAATTAACACTAAGGACACGAATATTGTTAAACACAAATGGTTGATGCATAATTACTAATTAGGTTTCTCATAATTCAATAAAATGTCAAGATTGTTATTGGCAAACCTAAATCCATTGGGGGGACGTCCTTGACATAAATCTATCTATCTATATAGATAAAAATGAATCACCAAAATGTATGTACACGCATAACTTCCGATCGACTGCACCAAATTGGATAATTCTTTTTTTTTGTGTTTGTTATTGCCTTTTTTTTAACGTTGGGAAATGCATTTACGCACGAGATGTGGGACTCACCGGCAAAGCCAGTACTACTCACTAAAACCCAACAAAACCTTCCCCCGTCTTAATGGGGCGTCGCAGGATCGCTTACGCATTCAACTACTCGGCCCCGACGGCAGGTCTGTCGAAGCAGACCACAACGACCACGGGGTTGCTCCACAGTCCACTCTGCTATCAGAGAAGTACCAGGAGCAACCCGCATGGTACACCGCCCTCCGAAGAGGGCCACCTCCCACCGCCCACCGAAGGCAGCCATCTTCCTGTGCCGGGCACTACTGAGCCTGGACAACTTTTGTATAGAAGAAAATTAATAGGAAAAAAAAATTTTTTTGAATCTCATAATATTGAAAAGTAAGTAGTTTTTATCCCAGAAATAATTCCTTGAGGGGGTAAGAATGGGGATGAAAGTTTGTATGGGGAAACAAGCTAGGGACGAACCCGAGCGAAGCGACGATGAGTCGCTAATGGATATATATTTATATTTTGATTTATCTTAAAATGTAATTTATCTTGTAATTTTTTACATAATTTTAATTTAGTTTATTAAAAATCATTGTTAAACTGTCAATTTATCTTGTTTCCATTTAAATTATTTGTATATAAAATATCAATGATTGTAAACACCATAATTTGATTCAGTAGAAACATCAAGAGGGAAAAGAACTCTCGATTTTCGACTTAATAAGGTTTTATTTCGTAGTCGTTAAAACAACATTATAAAATGCATTTTTTGTTTAGATTCTCATCCGTTTATAAAGCGAGCTCCGTCGACGCGGCCGCCGGACGCGCGCGAGGCCGCCGGCAGCCAGGCCGCCTACATGTACAACAAGCCGCACTACGTGCGCGGACCGCACTTGCCCTCTGAGTAAGCCACACTATTATTTGTTTTACGGTGTCTCTGTCATTAGCAGACACAAATTATATGTAATACTAGCATTGCCCGCGGCTCCACCCGCGTTCAGATGACCAAAAACCAAATTCTTGGGTTTTACATATTAGTATACTCTTACATTGCAGTTTTTGTATTTTGTCTTAGAAATGAGATATTTTCCCGCAGTAAAAAGTATCTTATATGTTGACCCGGATAACCAGCTAACATCATACCAAATTTCATCAAAATCCCTCCAGTGGTTTTCTCGTGATGCGGTAACAGACAGACAGACAAATTTTTAAAAAACTATAGATTCGGACTCTGTATCGATAATAATGTGATGATGATGATGTTCTCCTGACCGATTCCGGCCACGGCGGCCAATCTCATTGAGACTAGCCAACTGCGCAGGAGATATTATAGTGCACAAGTGTACGCGCAGACACAACGTGCACTCTCTGTTCCTGTCACTCTCATACTCTGGTGGGACGACCACTCGACACGACCAGTGAGAGTTAAGGCGCAGGACCGACGGCTTTACGTGCTCTCCGAGGCACGGGGGTGAAACACCTCCAACTTCCCAACTCCGGGCTGTTACTGAGGCTTAATATACAGAAACACTCAATAACTAAACTTGGCCCGACCCGGGACTCGAACCCAGGACCTCCGGGTGTGCAGCCGTACATGCTAGCCACTACACCACCGAAGCAGTTACGATAATAATGTATGTCTATTTCAATAAGATTTTTCCAAAAATATTTAATGTACAGATTCGGCTTACAATTTTATTATATGTATAGATATATCTTGTTGTTGTATTATAACGTGTTGTACCGTGGCCCGTGGGAATGAGTTATTATATACCGCGGTAAAAGGTAGCCTTTGTCAGTACTCTCCAGCCATTCAACTGTCTACACAAAAAATCACGCCAAGCCGTCACTGTGTTTCGACGTGAAATAAGGACAAACAAAAACACTTTCACATTTATAATATTAAGTATGGATAATCTAATATTAGTATAGAACAGTAATGAATAAGGAAGTACTGAAGAGTTTTCTCTTGTCGGTTTGTCGATGTTCACGCCGGCTCGTCTTAGCAAAACTGCCTTTTGAGCTGGTGGTGGTAGATTTCCCACGGATATTATCCAACTCTTAATTTATATTTTAAAATTGTAAATATTGACGATTCAATAGTGCTTGTAAGAGTGTAAGAAATAAAGTATATTTTGATCAACTCGCGTGTGTCTCAGCGGCGAGGCGGGCGCCGGACAGGCGGCGCCGCGCGACGCCGACCGCGACGCGCTCGCGCACGACGAGGACACCATGGAGAGCACCTGGAGCCCCGACCTGAACGGCAAGTCAGTATCCCGACCATGCCCGATATATATAACTACTGCTTGGACTTGTTCAATAAATAAGATATTATTATTGTTTGTCTAATATATGAAAACATGATTACGTAACTAGAGACTAATCCTGGTTTTGCTCGGGTGCTTCGCTAGGTGCCTAATAGTACCTAGTCTATGTGTTACACCAGGTCATAGTCTGTGTACTAAATTTTATCTAAATCATATCAATACGAGTATAATAATAGTGCGATATAGTAAATTTTGTCCACAGCGACACTTATAATTCCGATGAAAGATAATCCGAAACAACCAGTGTGTGTGAATGGCTTTATGTGCTCTTCGAAGCACGGGGTTGGAACACTCCCAACTTCCCAGCCTTCGGCTGTTATAGACACTTACTGAATAGAAAGACTCAATAACTGATTTTGACCTGATCCGGAATTCGAACGCACGGCCTTTGCATTCGCAGTCGTACATGCTAGCCACTAGACCATCGAGGTAGTTAATATAACAAATATTATGTTATCAACAGCGCTGTAGGCGGCGGCGCGGATGTCGCGGGGGCCGCGGGCGGCGCGGGGGGCGCGGCGGGCGGCGGCGCGGCGGCGGCGACCTGGCCGCGCTGCTGGCGGCGGCGCGCGCGCCCGCGGCGCTGCGCTCCTGGCAGGTCAGTGCGGACCGCTTCTCTTAATCTATTTCATATTTTTGTTCAGGGTCGGCTCAAGGATCACCCAAACGAACTTGAAACTTGCAAGAAAATTCAATTAGATTATCTAAATAATTGACATGTCAAATTTTTTTTCGGATTTTGTCGCACTTTTTTTTTCGATTTTATGATCCCCAATGTGTCCCATGTTTTACAGTGATCATGGTCGGTCACGGAAAAGACTAAAAATCGTCAATCATTATCAACAGATAAGAAAATTTTAACGTACATCGAGAATCAAAAATCAAAATAAAATTGTGTATAAGTAAATAAAAAAAAAGTTTTATTAAAAAAAAATCTTGTTCTCTCTTTGTTCCTTGTAGAATCATCCTCAATAATGGGTACATTAGTTGAACCTAATGCGTAGCAAGTATGTATAATTATGATTTCTGTACTATTATAGGATACCAACAATAATAGAAATGGTGCGGAACCAGTCCGTCCGAGCGATGGAGGCGTGTCGTCCGTCATCATCAACGTAATGCAGAACATCGGCGTTCCGCCACAGACCAACAAGCTGAGTCGCTGATCGCTACTACTCCGTCACCACTCCGCCGCCACTCCACCACCACTCCGTCATCACTGTGCCACCACTCGGCCACCACTCGGCCACCACTCTGCCACCACTCGGCCACCACTCGGCCACTACTCGTCCACCACTTCGCCACCGACACTAGGAACTCAATCGCCTAATTTTTAAAATATATGGAACTTGATGGTGCGCTCACAAATATGGTGCTTTATATTTAAACGTAAACAAACATTGTTGTTTTTAATTTTAAATATAATATTCTCGATTTCCTTCTATTTTTGTTATTTGGTTAGTTCAAGTGCGTGATAGCAATAATTAATTATTGTATTGCTCAATTTACATAATATGATGAGATTATAAGCATTTACTGGTGTGTAATCTTCCACGTTGGGTGTTCCTAGATTGTGTAAACGGAAAGTTTCGTTTGTGAATTTAGTTCATTCTCGTACGAGTATTTTATTTACCTAGTTTTAATATTTACTTGCATTATAGTATTAAGTGTATTCAATGTTATTTTCCGTGTTATTTGAAATCTCAGTATGGATCTGGTCTGGTATTTTACTGAGATTGCTTACAGTTAAGTCAGTTAACCGTATACATATATAAAAAATTTCATTACATATATGTGTATGTTGTTAACTGTTTGATTTACTTAGTAAATTTTAGATATATATTTTTAATGTGCTTTTATTCTTACGCATCATTTTTACATATGATTAACTACTATGCCATAAAATACGTCTTCCCTAAATTAACAAGAAATGTAAGACTAAATTAGCATATCTGATTATTATGGAGACAAATATTTCCAATACGATCAGGAATGAAGTTCATTATGTTGAAAACTAAAATTTGAAATTTATGAAAATTTTAATCAATGATATAATGAATCTGTATGATTAATTTTTATAAATGAGCATGTATATGAAGAGTTACGTATTTGCATGCAGCTAAATTTTCGTGTATAATATATATATATAAAAAAAATGTGCCATTAATCGTACTTAAGTATATAAAAAAAATAATTAAATCTAAAAAAAAGTATTCACTGGTAAAAATTGTCTTTATATAAATATTTACGTAAGTTCTAACAACTGACACTGGAATTAGCTAATTGTATATCATCAAAAAATAAAATCATCAATATCAAATCGTTACTCGAGTCATATGTTGTTCAAAGAGTTAGTTTCTCCTACTATATTGTCAATTTCAAAATTTAATTACGATGTATTTATTTACCGCTTAAGAGATTGGTACTTATATTTACCGTTGAGTAGGGAATAGGCAGAACTATTTTTGTTATATAGAGGTATTTTTGTATAAAATTGTTAAATATTTAAATTATGAATTTTGCATTTATGACAATCAATGTTCAGCCAGCAAACAAATTAGAAAGACGGCCACATTGTTATTACAGTTTTAATGCATTTCTGGCCTTTTACATCTAGCATTAAAAAAAGTTGCTCAGATTTAGCATAATAAGTATACCAATTTTATAAAAAAAAAAAAACAATAAAGAATACATAGATTAAAATTTCCAGGCGCAAGCCGATAGAGTTAGCGTTTGATTGGAGTGTAATGGCCTCTAAGGATTTCAATGAACTAAAATAGAATATATACATGCCTTTCCTAGTTGTAATTTGAAGTATTACCACTATTTTTTACTTAAAATATTTGTCTTTTAATATTTGAAAAGATATAGTATATTACGATTTAAACGTTATCCAAAAATGATACTTTTTCTAGTATTTTTTCACTTATTTCATTATTAATGAACTGGCTGTGATGTACATCGTAAAAGAATAGGTTTGTTAATAATAATAAAAGGTTAACTCGATTTTTATGTAAGAATCTTTCTTCAGAGTGTCACAAGATGAAGTGATCTAGCCAGTTGGCCATTGACTGAAACGGTGCTTCCACACAGCAGTTAAAAAATATTTGCTAACATACATAACTATTTTTAACACGAAATTTTTTTTTAACATTCTGTAACATGTTAACTAACATGGATTATTTCAAAGCTTCGCACTGATATAAAACATGTTGTAGAACATATCCTAACGTTTTATAACCATTCTACAAACCTCGCCGTCACCCGGGTTTAATGTTTTTTCTAAGAAAAGTTAAGTTTGTTTCAAATTGTTTTGTCACCAAATGTTAGAAAACTTATAATTTTTGTTATAAAATGATTTTTTGGCATAAAAGGTTCATTTATATGTTTACTAATATTTTTAGTAACTCCTGTGTGGAAGCACCTGAAGGATAATTTTTGCAATAAAAGCTTTAAAATAAATACATTGTGTTTTATTTCATTTATCATATGGGTGCATCTCTAGTATTATTAGCACAGTGTAATAATCACACAGTCCAGCGATCGTCCAAATCGGTTGTTAACAATATAAATGGTGTGCACTTTAAAGTTATAGTACTCTAGCGCCACCTCGTGGTGAGTTACAGTTATATTCCTCAATCATTTCCCGACTGTCGTAAGTGGAAAAGTGATAAACGGCTTTAAAAAACAACACGTTTAAACGTTTTAATAAATCACTTTTCGTTGAACGTTTTTTTATATAAAATTTCTTATCGTTGAAAACTTCAACAAAATGAAGACAAGTAAAAGTCATCTGTCATAACGACAAGTGTTGAAAAAAGCGTTTTATGGTTCCCTGTTCGTTGTTTTGTAAGAACACTAACAAAATTAATATAGTTTTCAATTAGCCAAAAATATTACGTAAGCAAGTAGAATGTAACTTAGCTATGAAACAAATCCATTTGTTATAGTGAGTCTTAAATAGACAAAAATATGGTTGTTATTTGTTAATCTAATATAGTTTATAATTTTTATATTAAGTCTTATGCATTTAAAAATAAGGTCCAATAATGCGTGCTGTAGCGCTTTTTTAAAAAGGCATGATTTTTCAAAGCGCTTATCGTTTAAACGCCCACGTCTAATCATAAGCACGGTCGCCGGTATGACGTCACTGGCCCCGGCCGTGGGCGGCCACGTGCAGCGCGGGCGCGTGCAGCAGCGCGGCGCGCGCGGCGTACTGCGCGTGCAGTGGCGCCCGCACGCGCGCCAGCTCCGCCTCGCGCGCCGCGCTCGCGTACACGCACAGCTGCAGCGCGCCGCCCGCCTCCGCGTCCACCGCGTCCGCCGTGGCCGCATCCTCCTGTATTTGCATTCATTTATTAATTTATACATATTATAAAATTATAACTAAGCCAAATCTGTACATTAAATATTTTTTGGAAAATCTTAATGAAATAGACTTTATTATCGATACTGTACAATCCGATGTTGTCCTTGGAAGTAGGGTTCCCTCTGGATTTGTATACAGAAGCCGAATCTATAGTTTTTAGAATTTGTGTCTGTCTGTTACCGCATCACAAAAAAACCACTGGAGGGATTATGATGAAATTTGGTATGATGGTAGCTGATTATCCGGGTCAACATATAGGATACTTTTTACCGCGGGAAAATGTCTCATTTCTGAGAAAAAAATACAAAAACTGCAATGTAAGAGTATACTTATATGTAAAATCTAAGAGTTTGGTTTTTGATTATCTGAACGTGGGTGGAGCCGCGGGCAATGCTAGTATGGTCTAAGATCCCAATATAAAACGACCTTCACCGAGCTGGTTAAGGGATGAAAAGTATTTTATATCAAATTAAATATGTTAATAAATATATTGCTAATAGGTTGACTAAAATATTTCAGTCCAGAATATGATTAATTAACACTCAGGCTACTGGCAGGCACCTAGCCACGCACCGGAGCGAGTGAAGTATATGTCGTTTGTAATACTATGTATAACTCGCGTCATCTAAAAAGAACGCTGGCTGTCAAGCTGCGCAGAAGCAATTTATCGGTCAAATTGGTGGTAAGAAGCGGGGCGCGGGGCAGCGGGGCACGCGCCGCGTGCTTGCTAGCGCGCTATTGGTTAGTCAGTTCGAAATACCATCGCGCACACAAAAGTTTTTAATTACGAAATGGTTTTATATATAGAAAAGAGAAAAAAAATTTTTGACGTATATTGTTTTACAAAGAGAGAGTCTGATAATAATGCAGTTAATAATTAAAAAAAATGTATTAAACGTATTAATTTAATTTTTTGTAAGTAGATTAAACATTCTGCACTGAATCAAACATATTTTAATAATGAATAGAATTCTATTTAATGATATTCTATCTAATATATTTTTCAATGTCCCTACCAATAACTAATATATGAAGCCGCGAGCGAAATGCTATGAAAAATAAAATAATATGCTTAGTACTTTTGTGCGCGAGTATACCCATGCGCAAACATACCATCTCCACTTTCTTCCAGCGTTCTTTTTAGATGATGCGAGTTATAATATAGTATTTTGGTTAAGTAACTAGCAATTCACCCGCTCGGTTCATCCCTCGGTGATTTTTTTAAGTTTTAAGTTTTTTTTAACTTTTTATTTATGAACCAATTGAAATAAAATATACTATATATTAAATGAAGCTTACCACAATACATTAGTGAAAACCACACCGAAATCGGTGAGATTAACGCTTTCTTTAAGTTTCTGAGATTAACGCGCACAAAGGCACAGACAAACAGATAAACGGACAAAAATTCTAAAAATCATTGTTTTGGGTTCTTGCATTAATAAAGACCCCCAATAATAGTTTTCCTCAAATATCTTTCATGTAAAGACAGCGATCAGTTACACTTTTATTATACGTATAGATGTATAAATGAAGGAATAAATAAACATAACAATGTAAACAGTAACCGTGGGCACGTATCGCAGCAGCAGCGGCGGCGCGGGCGCGTGCGGCGCGTCGGCGGCGGCGGCGGGGTATAGCGCGCCGGCCCAGCGCGCGCCGCTCACGCGCAGGCCGCGCACCACCACGCCGTCCTCGTTATCTACTAACGTAACCAGTGACTCGGTTCTAAATTTGCCGCCCTGGACTTTTAATCGAGTTTTGTGTGATCGTTTCATCTGTATATTATCTTGTTAGGCTAGTTTTAGTCGAATGCATTTATAGAGACGTCAATAGCGCCACTAAATATGACGGCTGTTTTATAAGAGGATTTATTTATGGGAACATTTAAATTAATTATAACGTGCTAAAAACTAAGTATCTATTTTGTAATAAATTGGATTACGTACAGAGTAAATCAATATTATTATCCAACTATTTTTGAATAATCTGAGACTTATCGAGTAACTAATGTACCTGGTGTTCCAAATCCAACAGAATATAATATTATATACCAGTAGTGAAGTCCCAGGCGGCGGAGAGCGCGAGGTCGTGCAGCGCGCAGCCGCGACGCCGCGCGGCTGCCGCGCGCAGCGCCGCCAGCACGCGCTCGGGCCGCAGGTACTCACGCAGATCCACCTCTGAACACAATCTCAATATAAATAAAGAGCAATAAAACTAGAAATCACTAATCAAACCACTATTTCTTTCATTATTTGATAAATTTTGATAATTGACAAATTTCGTATTCCTTCCTTCACCTTCAGGCATATAATCGTCAGTATACTCGTAGGACTCCACCCTGTCGTGAGCGGCGCGCGCGCGTGCACAGAATTCTTCTATGTAGATTTCAGGCGTGTCGGGTCCCGCCCATACTAGCTGCCACTCGTCAGGCACCTGAAAATAAAATATAATAATAAGTTTTATATTTAGTCTCAATACTGAATGACAAACAATTATTATGTTCATGACAATTACGATACTCTTGTTTAATTCCGCTTTAGTATCCCGTAGTTTCTACTGTCACCAATTAAACAATACAGTATAATAGAGGCTCGTGGGATAAGATACGAGTAGGGCGCCCTCGATTATCATATTTATTTTTAAATAAATAAATAAATATGTCAGGACATTAACACACAACACCATCTAGTTCCATGGTAAGCTACGAGACTTGTGTTACGGATACCAGATAGTTGATACATTATACATATATAACTTTTTTTTAAATACATACATATTATAAATATAAATATCCATGACTGGAGTACAAACATTCGTGCTCATCACACAAATGAATGCCCCCCAGCGGGACTCGAACCCGCGACCGCTGGCGCAGCATGTAGGGTAAATACAAACTGAGCCAAACGTGTCGTCAAACGTCGTGTTTTATATAACAGCTTTGGGGTTGACGGTTATAACTTTAACATACCACGACGTATCGTGCTTTAACAGTGCAGTGCTTTTGCAGTGCTTTAACTTCGAAACCGTTCGCCATTTAGTTCGCAATTTATATTGCATGTTGTGTTCTCCAGTAATTGGTGGTACACGTTAAACACCGTCCAAAGAACCTGTATTTTTTGTATATTTATGTACTGCTGTTGGAGATCCTACATAAATAAATAAGTATATGAAATGTATACATTTAATATAATTGACAACCCTAGCCTACTGTATGTACAGACCTGGTGCGCGGGGGGCGCGGGCGCCCCCTTGGCCAGCGCGGCGTGCAGCGCGCGCGCCGCCGCCGCCGCGTCGCGCGCCTCCGCCTCGCACAGCGCGCCCCACCACCCGCCCGGCCGCTGCGGTCCAATACGTACATATATAAACATTGTGTGTACAAGAGGCAAGAAAGCTCATGCAATAATAGTTTTTTATTATTGAATATTATCAATGGCTCGCATATTAGCTATAAGGTAGTTAACGTATGTAGTATCAATTTTGTGTTGAAAAATATTAAATATTTATTTTTTCAATGTGCACATATATTACTAAAGCATTATATATTGATAAAACACTTTTGATATTTTATTAGAAGGTCATTGATGATTATAAAAAATAAAAGTATTATTGAGTGGAATCGATGAATTCTTTAATGGCGATTTACATCATGCTTTTCTCAAAAAATATTTTATAATACAAATATACAAAAGTCATTATACTGTGATAAATAAATAAATAATAATTATAAATAACTAACGGGTTTTTCTCGTGATCTCGGAAACCAAACGACAATAAACAAAACAATGACTTAAATAAAGTACGGTAAAGTACAATAATTATTAATAATTTTTAATAAATAACATTAATAGTAAGATATTGTTGATTGATGAAAATATAACCTTTTCTATATGGTAATTTGGTTTGACGAGCGGACTACCGGACATGAGTTTCCTCCACAGCGATCGAATACTCTTCAGTGGCGTTGTTGTGTCATCTCTTTTCACACAGGTTTCACTATTTAATTCTGTGGATTCATAAAAAAAATGTTTTACTGTTTGATAAAAGCTGCAACTAGTACGTCACAAAATATTAAAAATAACATTTATTTACTCTACATCACTCTAGGTTATAGTCCACTTGTTTTCTAAATGTCATCCAAATCTGTCCAGCCGTTTTAACGTAAAAGAGTCACAGACATATCCACACACATTATGGGGTTTGTATCGCGTGTTCTTTGTTTTACCAGAGATGCCCAGTTAAAGCTGTAAAAACTTTACAAGCCGATTAATTTAATTACTTTTTACGATGTATATTATTATTATGAAGAGGGGACAGTCGGGGCACTCGCGGATCTAACGACTGAATTTACAACGTGGCCACGCTCAGGACGCGGGCGCGGGCGCATATTTGTTCACCCGGCTCCCGCCGACTCCGCCGTAGACACTGCGTGGCCACATACATATAAACCTTAACATTTACAATAGTAATGCGACAAGAGAAAGCGATGCGGCTCACCCCGTAGCCCCGCAATGATGTTATCGGCGGCGTTGTTCTCCCACGCCACGCGGCAGTTGGCCGGCAGCTCCAGCAGCTGCGGCGTGTCCATGTCCGGCAGCGCCTCCAACGCGGTTATGTAGTCCTGGTACACGAATGTTACTGTTGACTCGCTCTCCTCAACACGCTAACTTATAGTTCTTTTAATTTTTAAATTATTTTTCTTTTATCGATATTCGAAGGTATAGAAGCAAGGCCCGGGACCGGTTTCTATAAAACCGGTTAATAACGGTTTTTGTTAAGGTTTCGTTGAGAATTGAACCCATAATCATTTCGTTCCATAACCGAAATAAACCGGTTTATGTAAACACGGCAGATATGTTACGACCTGTGTAAACGTGATAACTGTTTTTGTTTATTTTATTAAAGTTCCTAGAGTCAAAAGACTGAAAGAAGCTGATTTTATTAAAAAGATTATAGTGAGTTTTTAAATTTAAAAAGAGTTGTGTAAAAACATGTTAATTTTTTGTGTTTTATTTAAAATTGTTTAATCAATACTATACAATAAACGAACAATGATCGATAATATATTTTCTTTTATTATCAAATAACACACATTTTTAACAGTAAACCAATTGTATGTAAAATAATTGGAAAAAAAGTCTGTTGAAAATCCCGGTGCGTAGGACTGGCGTCACCAAGAATGGAAGTAAAATTGACATCACCAATGGTGGGTTAGTTAGGCGGGTCGGTAGTATCGTGCCTTCAGATCAATTGAATATTAAACAATACATTATTTTTTAAATAACTAATTTAAATATTATATTTATTTGACTATGAACATTTCGCATTGGATGGCAACCGGCAACGTTCATTTGTCGAGTAATCTATTCGGTTCATCAATAGATGTACCTACAATGAGGTGCAACAGTGACAGCGTATACCAACATTCAGGTGCGCGTCGGCCGGCACCGCGGCGAGCGCGGGCACGGCGCCGCGCAGACAGCGCGCCAGCAGCGCGCGCAGCACGTCGCGGTCGCGCGCGGCGCCCACGCGCGCGCCGTACAGCGCGCCAGCCAGCGCGCACGCGCCCGCCGCGTCGCGCGCCGCGCGCGCCGCCGCCGCGCACGCGCTCACGTCGCCCCACTCCCACGCGTAGTAGCGCGACCAACCTTAATGGGTGTTGTTTCGCTAACGTTACTACTCACACACTTAACAATATCATACGCATTTACCTACGAGTATATCATAGTATTGCTTACCAAACGGTATGTAGTTGCGGCGCTCCTGCGCGATGGCGTGCAGCAGCGCGAGGCGCGCCAGCAGCGGAGCGCGCGGCGGCGGCGCGTCGGGGGCGCGCGCCCACGCCGCCAGCGTGGCGCACGCGTTGCGCTTCACTCCTTCGGGAGGCTGCGACACGAGTATTATTAACAAACAATAATCAAAGAAACGTGACCAGAAGTTGTGACAAAACCGATTAATTTGTGACATACGACCAATACAAATATATTGTAACTGTATTATATCTCTCTACATATGAAGAAAATGAGAATAATATGAAAAAATACACTTACTTCAATAACAACGTTAACACAGGAATTAGCTAACGTGGACGGAATCTCTCGGTCCTCTGCCATTATCCATAGACGAAAATCATCCCCTAATTCTTCCAGCTGAAATTTTTTCGGTTGACATAATTATTATTTAGTTATAGCTCTAAAGACATTTATTTCGAAAAAAAAACATAGTTTAATAATAATAATAATATTCTTTATTGTACACCAAAAATAAATATAAAATAAAAAAACAACATAAAGAAAAGATGCACAGCAGGCAGCATAGTTTACTTAATATTAGTAAAATTATATAATAAAAATCTTATGCTACTAATCATGTGGTAGTGGTACTTAATCGGATCTTTCAGAAGTATGGGGTTCTTTAATTTTTTCTTAAATATATTAATAGATTTTGCATCTTCTACATTTTTAGGTAACGAATTGTATAGCTGTGCTCTTTCAAAGAGAATCGTTTTTATACCACATTTATTTCTAGTTTTTGGTAACTCTAAATATTTCTATTTCTAGTGCGATGTGAGTGAGATTTAGTTTTAAACGAAATCTGGGAGTGTAAGGCATCTGTTATTATTTTTCGGATAAGTATACATATTTTATATTGATACATTTGTTATATTGACATTATTTTTGTCTTTTCGTAGACGAGTTTTGTAGGCGTACGATTATCTACAAAATAAATATAATAATAGAATAAAATATATTTATATAATTAATTTAACAGTGATTTCAAAAATTATATAACTAACTATTAAAATAGCAAGAGTTTAATTAAGCAGTGTTAAATATTATTAGTCGCTTGTAATTAATAACTGACCGGGCGCTCAGACAACGAGGCTACAAAAGAGAGCAAGTCCTTGGTGAAGGGCGACGCGCCCACCACGACGGCGAGCCAGCCGCCCGGCGCCAGCGCCGCCTCCCACGCGCCGCGCCCGCCCTCGATGCCCACCTGCACAATATACATATAAAACACTAGCGGCTCACCCTCGCTTCGCTCGGGTTCACCTCTAGAAAAACACAAAAAGATCTATCCCACGGGAACCGTTCATTTTTCCGGGATAAAAATAAAATAAGTAACCTGTTGTTTGAGCTGCATTATAAGGTATAGGTATCAGTATGCCAAATTTTACTAAATTAGGTGCATAAGTTGTTGTGCACTGAGCTGTATAAGTTACTATAATTTTTTAACTATCCCACGGGAACTCTTTAATTTTCCGGAATGAAAAGTATCAAATTTCATTTAAATAGGTTCAATAGTATCAGAGATTAGCCCGTACGAACAGACAAACAGAAAAACAAAAAAATTGAAAAAATCTAGATTTGTTCTATTTCTCTCCTTACGGGATGTAAGAAGATAACTGTCTCGTTTTTTAGCAATTTTTTTTACCATCTATGTACAGACATTCGACCTCTACAGTTTTATTATTCATATATGTACCTATATTCAGATAGAATAAATAACGTATAATAAAACAGAAATATATAATAATGAAAATAGTTATAGCGAGTGTACCTTAGGAGATAGACATATACTATGTAGAACTTTTCTATAGACCTTTTTAAGACTTACAATTTTCTTGTACAATGTTTTGATCTATCTCTTAAGGTTGAGCCAACGTTAGCCAATAAATTTCTAAGAACAATTCGATAGAACCAGTTATTGTATTTTCCCGTGGGAATGTGTAATTTGCCTGTCGTAAAAAGTATTCTAAATGTTGACCCGAGCACTAAGTTTTATGACTACAAAATTAAGTTAAAATTGGTTGAGTACTTTTTGCGTGAAACGCGCACATCGATTTGACTAAGTTTTATTATAGGTATAGATAAAAATAAATATTGCGAGTGTAACTTAGAAGATAGACATATACTATTCACAACTTTTCTTTAGGACTTTTCAAGACCTACAATTTTTTAGTATATTGTCTTGATGTATGTCTTAAGGCTTAGTCAGAGGAAGGTTTCTAGGGAGGACTCGATAAAACCAGTTATTGTATTTTCCCGTGGGAAAGAAAGATTTTCTTTAAGTAAAAGGTATCTAGGCAGTGGTATCCCAGTGGTAACGCGCTCACTTGGGAAACCGAGTGATATTTTCATATGCGAATCATTTCTAACAGTTACCACTTGTCGTAACGGTGAAGGAAAACCTGCATGTCTGACATAACCTAGCAAGTTTTCGAAAGACATGTGAAGTCCACCAACCCGCACTTGGGCAGCGTGGTGGACTATGGCCTGATCCACCTCGTACTGAAGGGAGGCCCGTGCATGTGTTAAAAAGGGCTGAATACAACATACATACATACAAAAGGTACCCTAAATGTTGACTCGAGTAATAAGTTATCACTTCACCAAAATTCGTTGAAATTAGTACATTACTTTTCGCGTAAAACGCACACACAAAAACAGACAAACAGACATACAGGCAAACAGACAATTAGGAAATTTTTTAATAACTATTGTTTTGGGGTCTATGTTGTGTACATAATACGTTACAAATAAACAAAAACATCTATCCCACGGGAAAAGTACAATTTTCCGGGATAAAAAGTTACCTATTTGTTATTCTGATGTATGAACTATATTATTGTAAAGTTTCATCAAAATCCAATCATTTATTTTGCGTACTAAGCTGTATAAGTTACTATAGTTTTTTGACTATCCCACGGAAACTCTTTAATTTTCCGGGATGAAAAGTAGCTGATTTGTTTTTGTCATGTATGAACTATATTATTGTAAAGTTTTATTAAAATCCAATCAGTAGTTTTTGTGTACTAAGCTGTATAAGTTGTTATAGTTTTTTAACTATCCCACGGGAACTCTTTAATTTTCCGGGATTAAAAGTATCTAAGATGTTGCCCGGGGATATAAGGTACCACCATGCAAAATTTCATTTAAATAGGTCCAATAGATCTGGAGATTAGCCCGTACAAAGAGAAAAACAGATAAACAGCTCGCTCAGATTCGTCCATACATACGAATATGTTGTATTATCTCTTTAACCATTTGTTCAAATTATATGCAGTAAAAGGGAAAAGTCTTTTATTTTAAACATTTTAGACGATAAATTTACTTATTTTGATAAGAATTCATAATTGTTGATAATATGACCAATAAACATGACCTACCGATTTAAATGATTTTTTTAATATAAAAAACTACTTTTTGTGACTTAAATATAAAAGTTAGACATATGCTGTCGCTGACTTTTTTGTAGGCATTATTAAGCTCTACAACTTTTCTCTAGAACATAATCATATATCTCTCATCGTTAAGGCAGCGTTCGTAAGAAACGTTTTCGTTCGACCGTTTTTTCTCCGACTTACTTTGCAAATCCGACTACCACGAAAAAGCCTTTTCATTTTTCGGGTTAATATATAGCCTATGTCACTCAGAAAGAACGTGGCTTTCTATTGGTAACAAAATTTTGAAAATCGGTTCAGTAGATCCAGAGATTACCCCCTACAACGTCACAAACTCACAAACTCACAAACTCACAAACCCACAAACTCACAAACTCACAAGATCACAAACTTTACCTCTTTATAATAATAGTATAGATAACATCCAATCCATAACAAAGGCATCAGATAGGGCAATCGTGCGGGGCGTGCATGGTGAGGTGCATCCGACTATCATTGTAGGGGACGCGACCTACTACTGAATGCTTGATAAATTAAATACAGTTTGAGATCGTTGAACGGTTTATTAATTTAATTATATGCTATACTAATGATTGATGCTAATTAATGATGCTAATAAATGATAATGAATGCAGCCGGTTTGATTGCTGTCCGAACACGCACTGCCTTTGTTAGGCGTGTTTCGATGTATTTATTATAACACACCTATTTAGCATTATTGCTTAGGACTTATGTGTTCGGTACAAACCTTTGGATCGAACAGTCATACTTAACTTTTATATGACAGTTAATATACGGTATTAGAAACTGTAACGTCCCACGAGATGGCACTACAGAGCTTTAACTTCGAAACCGTTCGCTATCGAAATTGGTAGGTAATGAAAATCCTTGCATATATTACATATTTATTCTGTGGTAAAAGCAAGCAATGTCAACACAACTATGTATTTTTTTAGTAATACTAAATGTAGAAAGACTGACCGTGGAGAGCGTGCGCCCCGCGGCGCGCGCGGTGGCCGCCAGCGCGTCGGCGGCGTGCGGCGCCAGCAGCAGCGCGGGCCGCGCGCGCCGCGCCCAGCGCGCCGCCGCGCCCACCGCCTCCGCCGACACCACGCTACCACCTGTTACAATCATTACGCTTATCGCACTAATATTATAAAAGCGAAAATTTGTGACGGTATATAGATATAATAAATACCCTTATGTATCCTTTTATTGTTAATATAGATGAATATGATCTAATTTTACTATCTACATTGAGACCAGACCGGAATAACGTCTATCACTCAATTGTCACAATTGCAAGGTGAGTATATATATATCGAAATATATATCGATAGATAAATATATATTGATAGAGTCTATATATAGAAATAGAGTCGAATCTATACATTTAATATTTTTTGGAAAACCTTATTAAATTAGTCTTTATTGTCAATACAGAGGCGAATCTAAAGTTTTTGAAATTTTTGTCTGTCTGTCTGGGAACGCATTACGAAAAAAACACTACAGATTTTGACGAAATTTGGTATAATGGTAGCTGGTTATCCGGGTCAACATATAGGATACTTTTTACTGTGGGAATATATCTCATCTCTGAGAAATCTATATTTAACGTTAAAACGTAAATAGGGACGTACTCGAGCGGAGCAAGGGTAAGGCGGTGGTTTTAAATAAAAACAGCACGTGCAATGTAAATAATAATAATAATTAATTCAGTTTTTTATAACATCCGATTTCTAGGCACGGGCTTCCTCTAAATGCTAGAAGAATCAGGCCGTAGTCGACTACACTTGTTAGTGCAGATTTGCTGAATTTATACATATTTTTATCGGTTATGACGTTTTCTTCTCTGTTCGAGCAATTGATAATCGTGTTGAAAATGACTAGAGATTCGGGGTTTAAAATCGGTAGTTTTTCTAATAAGAGCGATATCTTCTTTGATTGATTACCTTATACTTAAATATTACTTATAAACATAATAATAAAATATTACTTTAATGAGTTTTATCCTTGAAGAATAACGCTATAAATAAATGATGAAACAATACCTAGAACTTGATCAACAAATGCCACGATTGCTCTGTAACAACTCTCCGGGCGCAATGCGGCTACTGCTAAGATCACCTCGAACGGACTCAAATTTAATCTGCTGATTGTATGCAAATCCCCCGAGCTTTGGAAATCTAACCATAAATCAGATTGTTCAAGGGAGAGTCGAAGAAATAAATCCTCATCTTGGATCTGAAAAAAAAGTGCACTCTTATAAAATTTCAAACCGGAATAAATGAAAATTTAAAAATAATCAGTAAAATAATTTACCTTTATCAGTGCAATTTTTCTTAAACAGTCATCATTTATCCACTGGTATTTATTCTTTATATCGTTTAAAATACTCATATCCTCTATGATATTTATATTTCCTATAAAAATTTGCCAAAGCTGAAAAATATAATTATTAATTAATTAAATTCTGATCTTCACTAAAAAAATAATAATATAAAAACATAAAATCATAGAAATATTACCTTGTCTGGCATAAGATCATCGTAGACGGAGTGTAACAGATGCATGACGACTATATATTTGTCTTTCTTATGCAGGCTGAGAAGCACACGCTCAATGATTTTTCTTGTGAAGTGTTTTACTATTTCATCGTTGTTTATAGTTTCTGTCCCGTTCTAAAATAATAAACCGTTCAATGGAAGCTTAATGTAATTATATTTTTTTGAAGTTCTAAAATATATATTTACATTATATACACTTTGGAATAAAAAAATATATAAATAATTAAATTACATAATGGAGTGAACTTTATTTTATCGAAAAATGTGATTATAAATGTTATGCTACCTCACCTACCATTTGCTTTTTATCAAGTGTACATAAAAAACATAATTTGAGAAGAGAAAAATCTAAATAACTACTAAAGATTTATCCACGTTTCGCTCAGGAGCTTCCCTAGGTGCCAAATAGTCGTTTATAATGTAATTTTTATTTTTTACTTTAGGGTATATCTCTAACTTGACACTGACAGGCACAAAAAATCCGCAACAGTCTAAAAAGCGTACCTCCGTCCTGTCGAGGGCGGCCCGGAAGGCGTCGCGCACGTCGTCGGGCGGCGCCGCCACGCGCCGGTGGCGCGCCGCCAGCCGCTGCACGGCCAGCGCCAGGCGCGCCGCGCGCCCGGCGCCCGCCGCGTAGCGCGCGCCGGCGTCGTGCGCCTCGCGCTGCAGCGCCTGCGCCGCGGCCAGCGCTTCGCCGATGGTCGCGCTGGTGCTCTGCGTCTTCTTCAGTGACTCCAGCAGGTTCGCGTCGTGCAGTATGTCGCCGTTGCTGGACAAGTCTTTCAGGAGATTTTCCTATAGAATATGTACTATATTATTTCGATCGTTTCGTTTGGAAGTTTTAATAAGAATTTTATTTCGGTCTCACTTGAAGTTCATGTTGCTGCTTTTGTAGAGTGGCTTTGGTGAGCTTGATCTCTTTGGACTTTTCGTTCATTTCAGGATTTTGTTTCTCCATAGCGTAGTGTAAGAGTTGATCTGAAAGTAAATATATTATTTAAGAAAATAGTTTTAGTTATAATTTAAAATAGTAAATGCATTTAAGTAAGCAGTACATGATAAACATTGCCTCGGCAATCTCATGGCTAGCATGTACGACAAATCCGAAGGTCCTGCGTTTGAACCCTAGGTAGAGCCTAATATAAACATTGAGTTTTCCTGTACAGAAGTCCTCAACAGCAATCCAGAGTTGGAACCTTTTCAGTGCTTCACCTATATTCCTCGATGAAAACGTACAGCCGTTCGGCTCTACGCTTGATCTCGCACCAATGCAGTTGAAATTGTCATGACAGTGGTGACAGGGATAGAGTTTGCGTTGGTGCTTAAGTTTGCGTACCTTCCTGTATTTTAAAACATATCCTGCACACATGTCTAGTCTCACTAAGATCGCCATGGCGGAAATCTGTCAGGAAGACATAATTATACGACAGACGCTAAACAGTAGAAGCGCGTACCGACTAGCGCGTGCAGCCGCGGCGTGAAGTGCAGCAGCGCGAGGTGCGCGGCGTGGTGCGGCGCGGGCGCGGGCGCGGGCGCGCGGCGCGCCTGCAGCACCACGCGCGCGCGCCCGCCGCCCGCGCGCAGCAGGCTCCACCACCACTCCTCGATGCACTCAACCTCGGTTATTATCAAAACGCGTCCCAGTCTGTGTATTCATTTAATTTTTAGGTTATTATGTAAAAATTTTAACATTTTTTTAAATAAGGCTATAGTCAGTATTGTATAAAGGTAATAATGTTTATATTTTTCCAAATGCTCATAGCTATAAACCTTTAAACGTAGAATTTAAATTCATACAAATACGCATGAAAATATACTGTTACTGTCATGTAATGTTTAAACAAATAAATGGACAAATAATTCGTTGAATAACTTGGGCACGCCAATGACAAAAATTGGGCACAACGAAATAACAACATTGTAAAACATGAAATAATCAAATCGACACGGTAAATAAACTCAAAAACTGACACCAGATTAATGAAGTAATTTGAGCTATAAACAATAAAAACAATGTTTTTTGTTATTATAGATAATCGAATCGAATCGGGCATCGAGGTCGAGCACGTTAGAGTAACAAAGCAGTGTAGTACTTAGCGGCGCAGCGCAGCGCGGTGTGCAGGCGCTCGCTGTGCAGCGGCAGCGCGTCGCCGGGCAGCGCGCGCCGCCAGCGCGCCGCGCCCGCGCCCGCCGCCAGCGGCGTCAGCGAGCAGCGCCGCGACAGGTACTGCGCGCGGTATACGGGTTACACGGGTTCTTACTCTTGGCTGACATAGCTTATGTATAGTGTGGCGCGAAGCCAAGAAAGTGGGCGGTGGGAGGCGGCCCTCTGCGGAGGGCGGTTTACCATGCGGGTTGCTCCTGGTACTTCTCTAATAGCAGAGTGGACCTTGGAGCAACCCCGTGATTGTGGTGGTCTGCTTCGGCGTCGTAGTTAAATGCGTAAACGATCCTGCGATGCCCCATTAAGACGGGGGAAGGTTTTGTTGGGTTTTAGTGGGTAGTACTGGCTTTGCCGGTGAGTCCCACACCTCGTGCGTAAATGCATTTCCCAACGTTAAAAAAAAAGGTTATATATAGTGCTCTATCTATTCAGCCCTTTTTAACGCCCCACTGCTAGGGATGGGCCTCCCTTTAATACGAGGGGGATCAAGCCATAATCCACCACGCTGGCCAAATGCGGATTGGCGGACTTCATGATAAGGACATGTCTTTCGGAAACTACTTAGGTTCTCTCAGACATACAGATTTCCTCACAATGTTTTCCTTACATAGGAAGTTTTCGAAAGACATGTCAAGTCAAGTCAGTGTGGGACGTTAAAAAGGCATATGAGTACTTTGCTTTCATAAATATATTTGTTAGACATGGACGAATTAAGGCAGAATAATTACCTGATCAATAAATACAGCATTCTTAATGGCAGATTGGTCCGATGGTAATCCATCTGCTTCCCATTTAAGCAATTGTTCAGGAGTTGTTAAGAAATTAATCACTGAAAATGATGTATCTTCGTAGCCAATTAATGTACACCACTTTGATAAATATTGTCTGAAAATAAAAAATAATATTATTAACATACCATAAAACTTTTAGGCATGCTCATAAATATGGATTTGACGTTATATAATTATATACCTAGCTTGTGGCTCGGTTAGATCAGGAAGATATATCAGATAGCCAGCTGCTAGCAATGATCTTTGCCCCAATTCCAGTATTTCTTGAGAAATATTTTTTAACTGAAATAATAATATACTATTATTAATTCAAGACAAAATATAAAACACTTTATAACTACTGTTAAGAGCTTTCATTTCCTCCGAGAATTAGATATTATTATTGATATCTATCAATGTATTAATTTTTAAAATTTAATTACCTAATTTCAAAAATTACAATATTATCATAATAGATGATGTTGTACTTATGATAGCACCGAAGATGCAATTAAGTAAGCAAGTGTATCTACTTATGATCGCACTCAATGGCACGTTTTTAAAGCCATTAATAAGATAATTGAATTGAATAAAAGCGCTCAAAATGTTAATAACTAATCTAGAGAATGGATGTCTGACGTCAGAGTCGCAGGTGCGGTCCTCGCGCGCTCTCTAGAGGTAAATGATTCAATTGTATGTGTTTCTGAGTGTATGTGTGTGTGTGTGTGTGTGTGTGTGTGTGTGTGTGTGTGTGTGTGTGTGTGTGTGTGTGTGTGTGTGTGTGTGTGTGTGTGTGTGTGTGTGTGTGTGTGTGTGTGCGAGGACTGACGTCTGCCTCCCAGGAGCGGTACTCGTGCTGGAGCGCGTGCAGCAGGTCGTCGGCGGCGCGCAGCGTGGCGGCGGAGGCGGCCAGGCGCAGCTCCAGCGCGGCGGCGTCGCGCGCGTGCCGCCCCAGCGCCGCCTGCAGCGCCGCCACGCGCTCCTCCACCGACGCCAGCCCGTCGGACAGGGCCGACGCTTCCGCCTCCGCTTGCGAGAGGTTCCTGTTTGTTCAAACAGGAGCTAGTAAGTATTTCATTTACCCTAATTTCAGTAGTTACTAAAAATACCGTTATCGTCTGCATTAAAACCGATAACTAGGACTAAAAGCAAATTCTCAGTATATTATTATAACTAGTGACTACGGATGCTTCCCGCTTCTAAGTATAACTTTATATACTAAATTTCAACAAAATTCGTTAAATCGTTTCAGTGTGAAAGCAATAGTAAAAAACATATACATGGCATGTATGTAGACATATAATACACACATACACACACAGAAACAACTTTTCAGATTTACAACTGTAATCCCATTTTTAACAATATTTGCAACAAAACAAAAAATAGCTAGTTATGCGCTACAAATGATGACATATGTAGCAATGAACGGGCGGACATACCGCAGCAGGTCGCGCTGGCGGTCGCGCAGCGGGCGCACGCGGGCCAGCGCGCGCGCGTGCGCCAGGTTGGCGCGCACCCAGGCCGCCAGCGGCGCGCAGGCCGCGCTGGCGCGCCGCGCCGCCGCCGGCTCGAACGACGCGCCGCGCCGCTCCAGCAGCCGCTCCACCGACTGCACCGCCTCGGGGCTTATTTCACTTGCGTCTAGGCATCTGCGGGTGTCGCGTCTTACTTATTTTCTTAGTAAAGGTACGAAAATCTTTCGGAATTCGACAGTTAAATCCGAGGACGAAGAAGAACCGACAATGATTTTTCTTCATTTTGGTATATTATACTTTTAACTAAACACCGACATGAGTTCAATAGAGAGTGATTCCTATAAATTAAGAGTAATTGATACAGTTCTAATTTCCTACGAGGTTTACAGTAATTAAGTTTTAATACATATATGTGTTTTAAATTAATCTAGGGATTATAACATTCTTTGAGATACCATAATAAGTAAAAAAAACACTTAAAAAAACCGACTTCCAGACACTAAAATGTACAAATAACTAAACGAGGTTTTTCATAGAAAAGATACCTAACCATATATTTTCGAAGTCGGTGCTAGCCGATGCAAAGCAAACCTAATATATTATTTCGATACATAAAATACATCACAAACTGATGTATAATATTTTAACTTTAATTAGAGTTTAAAATACCTAATCATATTTACCTATTAGATATTAATATCTTAAAATGTTGTAAGCTGACACCAACTTAGAAAATATCTGATTAGGTACATATTCTAAATGAAAACCCCTGTTTAGTTATTTATAATTTTAGAGTCCGGAAGTCGGTTTTTGTCGGTAGTCGGTAGACGTAATAAGCATTTTATTTGTAAGAAGAAAGTATTTTTAATAACATATTCGATTAAGCATATATTATTTTAAATGGGACCCCCTGGGAAGTATACCCTTCGAAACAAAAAAAAATCCAAATCAGTTCAGGCGTCTTCGAGTAATCGGGGAACATAAATAAAAAAAAAGATTCCAACAAATTGAGAACTTTCTCCTTTTTGGAAATTGGTTAAAAATGATGCAAACATTGTAAAAAAACTACCTAATATCTTCCTTAACGCCACGTTTAGAAAGAAAGCTTTTCATAGAGTGCCACGAGGTGTCCGCGATGCCCATGAGCCGCAGCACGCCCTCCAGCACGTCGCGCACCGCGTCCGGCGGCGCGCGGAGGGAACGCACCTATACGTACATACATATAACACCTTCATGGTAAATAATGTTACTACTGATAATTTAATATTACAGATCACACTAAAGTAAAAGTTTTGCTGAGCGATTTATAATGAATAAAAAAATATTTTTCATTTAATATCGATTATAATTCAAAGCAATTGTGTTTATAATTCTAGTAATTTTATGTGTTATTGTGCCAAAATAGATGTACATACCTCACTCAAAGCCTCAGGCCGTATGTCACCAACTGCAGCGCGAGCTTCCGCTATGACCGGTTCCACTGATGCTAGCTCTGCCTCGATTTCTTTTTTGCTAAATTAATAACGTTTACGTAAATTAAAAAATATAATAAAAATTAAAACAATTATTTTTAAGGTGTCTTAATAATAATTAAATTATTCCTTATATATGTATAGCATGTATTTATTATACATATACTTGGGCGACTTACCTCCGCTACGCTTCAGATGCGTCCTTAAGTGCCTAATAGTAAACAGTTATAAGTAACATTCTTCGGTCTAGTTGGCGGTGCTGCAGCCTCGAGCCTCTAGGACCATACCGTTACATCGGATTTTGAAAGGGAACGAAACAGCGAGTGCACTTGTGTTTTCGCGTATGCTAGTGCACTTATATATCTCCTGCAGTCTCAGGGAGAATGGTCGCATTATCCATATATGTACATTGTGCGTACGTCATACACAGTCATACAATCTTTTAAAATTTATCACATTAGTCTAATTAGATATATGTTTATACGTACTTATAGATGGCATACGCACTGACCGTATCTGCAGCTTCTCATTCTCCGTCTCGATGGTCTGCTTGAGCGCGTGCATCTCCTGGCGGCGGTCGGTGTCTGCGCGCGCGGCGGCGGACAGCTGCTGCAGCGCGCGCGCCGCCGCCGCGCGCTGCTCCGCTAGCTCCGCCTCCTGCTGCGCGGCGTCGCGGCGCAGCGCGTCCACTGACGCTTGTGCGCCCTCAAGCGCCTTCACTCCCGCCTGATATTTGTATATGTGTATATTAACTATTGAGCTTTTACAACGACCGACTTCCAGGCACTAAAATATAAAAAATAACTAAACGGGAGTTTTCATTTAGTATAGATACCTAATCAGATATGTTCGCAGTCGGTGCCAGCCGTGTGCCGACAACATTTTAAGGTATGAATATGTAATAGGTAAATATGTATTTTACGTATCGAAATAAGTAGGTACATTAGATTTGCTTTACATCGGCTGGCACCGATTTCGAAAATATCTGATTAGGTATCTATTCTAAATGAAAACTCCCGTTTAGTTTCCATTATTAGTGTAAACGTAATAAGAAGGTAATTTTTAAGAAGAAAGTTTTTTAAAAACATATTCAATTGAACAATTTATTTAAAATAATATATTTTACTTATTTATTATTACTTTAAAAATTTATTGTTGATTTTTTTTTAAATCGCTCGACCGATTTCGATAAAATTTATATGGGACCACCTGGAAAGTGTACCCTTTGAAACAAAAAAAATATTTCCAAAATGGTTCATTCGTCTTTGAGTAATCGGTGAACATACATAAAAAAAGATTCCGACGAATTGAGAACCTCCTCCTTTTTGGAAGTCGGTTAAAAACACATACTCGTATAATGTAGAAAAAAGGCATGGAATGTTAATAAAACTTCAATTTCCTTTCCGCACACACTTTTCTTCGTAAAAGATATAACGTTTGAAACTCATCGATTACAATACCCAAATGTATATATACCAAGCAGTATGAAAAAATAAATTATAATGTCAGTTAAAAAAAATATCATTAAACTTAATAAAAAAATATTTTTATTTGTTATTTACTCACAGACAAAGTTTCTTGTCGTTGGATGAGGGCTTGTTTCTTAGAATTATAAATATTGTAGTACGTTTTGATGAAGTGTAGATACCGCACAGGTGCGCGCGTCGTCTCCGTCTCTAAGCTCTCGTATATACTAATGAATCCTTCTATTGGTATACTATTAAGATCTTCTTCTGACATTTCTTGAGAATTCTCCTTTGATAATCTAAAATATTAAATATTTTATTGATCGTTTATTCTCCTAAATTTTATTCGTCATATTTATTGCCTACAGGCTGTTTTCTTTGTACTAATTGTATAATGTATTTCTATAATGCCAATAACCTGTTTGAATGAAAGCATACTTAGCCCATTACATGTTTAAAAGGTACTATTTAAAACCCCATCGAAATTCCCTCAGTCTTTTTCTAGTGATGCGTGACAATTATTTATTACTCGTATTACATCATAAAGTACTGGGCGACTGATTAAATACTGAATAAATTCTAATGTTTATTAATTTAGTTTATGAAATTAAAGGAGCTTATACAAGAGTTTTGCCAAAAATACAACTTTTATTGACGCAAATAGCAAAAAAACTAGCTGTATAACGAATTTGTTTACGTTTAAATGTTTTAAACGGTGCCGGTCGGTGATGGAACGGTCTAGTGGGTCGAGTCACATACTTTTCTATACAAATATTTTTTTGCCTGACACGGTCCTAGCACGGTCACGGTATGAGTCGGTTAGTGGGCAGACCTGCGCAGGCGGCGCGCGGGCAGGTCGCGCAGCGTGGCGCGCGCCCAGCGCCGCAGCCACACCACGCGCCGCAGCAGCAGCGGCGCCGCCTCCCACAGCGACGACAGCTCTTGCTCTTTGTCCACGATAACCAATATACCTAGCTTGTGTTTCATTTCTGAAAGGCACGTATTTTTGAATTGATTATAGGGTTATTGAATGAATTATCGGACTACTATTATAAGCGAGCTCGTTTGTATGTGTGCGTGTGTATTTATTTGTTACTTATTGATACTACAACGGCTGGACAGATTTGGGTTAAAGTTAAAGACAGATAGGCCTAGGGACGCACCTGAGCCAAACGAGGATAGTCGTTAGTTAATACATACATACATATGGCTTGTTCTTTAATGCTCTAAATAAAATTGATCGTAAATAAAAAATACACAACGCAAATATTTTTTTTTTACTTTTAAAAAAATATTATTTACCACAACTCTTTAGAATTTTGGTCTCTTTTTTAATTTCAAAGTGGTCTGAAGTTCGAAAGTAATAAAGAACAGTATCCGTACATATAAAAAAAGTTATTAGACTCTTCAAAATTTTATTCTTTAAAAAGTAACTGTGTAACCTTTACTCATTTACATAAGTAGGTGCTTAACATGACTTACCAGTAAAAGATTGTGCACTTTGCGCATAGTTGGTCGGTACGATTTTCGACGGCAGAGAGTGTATCGAGTCCGCTTTCAAGAACGCTTGGACATAGGCGAGGCAGTCCTCGGCGGCGACCGCCTCCGTCATCACCAGCAGCGTGTGCGTTCCTTCACACGCAGAGGTCAGAGCCTATGCCATTTCAATATTCACTTATAATTTTTTATCGTAATAGAATATTAGAATAATATTTCTATTATAAAAATGTATTAATATTCAATTTATTTAATCAATTAATATAAGTAATATGTAGTTAAAACATAGCCTTTTCAACTCTATAATCTTATAAAAAGAAAAATTAAATAGGTAGTAATCCATAATTTTATTATGAAGACGTAAATTTTGTATGCTCAGTTTGAGAAATTATACCTTAGGTAATCTTTGAAATTACTGATTCGTCTCTGAAAATTTTGAGAATCAGGAATTATGAAGAACAAGCTATATTATTTACTGCCGAACGCTATAGATTGTTTTTATACCGAAAAATGTGTTTACTGTAAGATTATAAAAATATGTGTTATATTTATTTATTATGTATTAATATATATTATGTGGGAAAGAACTGGCGATTGAGTGGAGAGGAGTAGACGAGGTTTTTTCGGTATACGCTGCCTTGAACTTTTTTGAAAGAAACCAATAATGGCAAAAAAGATATTAGGGAAGACAATAGTACGTAATTAATGTTAATTAAATCATATAGTCTGAATAGTAGAGGTAGTAAGGAGGTTTATTACTTATTATCGCTTTCTAAACTTTGTGACGAGTTTTGTAAATTTATGAAAAGCCTTGGACTTTCAAAAATAATCGTAATTCTCTAAAACTCTAAAATACCGTGCATTTGTGGTAGTATAGGGTTAATGGTGTGTATAAGGAGTAGTAAATATGTATAACATTTTTGAAGCAGGCGCAGAAGTGCGCGGGCCGGTCGGCGCGCACGAGCGCCGCGCCCGTGGCCGCGGCCGCCAGGCGCGCCGCCGCGCGCCGCCCCGCGCCCGCCGCCGCCGCGCACGTCACCACGCCGCCGTTCAGCTGCCGCGCAACACGCACAACACACATATTACTATACCACATATGTCAAATCAAATCAAAACATACTCTAATAATACAATACAATATTACAAATATTGAATCGTCAATTAAATATGTTTAAATTTATATTAAATATCAGTATGTATCAGTAAGTCTGCGAGGAATCTAATCCGGGCTCAAAAGGCAGATCTCTTAAGAAAAGCCGGCGAAAAACTGTACAATTACTTAACAACGTGGTAAAAGGCAGTGATAGCCTAAAAGTAACACATTCGTTTGGGAACCGAGTGGATTCAAACCCCGGGTCATGCACCTCGGATATTGACATGTAAAAATCAATTTTAACATGTTTACCACTTGCCTTATGATGAAAATACAGGACTCGTACTAATTACGGAACGTTAAAAAGATACGCAATTATATTGTTTGTTAATTGCATACGATATATCGAGATTATATTACTACCTAAATAATTACATTATAACTAAACTTTAAAACGACTTTAAAAGTAATTATACCTTTAGCGATGAATTTTGAAATTTATATGACACTCTTGAGGAGCGTCATACACACACTAAGAACATAATTATTATTAAAAAAATATGAAAGTCGATTTTCATTCTAAATCAGTACTATTATTACTAAAGTATTAACCTATTATTAAACTTATATGAAAAATTACCGCAAGTGCTATCGTTGGACATAAGACAGATAACTCTTTGCAAACTTCTATCCCAGTGTCACCAAAAGCATATTCATCGTCTATTACTGAAATAAAAAAAGTTTTTTAAATGTATTCATATTAAATTACGTGAAGAAGTAAATTGAATGCTATGTATAAGTTTTGGAGAAGAAACGTAATATCGATACACTTACAAATATCTACGTGTTAAGCTGAGGAAAATATATTACATAATATGTACTTATTCGGTTTATATCTTACTTGTATAGAGTAAATGAGATGTTTCAGTCGAACCCAATATTGATAAAGGAATGAAAGGATGTGTTTGTATATTATGAATAATAAAAAATATATAAGAACTTACAACACTGATTGATTAATTTTTCAGTACTCTCATGCCATTCTTTATATTCAACTGATTCCAAATATATTCCATCGCCACGTAACTTTGGTTTGAAGTACACGTCATTATTAACTTTAATATAATTTTGTGCTATTGTGCTATATTGAGATTTCTCGTCATCAGTCACCAATCTTTCTTTAAATAGTATATTTGCCTCTGCGTTAAGAGCCTGGAACAATAACAACAAGTGTGCAGTATAAAGGTATCTGAAATTCGATACGTTAAAACAATAATAATTGTTTAATACTGGATGGGCCCACCATGGGGAGGTTTATCAAGTTACATGTACAAAATGTGACTGGATCAATCTCCCTGTGGTAGCTATTTATTTATTTTATTTGTATTTTCTTTTACTAACATAGTTCTTAAGTAATTATATTGTAATAACCAACTATGAGCCTATGTTGCTTGCTAATAAAAGATTTTTATTTATTTATTATTAACTCAAAAATTATACCAATTTCAAAAAGTTATTATAGGCATAAAATATGAATAATAATTAACATAAAAAAAACCTATTTACCGTCATAACTCCCTCCAAGTTAGTTGGAGAATACCACTTAATATTTTGACACCATAGTCTAAGATGCGATGGATTCCATTTATAGTGCGCCTTAGAATGGAAGGTTTCTGTCACCTACAATAATTCATAATTCATACATCAACTCAGTTACTTATAAATATTATAACTTTGGTATTTTAAAATGAAATTTAACTTACCTCTTTGTATAGAGATAATATATTGTGGCTTAAATTTAAAATATCTTTTTCTGATACGTTTGTAGGAACCGTTTCTGATAGATAGTTCCTTGTCAGTTCTAACAATTCGTTTTCATCAGGCTCCCTGAAAAATAAATAACATAGAATAATCTAATGAATCATTATAAAAAGAAGGGTAAAAGCACTGTCCAGTAATCCAATACATCCATACCAATACAGTATCTAGACAAGGTAATCGTGTGTAAGTTTTTTGCGAGGTAGACGAGGGCGAAGCACACCCGAGTTTCATATAATAGAATATATATGACAGTCGGAAAACGGCTTTAGGGTTGACGGATATAACTATAACTAGACACGAAATGGCACTACAATGCTTTAACTTCGAAACCGTTTGTCATGAAAATTGGACCAGCCCTGTATTGGCAACATTTCTGTTAAAATCACTGGCCTATTGTATTGCATTATTTTATACTATTGTAATAGAATTGAAGGCAGTGGTGGCCCAGTGGTCGCTCGGGAAACCGAGTGAAGTGGGTTCGAATCCCGGGTCTCGCACCTCTGATATTTTCATGTGCGAATCATTTCTAACATGATTACCATTTGCCATGATTACGGTGAAGGAAAATATCGTGAGGAAATCTATAAGTCTGAGAGAACCTAGTAAGTTTTCGAAAGACATGTGATGTCCGCCAACTCGCACTTGGCCAGCGTGGTGGACTATGGCCTGATCCCCGTCGTATCGAAGGGAGGTCCGTGCCCAGCCGTGGGACGTCGAAAAGGGCTGAATACAATACAATAGAATAATGAGATAGAGAACGTGATTATTTACGGTAACACAACAGGGTAGAGCAGCGCGGCGAGGCGCGGCGAGCGCGGCGCGGCGGCGGCGGTGGCCAGCACGCGCGCGCGCGCGCCGCGCCACTGCGGCCCGCCCTCCTCCGGCGCCCAGAACCCGCCCTGCTGCACCAACTGGGGGCACGGGGATACGAGTTACTTATTCAATAATAAAAAAATACATAAATTCTTATTTTTTTTCAAAATACCGAGGGAGTTGCAGCGTGTATGGGTGTAAGCCTTCCTTCCTTCTATATATTGTACGACCTGCTATTATTAAGAGTATTAGGCGAACCTTGGAGCTAAACGGTTGTCTCATTTTGTTCCCACATTACAATCCTTATTCACTGACATTCAAAAAGGATGCACTAGATTCGTATAACTACATAATGCAATTCATCTTCAATGATGGCCCCGTATTAAAATTTAAATGTTTTTCCAAAGAATGATATAATTATATTAAAAGTGATTTTGATTTAGGTATTTTTCTTTTTTAATTGAAAAATTATTGTAATTGTAAAATCAAGGTATAATATATAAGAATATTATAGTTCTGACCGGTTTGGGTCATGGCGGAGGAGGTATTATAGTTTATCGTATTCCGGTAGGAAAACATTTTGACACGACCTGTGAGAGATAACCGCTTTACGTGTTCTCTGAGACACGCGGGTGAATCCTAGCCAAATTCCTCATTCCAGGCTGTCACTTAGAATTTCTTGACAAAAAAACTTAAAGACGAACCTCGGGCCGACCCAGGACTCGAACCCAGGAGCTCTGGACGTGTAGCCGTATACGTAGCTGTACGGCTGTACCTGTAATATGAAGGAGTGCACGAGCGAGGAGCCCCAGCGGTCGGCGCGCGCGCGGTGCAGCGAGCGCAGCAGCAGCGTGCAGCCGCCGCCGCCGCTGCTCACCGCGTTGTTCTGTCGACGGGATTATATTACTTACGAACCTACACTCATGTTATAAAAAGGTACAGATTGTACGTAGGGGGTCATCTTTGAAACTATAAAAAAGCATTTACTGTCAGGAATCATAATAACTTTAATTGAAGACGAAAATAAATGGGTATGTTGAGTTACTTTACCAGGTATTGTTAGGCACCTAGGCAAGCCCGATGCCCGAGCAAAACGTGGTAAATTACAAGTTCCTAATGATAGTAGTAATTTATTTATTACAAACAAACATAAAGGAAAGTAATATTTTATATAATTTTATGGTTAGTATGGAATAGACAGACTATACATGTATGTACGTAGATGTGATAAGTTTTATATTATCCCATACTTCAGAAATGATTGATTCCCCATACAAATCCCCCCCCCCCCTTTCATCCTTTAAGGGATGATTTCCGGGTTAAAAACTATCCTATGTCCATCTCGAACTATCTCCATACTTATTTTCATCTAAATCGGTTCAGTAGTTTAGTCATAATTAAAGATAAGAAACAAACAAGCAACATTAGTATGGATTTAGATAATATGTTACAACGTTTACATAATCTATGATTAATTATTATTACTTAATGTAAAAAACAGTAAAGCTAAATATTTCTTACTCGTTTGAGTTCAGCTATTATATCAGACGGTTCCAGAATAGGAGTGCAGTCAATTGTTATTACTGTCGAGTTGGTTTCCTTCAGAACAAATTCAGCCAAAAGACTAAAAGAAAAATATTATATTATTAGTTATATATTTTTTGTAAAACTATTACTAAGAAGATAGCGTTTATATGTTCGACCGGTATTTTCTTTTTTAGAATTCCGAAGTCAAAATGCAAAAACGGAAATCTTACGATTACGAGTATGTCATGTCCGCCTGCTCATTATGATAGTCATTTTTCTTGGAAACAATAGCACAGTAGGTTATATTTCTAAAATCTTATAAAAAAGTTATTATTTTTGTTATGTAATGTGTGTGTTCTTTTTATTATAGTTTTCACTTTTTCCCGTTTAATAATAATAATAATCTAAAGTATTCAAAAGAATGAGTACAAATTATTGCTTAAAAATTTTAACGTTTTTAAAACTGTTTAGAGGTTATTAACAAAAATTATTTAAATATTATTTGGCTTAGTTAGAATTTTATTATATGTATAGATTAATAGTTTGGATCGATTTCATTTAAAACATCTAACCTCACTGAGATAACTCACGAGTAGATCATATTATAACGCACAAATGTTTACGCAGCACACATGCTCTCAGTGCCCCTCTATTATATTCTAAAAAGATTCCGACGAATTGAGAACCTCCTCCTTTTCGGAAGTCGGTTAAAGAAACAGCTTCCATAGCAGGGGATGTCGCACACCGTCGGTCTGCCCGTCACCACGGTTGGTGCAACCCAGTCGAAACGTCGGAAATAAGGTATAAAACTAAAAAGTCCACGCGTTTAAGTCCCGTAGTGTAATTATTATGAAACAGCTTCCATAACTACCTATTTATAATAACATTATCGTCCGATACTAACAATTTGGCTTTACTCGGAACTCGAACCGAAGACGTCATCATTCAGCTATTATGTATAATAATACTACTTAGTTTAAGACGCTATCGCTTGTTAGGTAATATAATGACTAAAGAGGTTATAACATTACTCATAATAATGCTGTTTCGTTGGTCTAGTTGTCCAGGGTTCAAGTTCCGGGTCAACACAAGTTTGCTATTGAGTTTTCTGTTAAGAAATTGTCCATGATATCCCGGAGTTGCACGGTGCACCCTCGTATTTCGGCCAGCAGTTAAAGCCGTCAGACTTATGTCTGATCTCTCACTGGTCGACGTATTGTCGCCCCGTCGGAGTATGAGAGTGACAGGAACAGATTGTAAACCTGTGTTTGCGCGTACACTTATGCACTATACTATCTTCTGCGCAGTTGGTTAGTTTCAGTGACTACAGTCCATTCGCCTTAAGAAAATAGTGAGTCATCAAGTGCAACGGCAGGTAAAGGTGTATACAAAGTGGGAGTAAAAATTCAACCCAAATTCAATATTTCAAAAGATTAAGTTTAACGGATAAAAATCAACTTCATTATCTTACTTATCTCAAATCTTGATTTGAGTTGATAATGAGTTTATTTTGATTTGAGATAATTGCAGAATATAATTTTATCAAATCAAAATGAAGTCATTAATAATATATTTAAGTTTACCTTCAACTAGTCATTGTGAAATATGACTTTATAATTTTGTGCAATGTAATCGGTCGGGGGGCGTGGCTAGGCCGGTGGACACGGATGAATCACTATTTTCTTAACGCGAATGAACTATAGTCCAGATCGGCCACCGTGGCGTCGGTGTCAATCGGTCGGGAGGACAGTATTACTTCTTAGCGCAAGCGTCCGGGCCCAGCACGAGCGCGGGCGCGGCGGCGCGCAGGGCGGCGCGCAGCGCGGGCGCGGCGGCACGCACGCGCGCCGACAGCTGCAGCGCCTCCGCCCACTCCGCGCGCGCGCCGGCCGGCGGGGCCGGCAACTGTGGCATTTGTAGCTGGAACATTTACATTCATTCACTTGTCGATGTCTTATCGGAGTGTATAAATTTATATAATCGTATGTGTTGCATAGGCCTATAAAACAAGTTATTTTATGTTAAAACGTAAGTAGCAATAACAAGGTTGAGACAATGCCTCTTTTCATTTTTCAACATCTCTCAAAGTACATAACCATCCCCCTTATATCCAGCAACTATTCTACTGTCCATAAACTTATGCTAGCAGCGGTAGCATTTAAACTAATAATCTATATCAATATGATATTATGCAATTTTAACCTTTATGAATAAAACTGTTATGTCGCCGGGAATATGATAAATAAGCTAAAATAAATGGGCAAATACTATATCCAATTAATTATAATGTAATTAACTATATGACAATGCATGCATTTAAAAATGATAATACAGTGGAGTTTAATTACAAAAAAAAAAACAAAACAAAAACAAAAGTTTTACAGATAAAAATTGGGAAGTAATTAACATGTCTGTTTAGAAATGTGATCATAATATTTGATAGGGCAAATACCTAAAGTGATCATATTTAGCGTCGTAATTATCATGTGTAATGTGTATGTACCTCATCATAGAAGCTGTCAATCGCATTATTTTTAAGTAACCCCATAATGCTAAGTTGAACAGACGACCAAACTATGTCTTCTGCACTTATAGGAGTTTTCGAACTATCTTCCTCCACAATGTACTCAAATTGGGCTAATATTTGTTTCACCTAAAGAAAAACCAGCAAGTTTTAGATTAAATTGATTACAAAAATGCTTTGATCAATAAATAACATTGTTTTAATTTACATAAACAATTATTAAAATAATAACAAATAATATAAATTACCAGTGACATTTGGCAATCCCGTATGACCAAATCAGCTCTGTGTGAACTAATCCATTGTAAGATTTTCCTTATAGTCTGGTGTAGTAGCGACGCGGCCAGTCTTGCGGTTTCATTATCAAACTCTTTTTTACGAATCCAACTTTCTAATATTTCTTCTGAGCAGTGGTTTTCGTTACTGTATAAAATTTTTGCAGTATAATATACAACAAAAACATTAATTATTATAACATGTATAGTTATACATTTTTAGCCTTTTTTCACAAACAATTTAATTCACAATTAAAGCAAGTATGATGAATCATCGTAAGGCAGTAAGTTGTCCAGTGGTAACACACTCGCTCGGGAAACCGAGTGAAGCAAGTTCAAATCCCGGGTCTCGCACTTCTGATATTTTTATGTGCGTCATCATTTCTAGCATGATTACCACTTGCCTTACGGTGAAGGAAACATCATGAGGAAACCGGCATATCTGAAAGAACCTAACAAGTTTTTTAAAGGCGTGTGAAGTCTGCCAAATCGCACTTAGTCAGCGTGGTGGACTATGGCCTTAGTGTCCAGCAGTGGGAGGTTAAAAAAGTGCTGAATAGATGATGAATCTGTGTATACCTGAACAATATAATGCCCATACGCGATATAGTGGCAGGGGAGGCATGTTCCAGGGAATGAGTTTCGAAGATGAAGTTAACGTTGTTTCCGAACTGCACGCGCCAGCCCGACGGCAGCGTGAGCAGCCGGTTGTCGTCCAGCACCGAGTTGAGCGCCTCCACCCACTCCGGCTCCACGTCCCCGTCGCACACCACCCACGACCACACATCTGACACATTGTCGTATGCTGGCTTTATGTATTTGTTATGTTTGTTTGAAAATATTATTGTACATATAACTTCTTAAGAATTGGGAATGACAATTATAATGTTAAAAGAATACGTTCATTGTTTGTGACGGAATTATTACAAAAATAAAAAAAAGATTAAAAAAAAATTAGACTAAGTACTTGTCTAGAAAAATTATGCATTTTTTTTATTCTTTCATTTAAATAAGTCAAAGTTAGACAATTTAGTCATAACCTACTAATCCATACAATTGTTTTAAAAAGAAAGCGTCTAGACAAGGCAATCGTGCAACATAAGCGAGATGAGACGCTGGGGAGGCGCACGCGAATATAATACTTACTTCTATATGTCGAATTGAAAACAATCCACAGAGTACATTGGTATATACTTGAGAAACTTTTAGGTTAATATGTATTACTGTAACTTGCCACGAGATGGCACTATAGTGCTTTAACTTCAAAACCGTTCGCAATGAGATACTATTTTTAACAACAATAATCTTTGATACTGAGCCCACAGTATGGGTTTTAAATACCTAAAAACTTGATTTTTGGTTCCCGACGTTTCAAATGCTTTACATCAATCATAGTCACGGGAGAGACTGAGGCTACTGGGGAACCAAAAATCTTGTTTTAAAAAAGTTAAAGATTTGGGTAAATCTAAAAAAGTGTTACTGTATCATTATTTATTATTTATACTGTAGACAGTGCTGCCAATTGGTGGGTAAATTACCCGAAAAGCGGGTAATTTTAGGCGAATTTTGACGGGTATTTTAGTTTAGCCGATTATTTGATATTTTATGTTTTTTTTATGTTTGATTTAATAATTTAAAGCTGTTTAATTAAGAACTGATTACAATGACTTCTTGTTCTAACATTAGTACTCTCTTATATTCTATATAAAACATGAAAAAAATATTTAAAATAAATTATTTTCGGGTATTCTGGTCATGGCTAGCGCCTATGGTTTATTAGTCCAGCGGTGAGCGTACCTGCGGGCTGCGCGGCGGCGGCCAGCGCGGCGGCGGCCAGCACGCCGGCGCCGCCCAGCAGCGCGCGCCGCGCCTGCGCCTTGGGCGACACCACGCACTCCGCCACGCTGCGCCCGCGCTGCTGCATCGCCTGTGTACAGGCGATGCTTTGTGACTTTGTATGTACGGGATCTCCAAGAGTACCGCTCCAATTTTGATTTTTGTTTTCACTAATAGGAAGCTGACAATACCGCTGAGTGATATGGGCAATTTTTATTCTTATAAAAATGGGGTTATTGTTAAAAAAAAATAACTTTTATTGGAATCAGAAAAAAGTGGCAGTTGAGAGGCTTTATTGGCATACGACCTTAAGGACCGGGCAAAGTGACGGTACGTAGTGAGTTAGTTGCGCCGGTGAACAAAGTTACCGAAGGGCATCTTTGAGTATATACATAGGTATCTGGGCCACTAGTTTTGTAAACAATTTTAAAATAAAACATCTTTTGAACATTAATGTTATAACAAAAGTATATTGTCCTAAAAATAATTGTAAATGCTTACCGTTTTTAAAAGTTTTCTTATAGTACTTTTTCCAGATCCAGGAGGACCAACTATAGCAACTCCCATTCTTTGCTGTAACTGTTCATAGAGTTCCATACATTTTTGGATCTGAAAAAAAATGTATCAGGAAATAACTTTGCAAACCTTTTTAATAATGCATTTATGTATAGTAGATTATAATATTATTTATTATGAAATTGGCTTACTTATTTAGTTTTATAGGTAAAAAAAATAATTAAAAACTAATAATAATATATAAATATTATAAGTTATAGTAATAATTAAATTAGAAAATTATTATACACTGGATAACTTACTATATAAAAAATCTTCGTAGTAATAAATGTGATTACCCGGCTTTAATGACATTAGATGATTGTAATTTTACTGGAGGAGTAAACATATGTAATCAATTTGCAAAGCATTTTTCAAGACAATATGTTCAAAACGCCAAGATTTCTAGTGATACATCCTGCACTAATTGTAATGATACATGCAACTCGCTTTTATCAGAAATTACCATAACCGAAAATAAAATACTAACTCAAATAGAATCTCTAGATATAAAGAAGGGGCCTGGATCTGATAACATACCACCTATTTTTGTCAAAAAAACTGCATCAACACTAGTAAAACCACTTTATCTGATATATCAAAAATCACTCAAAGATGGCAAATTTCCCTCTTATTGGAAAAAAACGAGAGTTGTACCTATTTTTAAAAGTGGAGAGAAAAAATGCATAGAAAATTATAGACCCATTTGTATTTTATCAGTTTTCGCAAAAAATTTTGAGTCATTAATTTGTCCTTTTCTCACTTGGCACACAAAACCCATAATAACAGAGAGTCAACATGGTTTTATAAAAAATAGGTCTACAATTACTAATTTGGTAGCTTTTGTGGAGGATATCATAAAATCATTAGATTCTAATACACAGGTTGATTGTATCTATACAGATTTGGCGAAAGCTTTTGATGTGGTTGATCACAACTTTTTAATTCAGAAGCTTTATAAATATGGGATAAGCGGGAAATTACTTAAACTAATCGAAAGTTATTTGCAAAATCGAGAAATGAATGTTGTTTTGGGAGGTTATGAGTCAAATACATTTTTTTCAACTTCCGGAGTGCCTCAGGGATCGAGACTTGGTCCTATTTTATTTGGAATTTTTATCAATGATGCCGTAAATGTTATACATCATAGTAATTTTCAACTTTACGCAGATGATCTAAAAATTTATAGAACAATAAAAACTATTGAAGACTCGGTTCTTTTGCAACAGGATTTAAATAGATTTGCCATTTGGTGTTCTGAGAATCAAATGAAAATAAATAAATTTAAATGCCACAGCATAACTTTTAGTAGAAAAATAAGTGATATTAATTACAATTACAGTATAAACGGTTACCCTCTTAAAAAAGTTACTCAAACACGAGATTTGGGTATTATTGTTGACGCAAAGATGAGTTTTATTCCACATATAGATGATGCTGTAAGCAAATCATTAAGGACATTAGGGTTTATAATTAGATCTACTAAAGCCTTTAAAAAATCTAGTACATTAATAATCTTGTTTAATGCATTAATAAGAAGTAAGTTAGAATATTGTACAATAGCTTGGAACCCATATTATCACACGCATAAAAATAGATTGGAACGAATACAAAAGAAATTCTTAAAGTTTTTATCTTACAAAGACCGAATTAATAATGAAGTAAGCAATTATGATGATTTATTACGACATTATAAAATATTGAAATTAATTCATCGCAGGGATATTGCTGATCTCTGCTTTTTACACAAAGTAATTTCAGGAGATATCGATTGCCCTAGATTATTAAAAGAACTTAATATAATTACTCCTAAACCAAATGCAAGAGTAACTAATGCTCAAAGTTTTAAATGTCAGTTCTCGAGAACGAATTTAGGTTTAAATGCCCCACTATGTAGAGCTGGAAAATGTTATAATAACTTACCAAAAAATGACTTTGATATATTTTATGACTCCTTACACTGCTATAAGGCTAAACTGAAAACCTACTTTAGGAACTTATCTCAATCAAAAAACCCCTAATACCTTTTACATAGTAAATTATTATCTTAGTTTTATATTTTTCTCCATTTCTTTTTTTATTATTTCATTTGGTCATGGTTTGTATAAACATTGTTTTCTATCTATGTATTTACGATTTATGTAATATCAAAATTTAGTTATATTTTTGTTAAAACTTTTTTTTTTACAAGGATATTTTGTTATTTAAATGTTAGAGTTTTTTCATTTCTTATATTTTTTTTTGTAACATAAGTGAGCAACAACAATAACATTTTTCTTAGTTTAACAATTATTTTATACATGTTAAGTTAGCCTGTAATTGTGATATACTTTGTAACACTTTCTTATGTATAACTATAATAAGTTAAAAAATGTATTCTTAGTATATAACGTAGGCTTCCTAATAAATAAATAAAATAAATAAATAAAATAAATAAAATAAAACTTACCTGGAAGTCACTATGTACGAGGCCGAGTTCTGTTACCGCTGATTTTAAAGAAGAATAAACAGGATCTGTCGCACTCTCTTCCTCCGGTACATCCGCAAACACCATAGACAAAATGTTTTCAAATCTGTAATGTGTATGTTTAATTAAGAAGTCTGTAAATATTGTTATATTACAATCATAATTTAACAAGATAAACATTAACCGTTTTTAGAGAGAAAATAATCTTGATTTTGCTTGCAAAACGACATCAGATGAAGCCGCTACTTTATTAAATAAAAGATAGTCCGAGTTACATAGCTACATATTTCATTATTTACGTGTAAAAGTAAACGATTAGAACATTATAGAATATATCACAGGGGACAACTATAAACAGCAAGCGTTATGTTAACCCTTACAATATTACAATGTAAAACAAAATGTTCAGTTAAGTTTTTTGTTCATAATACTTTTTGAAGGTTTATTAAAAATGAAAACATGATAAAAGTCACCTTTCAGCATCATACACGGTGAGTTTAGATATATTATTCAGCCTCAGCACCTTCCTGAGCAGCGCGCGCTGCGCCGGCGCGGCGGGGGCGGCCGCGCCCAGCGCCGCGCTGCAGCTGCCCACGGCCGACTTCAGTGCGCGCAGGCCCCAGTCGTAATGCCTCTGATTACTCAATAGTGTGCTGGAATACATTCATTTATCGATTAGCTTCTTTTTTAAGCATTCAATTTATTTAATATTCATTTGATAATATATAATTTATTTGAATTAATATAATTTAGCTTTATCAGAAATTTAGTGTTGGAGCAGAATCTCCCTAATCTGAACAATAATATATTTTAATTGTAAGTATACCTATCACAGACTGCATTCAGAAGAAGCTGGTGATATTTCAACTTTTAATTACCTATCAATTTAGAGGTCATCTTTAAAAAGAAGATAAAAATATATTTTTGAATTTATAGAAATTGCAAATTTTACGTAATATTAGATGAATATTAGTGGATTAGATAATCTATAAATATAGATTTAAGTAAGAAGTCGAACAAAGCCCAACAAATAAATATAATTTTGAGGGGATGACGCAAAAATCAGACAATCTAAGCAAAGAACTGCTCTTTTCGTTATCAGCTCAAGACTTAACTTACAGGATTTGATTGTTTTACATAAATTTAATAAGAATTATATTGTTATCATTACTTCGTGATAAGAAATATTCCTCTTTTATTATTTAAATCTTTCTTTAGGGAATTTGCATGCATAGACACTTCACAAACGACATAGTATTTGATTGATAAAACATATATTCTCCACCTGATAATAATTTTAAATAAAGCAGCCATGATGACTGCCGACAGAAGTGAAAACTGAAAACTATAAACAAATAGTTGTTATTTTTGGATCTTCAAATTGTTTGATCTTAAATTAAAATTTGTAAATTAAAACTGTTTACATTTATATGGTTTTGACATTTATCAGCACTCTGAGCGTTAACACGTCACGTGACCATGTCGATGACGTGACTGATTTACATGAATTTACTTCCCATCCAAACCTGCCTATAGAAGTTTTTACTTCAAAAAAATTGACCATCACGGCACGCCCGACTGATGTGAAATATCCATGTTAATATTAGAATTCATAATTAATAAAAATCTACAACTAAATATGGAGTAAAATAAAGAAAAATAGTTTCATTATGAAATCTTTTTTATTTTTTTAATAGAGTCTTTTATAATGCAGCGTGTACGGTATACGCGTGCGCACATACAAGGGAGTCGAGAGCGATGGCGTAGAAGGGCCACGATAGTATCATGCCCTTTGCCGTCACGCCACACGAGTCAGTTTTACTGCCGAGGCGTACCAATAGATGTTTCACATCACAAACAATGAAACAGTCGTCGGTATGTGGTAGTAACCTCGCCAAAGTGAAGACGTCGTCCAGGTCGGCGGCGAGGCGGCGCGCGGCGGCGCCGGGCGCGGCGGCCAGCAGGCGCGCGGCCAGCGCGGCGCGCGCGGGCGGCCGCAGCGCCAGCGGCCGCAGCGCGTGCTGCAGCGCCGGCGGCAGCGCGCGCCGCCCGCCGTAGCCGCGCCCCGCCGGGTTCAGCGTGGCCGCCACGCCGCACCACGCCGACACCGCCACCTGGACACCGCTATCTTTGTCAAATATGTACTCATACCTAATCACGGACTTGCCGAGTGAGTACTGACTACTGACATTTAATTTAAATAATCCCTTCTTATATTCATTGTCTTAGTCTACAATAGTATATTAACAATAGGTAATTCGTGTTTATTTGGGAATAAGATGCCGTTTTAAATAAAAATATTTTTTCGATTTGGTTTTTAAGCAATATGAAAAGTCAAGAACCTAAAATCAAAACGTCTAATTAGAAACTAATCATGTCCAATAGCTAAGCAACCTGTTTCCCGTTAATGACGGCGACGGGGTCGGCGCCGGCGGCGCGCGCGCGCGCGGCGGCCAGCAGCGCGGCCAGCTGGTGCGCGACGGCCGCCAGCGTGTCGGCGGACAGGCGGTTGAACTCGTCGAAGCAGCCCCACGCGCCGCACTGCGCCACGCCACTCAGCAGCCGACCCATACATTCTGCGTCCATGGCCTATTTATTTTGAAATAAACTCGAATTTCAACGAGGTTTATCGTGCCTATTTTTTGACACAAATAATAATTATTGATGATGTTAATAATGATAAACAACAAAATAATTATATATTTTTAATAACTTAATCCGATTTTAAAAGTTTCTTTACTGTTTTTGAGCTACACTACTCCTAGTATACTATAAAGGCTATTTTTCACTTATGTCTGTATAAATGAAGGGCATTTGAATGCAAACTGCAAAAAATCTAAGATATAATATATTCAAACTGACAATGTATAGATAAATATAACTTACTTCATCACAATTAAAGACAAGCACGAGGCGTCCTACCAAAGCCCCTAAAGCTTTCACTGATTCTGTTTTACCAGTTCCAGCTGGTCCAAATGGATTTCCTACGAGGCCGAGGTGCATTGCCTAAATAAAAAAATAGTTGAAGTATCTTTTAGAATAAAATATTAATTTTACTTAACGACTTTTTAAATGGCGGTAAAAATTATTTATTTATAACTATACCTGAGTTAAAATTAGAAAACTTTCATCAGTAGTCTCAGTTCGTACAAATTGTCCAGTGTTTACACCGAGGTATTCATAGGAGTAAGAGATCTCGGCTAGGCCCATCTTTATAACGATTTCTTTAGTATTTAGTGAGTAAAATCTAAAACGAACCCGTAAGTAAAATGTAAACATTAGAAATTTATTGGCCAACATATAATATACTACTAAATTCAAAATATTAAAGCTATAATTTGTGTAATTTTAGCATATTTTGTCTTACAATAACAGATAACTTATTATTTTAGTATCAAGTAAAGGTATTTTCAGCAAGCTATGTATACCTGTCAAAGCCAAACGAACTCAAATAAGAGTGTATACAATGGTAGTAAATAGGGAGGGTAAAGTAGTAACACCAGAAATCTTCTGGTATACAGTAGTTCGCTGGTACCAAATTATTATATTTTCGTTTGAATGGCAATGTATACGTGTAAATTAACAGTATAAGGTCAAAGTCAGTATAAATCGATCGATTTGATTAGATTCTACTCTTAATAGTATAGGTACCAGTCAAGCTACTGACTGGTAACAATATAACACGTTAACAGACACGACCCAGGGGGTTGCTGCTGGTACTTCTCTGATAGCAGAGTGGACCTTGGAGCAACCCCGTGGTTGTGGTGGTCTGCTTCGGCAGACCTGCCGTCGGGGCCGAGTAGTTGAATGCGTAAGCGATCCTGCGACGCCCCATTAAGACGGGAGAAGGCTCTGTTGGGTTTTAGTGGGTAGTACTGGCTTCGCCGGTGAGTCCCACACTTCGTGCGTAAATGCATTTCCCAACGTTAAAAAAAAAGTCAAGCTACTGAACTTTAAAAACTAGACGTAGTTAAATTTACAGAAATCGATGAAGATGAATATTTTAACTAACCTCAATTGTTTTTGCCAGTGCCAATCATTTAGGGTCACCACGTTGTGCTCTATTAATTCTTGAACCATCGATTCATAAAATGCACATTGTAATATTAGAGCTTGTTTCTTATACTTTTCCGTTTCATCCTCGATTTCAACATCAGCGTAATAAGAATTTTCATTTTCAATGTTATTTTTTAATTTATGCAACTCCTTGGATATTATAGCTTTCTCCGTTTGCTCTGTAAACCTTATAATTTGCGATAGACACAGTATTTGTGTCGGCAACGAAAATGGATCTTGGTCTTGAAAGCTATTTGCAACTAAGCATTTTATTGCCATGCTCTGGAGTGACGAACGCATTTCTTGTTCTAAATTTTTTAGCCATAACTGCAAAATATTGCAAATATTTAGATATTTATTTAATAACTGTCTCGTTGGTCTAGTATCAGGTACGGCTGCAGATCCGGAGGTTCTGAGTTCGAGTTCCTGGTCGGTCCGAGAGTAGTATATTTGTAGTAATTAGGTTTTTTCATCAAGAAATTTTCAGTGACGGAGAGGAAAGGGAAGTAAAGATATAATAGTATATTATTATAATATTTGTTTTTTTTTTAGTACGTACACGTTATCTTTCTGATTACGTAATTCCTAGTTTCACTCTTATAATTCACACAACAAAAACAAATCTATTCCAAGGGAACCGTATATTTTTCCTGGCTAAAAAGTACGCCTATGTGCTATTCCAGACTATAATTTATCGCTGTGCCAAATTTCATCCAGATTCGTTCAGCCGGTCTGGCGTGATTGAGTAACAAACATTCAAACATCTAAACTTTCACATTTATAATATTAAGTAAGATGATACCATTCAACGTATCTATTAATGTTTTGATATTTGTTTTGGAGAATGTGTGAATTATATTTTTTGATTGCAGCTAGTTGACAATTATAAACTAGTTCTACTAATGGTTATTCAAAAACTATAAATTATAATATAAGTATTTAATATGTGTATATAATATATATACGTATACAATGTGTATAACGTGGATTTGACTTTGATTAATTTAAATTAATTTGGTATAGATAAACATTTACCTCAACAGAACAATCGATATCGACTGGATGGTCAAGCTGAAATACTTCCCCATGACTACATAACGCGGTGATCGATAGATCGCTAGGCCCGAGATGTACGCCTGTTATGCCCGGGAAAAGCTTTTTAAGATGAGACTGCATCACCGCCGCTTTCCCTTCAGCACCAGCTCGCGCTTGTCCCAGTAATTCCAGTAAATCATCGTCGCTTAAGAAATATAGTCTAGGAAAGATCGAACGTTTATCCTGAAAAAGTATTGTAATATATTTAATGTATCAACGCAACTAAAAATTAAGAAACGTACCTATTGCATCTAAATATTTTAATTATGTATTTAAATATTCCTACGTACCTATATAAATAATTTTAAAGGATTATGTTAATAAAAACTTATGTCAACTTTTCTAGAAGAAATTCATACTAGAAAATATTGTATGGTTGGTAATATAAATCATACAGTAATTTTAATATTCGTGTGTATATGTGAGTAATGAGTATCAACAATTAATGATAAGCAAAAATATTTATAGGGACTTCATAAATTGATAACACAAGAAATTATATCATCATCATTAAACTTAAATTTGCAAAGACAAAGTCCGTTTTCATTTTGGAAGTCGGTTAAAAAAGAAGTGAATGATATTGAAGGAGAAATTATATTATGCAATCGGAGATGTACATGTTTTATCCTTCCTGCGTGAATATCTCTATGCAGATAAATAAAATTGAAGTACCTATTTGTAATGTCTAAATAACAGCGTTTTCTAAATGCATATAAAATTATTATATACGGTACTTATAAGAAGAACATTTTTTAAAATTTTTGTCTGTGTGTCTGTCTGTTTGTTCTAATCTCTGAAACGGCTGGACTGATTTTAACGGGACTTTCACTGGAAGATAGCTGATGTTATAGGGAGTAACATAGGCTACTTTTATTTGAGAAAAAGAATTCGGGTTCCGCTCAAAAAAATTAAAACGCACCTAGGGACGAACCCGAGCGAAGCGAGGGTGAGTCGCTAGTCCATAAATAGAAATATACCTCACAAAACCCTTCTTTGGGCTACGCCGCAATCGGGTAAAATTAGGTAAATACTCGTATTGTTTTTAACACGGTTTGATTATTCTACGATTAATCGTATGATTTTTTCAGTTAGAGAATAAAAAATGTATTACATGTACATACTTTAATAGTCATTGATACTGTTCGCCTCCAAGTATTATTACTTACGTCGATGTACTGGTTTAATGCTGACTGGCATGCGTTTAATTGCTCGGATATGGCATCGAGCATTGGCTGCAGTCTCGCAGATTGTACTACAGCTGAGATGCGGGGATCTGATTCCAAAAGCCGTGTAACCTGTTTAAAACCTTGGTCGACTTTTCGAAATTTGAGCCCTAAATCTCCATCGTCGTTAGAGAGTATGGGTTCCAAATAAAGCCATCTGAAATGTAACGAATATCATCTCGACTTTTGTAAACTTTTTTTTTCTACACAATATTTCCACAAGGCAATAAAGATGAATAGGCACATATTGTAAAATAATAAAAAAAATGTAAAACATATAATAAGCTATATTAAAAATATTAACGTTATATATTAAAGAGTTTGTTTGTTTTTTTTGTTTGTTTCGGACTTTAATTAAAATTATTATGATTTCAGACAGTAAACACAGTTTTATCGGAATAAAAAATTGTCTAAAGCTATCAAGTAATATAGCTTCTCATTAGTAAAACTTTATACAAAGTTAGAAACTTTACCTACCTCTTTGTAATATTGAGGTAGATTTATTATTGAAGGTTATCGGATATCTAACATCATGCTACGACTCTTTAGGAGCTAAACAAATACAAAACAAATAAATAAAGTAAGCGAGCAGACTGCGAGCTAAGTGCTTTGTTATGACACAAATCATCTACTCATCAAAAATATATACAGAGATATATGATTAACATGCTAGTAGGTACTCAAGTTTCGCTGAATACAGCTTATAGTAGGTACCTACAATATTAACATCTTTTATTATACCTACAGATATCATTATCTATACATATAATAAAATTGTAACTAAACCGAATCTGTACATTAAATATTTTTTGGAAAATCTTATTGAAATAAACATTATTATCGGTACAGAGGCCGAATCTATAGTTTTTAGAATTTTTGTCTGTCTGTCTGTTACCGCATCACAAAAAAACCACTGGAAGGATTTTGATGAAATTTGGTATGGTGATAGTTGGTTATCCGGGTTAACATATAGGATACTTTTTACCGCGAGAAAATGTCTCATTTTTGAGAAAAAATACAACAAACAAGAAAAAAACTGCAATATAAGAGTATACTAATATGTAAAACCTAAGAATTTTTTTTGGTCATCTGAACGCGGGCGGAGCCGCGGCCAATGCTAGTTTGGTTATAAATATTATATTCTTATTTCAGTCGCTTCCAAAATTACCTACTTAAATAAAATAAATATGATAATATTATATAAAATGTGATGTTTTGTGTGTGTGTGTGTGTGTGTGTGAGGCTTTCTTAAACATATTATGTTTATATCTATAGGGCGCTTAGTAAATTAATCCATAATAATAATTATCAATCGACATTCCAAAAAATGGCGATGGGTTTATAAATAAATATTTACAACATAAATCTAACGGGTGAGAAGCTAAGACGAAAATGTTACTAAACAAAAATCTAGTGTACCTACTATAAATTAATTTATTATTAGATCAAACTTTTATGACTTGATAATTGTGATTCAATGAAGATTTATGATGACTAATATTATCCAAACCTAAAATATCTACCTCTTGATAAATTTTATTAAAAAATTGGGTTTGCGAAAATCAGAGACAATAAAAAGATAATTATATAAGAAGTTTTTATTAACAATGTAGCATGTTATTCTAAATTTTACAATAAAAAATGACACAAAATATGTACCAATACGTGACTGTCACAAATATGATTATTTGACGAACTATTGTATCTTAAGTTAGCTTTTTAATGTCTTTATAATAAATATATAGAAGACTTTCAATCAAACATTTATCAAAGCGATTTTGTTTGTAACAAAAGATTACAAAATATGCTTTTAATAATTTTATTTATGCACTGTAATCATTACACGTACATATAATTTATTGTTAAACAATAATTATTTAAGTAAGGGGCCTTATGTTTGTACACATAAAAGAAATACCATTGTATTAATTAAAAGTATTTTACAATTAATGTTAATTAAAATAGTACAGAATTAAATGCATCATTCAGTATTAAGTAACAACTAAAGCCATTATATATATTTGGATATATAAATATTATATATAAAGAACATGCTCTAAAACAAAATCATGTGTGAAGGAATTAATCTAAATTTATACACGAATCTTAAAATAAGTTTATGATACACACTGAAATTTCTTTGGAATACATTTTATGAAATAACATTAGTTACTTATTTGTTATATTATATGTTCTTAATGCTAGTTATACTCTACAGCTTCTAACAATGGAACAAATGGTTACAAAGTTTATTCTTTATTTTATTGTTATTTACAATATATATATTAGATTACACTAATGTTTACATAAGTGTTTGTTGAAAATTCTTTACTTATGATGTTGAATATAATATTTTTGATATGTGATGATGGGTAGAAGTTTCTAAAACATTTAAAGGTATCAATTGTTAATTTAAAACATATTTAAGAAATTATATTATTATTTTCAAAAGAACAATTGATTAGGTAATATTAGATTGTAATTAATTACTAAGATAATACAATGTATATATGTATAGTGTAATTTTATAAAATTTTCTCAACATATTAATAGCCTCACTTGCTCTAGTATATAAATAGTGACTAATCAGAGAATCATTACGTGGTACAAGATCTATAGTAGTCAGAACGCTTAGTAATTTCTGATAAATAATAATTCATTTGCGTATTCAGTTCACCAATTTTTTTTTCTAAAACATTTAATAGTTCGTTGTGGTCGTTGTACAGTTCTTCCATGTTTGCTAAAAGTTTCAATTGCATCTGCGTATCACTAGCTAGTTTAGTGGCTCGATTAAGTAATAATTGAGCTCGTTCTCTTGAATTAGAAGTTTGGCTTGCCCTGTCTGCTAAAGATATATTTGTTTGCTTAAAGTCTTGCCTGAGTTGCCTCGCTTTCTGCTCAGCTCCTTCTGCTTTGTTGACGACTTCATTGGCTTCTAGTTTAACTTGCTCTGCATCACTTTCAATTTTTAATATATTTTTCTGTAAGTCAGATAAACGAGTCCGTAGTCCTTCAACTTCATCCATAGTTTCATTCGCTTTCTTTTGGGCCTGTTCGCTTTCTAAAGCAATAGGGGTTAAGTCACTTTTAGCGGCTTCAATATCACTGTTTGCTTTGTCGATAGCATCTTCTGCTGCATCTTGCGCGATTTGAGCCTCATCCAAAGCTTCCAATACCTTATTGGCCATAACTAAAGTTAAATTAGCAGCTTTATTAATAGTCGTTGCATTTTGTTTTAACGCTTTTGCTATGTCTAGATCTGGTTTTGTTTCAGCTATAATATTTTCTATATTAGTTAATTGTGACACAGTGGAATTAATGCGTTGAGATAATTCAGTAATTTCCTTGGGTTCAATGCTAATGGATAAATTTAAAATTTCAGTAGCGAGTTGTCTGACTTCTTCAGGAGTATTATGTGTTTTAGACAAAAACTCTTTTAATTCAGAAGTTAGGTCTTGGCTCTCATTTGTAGCTCTTTCAGCTGTTGCTTTAAACTCGCCAGCTCGATTGAACAAGTCTTTTGCCCTAGATCGAACAGCAACTGTATCTTGTTTTACTTGAGAAACAGATCTAAATAAGTCTTCTGCCGTTAATTCATGATCTTTAATTCTATGTTCTGTCTTATTGGCAAAGTCTAGTGCTTGTTCCGCTTTTGTAATAGCACCTTGATCACATGAGATACCACCACATTTCCCACATCCAGCTCCTCCACATATGTCACATGTGTCACTTGCTTGGCCACACATATTTTCATTTATTTTTGGTAATTGTGCCTCCAATTCAGAAAGTTGCTGCTGTAACTCATCTAATTTCTTGTCATTTTCGTTTTGTGTCTTATTAAAATTGACATATTGCATTTCTATTAGTCTGTCAGTATTTTTAATTTGTCTGTCAGTATTAGCTATCAACATTTGTACATTTTCAGTATCATCAGCTGCTTTAAGAGCTCTTTGTTTTGCTTCGCGTGTTAAATTGAGAGCACCTTCCAAGTTAGCTTCCTGTAATTTCGTTGCGTTATTTTCTAATTCAAGTGTTTTAGACTTTAAGTAATCAATGCTACTTCTTAAGCCGTCCAAAGTTACATTACCAAGGTTTATTTTGGATGTAATTGCATTAAGATTATCATTACTATCCTTTACTTTCTTATCTGCGTTATTTAATTGATCTTGTAAAGTTGATATATTTGCTAATAGCTCCTTAACTGTGGTTTGACCTAATTTTGCACTTTCTAACGAATTTTCTACATCAGATAATTTTTTAGTCATCTCTTCAAAATCTCTAGTATATGCTCCAGTGGCTCCCACTACTTTAATCTTACTTGCATTTCCAATTGCATATTCAGTTTGTATACGCAAATCTTCTATTACTTTATCCCAACTGTCAAAACATTCACCACATGCATAGCACTCTGGAGCTTCACCAAGGTAGCCTCTAGCACACATGTTACATTTATATCCGCCAATTCCTGGTTTACATATACATGATCCATTGTCACGCATACATTGCTGAGAAACAGAACCATACAAGTCACAGTCACATTCGTAGCATTCAACATTAGGATTACCCCAATGATTTTCTTGACATTGATCACATTGCCTGCCGCCATAGCCAGGTTTGCAATCACATTTACCAATATATGGGTTACATTGAGGTGAAAGTGAACCGATTGGATCGCACTCACATGGATCACAACCAGTTCCCAAGGCAATTCTCCAGTGATTTTCAGTGCACTGATCACAGTTTATCCCTATAACATTATTGAAACAAGGGCACTGTCCTGTTATACCATCACAATTGCCTTGGGTGAAGTTGGTACCTAAAACTGAACAATTACATTTATAGCATGCTTTTTCTGTTGCATTACCATAATAACCATCTTCACACATCTCGCAATGATCGCCTGCAGTGTTATGTAAGCACTGTAAACATTTTCCTGTGTATGGATCGCAGTTATTAGGCTTTGTGGTATCAATATTGTCATTGCATTCACATTTTTCACATGTACCCTTTATTGGATCACCGTAGTAATTATCGGCACAAACATCGCACAGTGAACCAGCATAACCTTCTTTACAGTCACAAACAACATCTTTAGTTTCGGAATCTAATTCACATCGATCTGCGTGACTATTTTTGTTCGGATTACCTTTAACGCCAGGACACGGACAGAGTCGACAAGATATATCGACACCAAGTCTTGGATCACCATAATATCCTTCGATACATCTTTCACATCGATGACCTTCTGAATAGTCTCTACAATCTTTACATGCTCCGGTTTTGTCATCGCATTCAACGGCATGACCGTTGCAATCACATTGTTGACAGTTAGGAAAATTGAAATAGCCAGGTTGACATAAGTCACAAGCTCGACCATAAGTATTAGCTCTGCATTTGCATTGTCCACTAGTAACATCGCAAAAATTATCAAGTGATCCTATACTATTACAGTCACAGCGTTTACAGCCAAACTTGCTAAATCCGTATGTCCCAGGAGCACAGCGGTCACACCTTGCGCCAACAATATTTTCAACACATTGGCAATGGCCTGTGTAAGGATCACACTGATGGCTTTTTGAACCTGACGGATCACACTGACAGGACTCTGATCCATTTCTTATATAGAAACCAATACTTGCGTGATATTTTTTGCAAATTTCGGGTATGTTATCTCTATTAAGATCATAATAGTACGAATCACCACAGTTATACCGGTCAAATTCATCTCGCATGGAGCTTCCATTAGTTAAAAACGGTAAATCATCTACAGAAGGTATAAGAACTATAGAATCAATTAAAACAGAAGCTCTGCTGTTTGAGCTGTATCCATCTTGTCTGCCTAAGTAAATACGAATTTCGGTTTCTTTGTTCTTTTCCAAGCAAATTGGAGGTCGAACTAAAATACTGCGTTGATTCGCTGGAAGCTTCGTAGTAATAGTATCATCTTCTGGGCGTACGTTAGCACAGGACGACTCTGTGTCAATCGGTAAAGGCCTTTTAACCAATATGGTAGCCTCTTCCCAATTCAAATGAGATTGCGGTTCATATCTAATAAGAACGTTATAGTTCATGCTTCTTTTCAAATTATTAACCACAAAGACAAGCGTACTACTTTCAGGTATTTTCATAAAACCAGGTCCTGTCCAAGTTTCTTTTCTGCCATCTGGATAATTTTCACGTATTACAACATGACACAATTGACTTTGTATAGCATTATCATCTATTTGCGAATCACATTGACTTGATTCTGCTTCATATATAATAGAATCGAGTGCTCCAACGAAAAAGTTTTGGATAGGTTGATCACAGCGACGACCTGTTACGTTTGGACGGCACTTACATTGTCCTGTTATAACATCACAGTCTCTATCAAGGGAACCACCTAGATCACAATCACAAGGCAAGCAGCCGTCATCTACATCAGATAAACCGTAAAATTCAGGTAAACATTGATCACAGTTTCTTCCGGTAACATGACGCTTACAGATACAATTACCAGATAACGGATCGCATCCTCTCTCGTTCACAGTTCCAAGATGGTTACATGTACATGAATCGCATCCTTCGGGATTTTGTGGGTCAAAGTTCCAATAGCCATCTTTACATCTGTCACATCTTGCTCCATCAATGTTAGATTTGCAAAGACAACGTCCAGCGGTTTTATTATTAACTAAATCCGTTTCATCTTCACATAAAATTTCTTTGTCCGTTGTTCCATCTGGGTCACAATCGCAAGGTTTGCATGTATCGGGACTTTGTACATCCAAACTGGGATCGCGAAAGAAAGTAGGCTTGCAAAGTTCACAATTTACACCCATAGTATTATGTTGACAATTATCACAAACACCACCACTTACTTTCCCCGTTTTATTGTACACAGCTGCATCAAAATGGCAAGTAATTGCATGGTTATTACAAGTACATCTTTTACATGCATTTGAAGTTTTTCCTACTGCGGGCTGCCAAGGTAAGTCGTTATAAAAATCTTCACAATATTCACAATTTAGACCACGAGTATTGTGAGTACATTCACAGCGCCCATGTACCATATTGTTTTTTGAATCAACTCCAGGCATTGGTAAACATCTAGAAGCGTGACCATAACAGGAACAAGAACCTCGAACAGTCATTTCATATATAGCATAGTAGTACTTCTCCTGTATTTCAGCTCGATTGTCAAGTAAGTCATCACCAAGAGTATGCAGTTTTGTAAAATTAATCCGTAAATTAGTCATTCGCAATAAATTTTGAACTTCTTCAGAGTATGGATTGGTCACATGTATATTTGGAGGTAATACTCTGAATATTACTTCACCTTCAGACGATGGCGCCACACCTGAGTAACGAGATTCACAAACCACCTCCGTTAAGTTTCGTTGAGTGTGCTTAGGCACTGAGGGGAAAGCTTCGTCGCAATTGTGTGCGAAGTATCGATAAACTCGCCAAGTTTTACCAAAATCAAATGACCTCTCCACTAACATGGCTGCCGGTCGAAATGTTTTAAACTGAATAATTAAATGTGTAAGATGAAATTCTGCTTCCATATCCAACTGAATAGTAACATTTTCTTTTCCATTTTCAGATTGCCACCAAGATTTTCTTATTGTACCGGGAATATATTTGTATATAATATTCTGAATACGGTGATTTAGTGATAGATTATTATTCGTGTTGTTTGTTGAATCGCACCAAAAACACTTCTTGCGATCTTCGAGATGCGACACGATGCAGTAACGCTCGCGTCCGGAGCTTCCGCATGTGGAAGACGCAAAGAGTCTATTCTCGCGACCGATAAGCAAGTTTCCAGTTGCAGGATAACAGGAACTAAGCTCGCAAGCTCTATCTAAGATTCTCGGGTCGGTACGTAAACGATCGCGATGTCGACTATAAACCGCGTCTCCGCCGGCTAAAAGCACGGGGAGAATAAACAACGCAGCGCGTAAAGCCATAGCGCGGACCGAGCTAACCGCGCGTTGCCTACAGCACTGCGGCCTGCCACCCGCACTACTCCCGCGCAGCCCGTTTCCCCCACCTCATACGTTCACCCGTCAGCTCTACTAATTTACAGAGACAGATTCCACGCTAATGATTGAGTAGTATTTTTAAGTAATCTATTTTATTATATAGGTATATTTAGTTTATGTAGCATGCATTTATAAGACATATATTTGACGTTCTTACTTAATGTTAATATTATAATTTAGTTATTTATTATTATTTATTAGTAATTTCATTTAATTATATCATTAAAAACTATTAGAAAATAGCCTTACGTAGATAAAAATAACAAATTACATGAATTATAATATTTAACAAACAAATTCATACGTAGCTTAAAATTGACTGTAGCAGAAATAGATACGAGGTAGTTTCTTTACGTTCAATAACTTCAAATAAAAAACTTTTATGTCTGACAACAAGATCCGGCCCTGTAAGAGGCGACGACCGCTCCCGCCCGCGTCCCGCCCGTACCGTTCTCCGAAATGGACACTAAGCAACAAAAATAACACGCCTTTTGGGACCTACTTTTGTTTTGGTCATACTTATGGCAAATGCGGTATACTTTTTAAATATTAGATAGAGTTATCTATAATGAAATGAAAATTTAAAGAAATGTCAGAAGATGTTGGACTATGTATTAAGTAACTCTCGAATCTATAACTCGTCACATGATAATTACAGGGTTGGTTTGGGACGTTGCAGCAGACAGTGATACACAAATCGACAGCGGTCGGCCTTCCGCTCTCCACATCCGTCACTGATAAATGATAATACATTTGCGATGTAAGCGGCAGAGTCATTTACCAGAGACATATAATATATATAGCTAGAGGCATACATATTCATATAAAATTATTATATAGATATAAGTACTAGTCAAATTTAATTATTATATATTTTTAATAAGTAACTTTTTGTAATAATATAAATTTAGCTAGGTTGGCTAAATATACATATATTAATTTTTTTATATAAATTTATACTGCATAAATATGTATAAAAATATAACTTATATCCATGTAAAAATGTTTATAATGTTGAAAGTTTAATTTACTAATGAAGTTTGTACGAGCTTGAGCTTAATTTGCCATAACGTAATAGTTAAATGAAGTGAACTCGAACAGGTGGATGAACATTAGCAGATAGTAGATACACATTTATTTACACTTTACAAACAGTCTTCTGTAACATATTACTTATCTCTCGTGACTAGTATGTCAGTGTCAGATGAATTGGTAAGATATTACCATGACTATAACATAAGTAATTTAAAAAAAATTAAACCAACCTCAAAAAAATATACTAAAAAGTAAAAAATAACTGAACGGGAGTTATGTAACCCAGCATGTGATCTCTTTGGAATCCTTCTCACTTCTCAAAAGGATCTTTTACTATTAAACGTATCGCCCATTCGTCCCATTAGATATCCTTTTCAGAAGGATATGTTATTATAAACAATGCACATGCAAGACAATTGAGTTTTCACAATAAATCCAGCATAAATAGTTTAAGGGTCGAAGGGTCCTTTTTTGGTTGAGAACCCACCGTCCCGATAACTTTACTCGGGGTTTTCATTTACTATATAGATTATAATTAATCAGATACCTATTTTCGAAGTCGGTGCAAGCCGATGCAAAGTAAATCTATTTCGTTACATATAAATAATTAAATACATCACAAATTGATCTAGAATATTTTAACTATAATAATTAATTAGAGTTCATACCTTTTCATATTTATCTATATGTTTTTGTAATAAGTGGCAATTACAAAAACTATTTCAGATTTAGTTACACGTAGTCCATATCATAAAAACTATTGAACTGATATTGATGAAATCTTTATTTTATATCTTTATTTATAATATATATAAATATAATAAAAATTTAAACTATAAATTTTCTAAAATATTGACCAGCCGTTTTCCTAGACACAAAAAAAAACAACCTTTTTCAGGCCATATATTTTTTTGTCTAACTTATCGATAAATCTATCGATATTTCATTTCAAATATAAATTATCAAAGTCAAAATAGTAGTATGTACGTACGGTACGTTTAAAAGGTGGGTATGGAATAGATAGTCTATCGCTTGTTGTGTGAAAAAAAATCAAACATATATCAAGGGAACCGTACATTTTTCCGGGATAAAAAGTAACCTATGTGCCATTCCAGACTATAATCTATATCTGTGCCAAATTTCATTCAAATCCGTTCAGCCGCTCTGGCGTGATTTAATAACGAACATCCATTCAAACTTACGGATTTATAATATTAATAATAATTTATAATATAAGTTATCACTATACTAAATTTAGTTAAAAGCGGTTCAATCCTGTTTGCGTGTCACGCGCACACCTAAACAAACAGACCGACATACAGACAAAAATTTTAATAACTATTTTTTGGGGTCCATATTCTGCACACAATACGTTACAGTCATGGTTTTGAAAAAATATTTCATGTACAGATTTCGCTAAGTTACTGTTTTATTATATTAAATGTAGGTATAGATTATATTTAAAGAAAGCAAACCAAGCTGATGCTATTATTTAGAAGTATATAAAACACCTACTTAAAGTTTTAACTACAATATAATATATCGGTCCCTACTATTTGGAGATAATAATTCACAATTTCGACATTGTGTGATAACCTCTTATCAATGTCAAGCAGAATAGAACTAATATAGACTTTAAAAAAAATTATGATTCTTTTATTTAAATAATCATTCCTACAAGCCACTATACAAAACAATTGAATTGAATAATATCATTGTTGTGATAACAAATGAGATTAATCCCTCCACGACCTCGGACACACCGGCGTGTCAGTTAACAATAGATTTCTTAGAATTTTAATTAATTTCTTAGAAATTTACCTGGAGGTGGTAATAGAGAAATCCAATCTTAATATTAGAAAGAATAAATAAGAATGTAACATACATATAAGCAAAAAAACTGTGGCAAATTCGTCCGCGTGAATGATCAAAAACAAGGCGCCCATGTGTTAATCTTGTTATACAGAACACGATGAAACAAATACATCACATATTGAGAGAATGATATCTTTATCTTGCAGGTTGCATAAATTTTTTCACTGTATAAATGTTTACTTGATATCGGTATTTATGCTAACATATTTCTAATAGGCATATAAAGATATAGGTAAAAGTCTAATATAACAGTCATACATCACACATGTTTCAATTGTAAGCTCGAACAAAAAAAAATTAAAAGTTAACCCCGCACACAAAAAATTAATTTAAAAAAAGTAATGACGAAAGATGAGCGAAGAGAGAAGAGAGATCATAAAAATATTAATAGGTACTTTTAATGAAGTTAAAGGTCAAGAGAAAAAAATATTTTTTTTTCTTTTTAGAGCTTTTTTTGTGACGGGGGTTATTTAAAATTTAGAATTTTATTTTTATTTCATTCTTTTTTAATTATTCATGGACACTAATTCTAATAGATAACTCTCATTGAGACTATTCTTATGATGCCAAACACGTCATCTATATCTGCTGTAATTTTCGGAGAAAGAGCATCCCGCCGAGTATTTGATGCTACAGCATCAGCTCGAGGTAAGCAAATAGCATGGCTAGGAAAAACCACTGAAATGATAGTACCAAATTTTAAATCAATTAGATCTGCGAAAGTTAGTAAGATCCTTATGTCAATTAGGAAATGAGCTGATGATCAACAAACGCCTGAATAGATCTTCATAAATTATAGTTAAGAAATAAGAACCATCTCGATCACTTCAGCTATCAAACAAAAAAAACCGCATCAAAATCGGACAATTCGTTTAGGAGCTACGATGCCACAGATAGACACACAGACACACATCAAATGATCAAACTTATAACAACCTTCTTTTTGCATCGGGGGTTAAAAATTAAACGTGAAAGCTAACCGCAAGTAACAATATACCTACTAATTTATTATTTAAGACTGTTCTAATATTATGATATGTTGTATCTATATAGTACAACAATCTTATAGACTGTGTCGTCATCACTGTGAATGAACGCTTTCGCTTCGATAAGCGTTCATCTAAGAAGCCGGTTGTAATGTTAAAGTTCAAGAGATAAGTGCTTAGCTTGTGATCACATATTTAACAAACGATTTAAAAGTTTCGGTTAATAAATAATAACTTCATTTACAGTAATGACTAGATGGGTAAAGGTGCAAAGAAAAATAAAACATATTATAGATACGTATAATAAAATCGTAGGGAGGTGAGATTGTGAGTACACTTGTCTATTTAGCTGGACTATATAATTCGATAGATATAAAATATAAATATATCAAAACATAAATATTATGTCATTATATATTCGCATATTTTATACATACAAATAATAACCGATAAAGTTAAAGAGTACAAAAATAAAAAGATACCGACTGCATAAAAAGCGAGCTGAAGAGAAAAGAAGGAACGAGGAAGGAAAGGAAGGAGACACACCTACACGCAGCTATTCTAAAACATGTTCATACATATACGTATGTAAAAATGAATGTAGACAAAATTTTAATTAGAATGAACATTATTAAAAATTAAAATTAATAAATAATATTATTAATTTTTAATGCCTATTTATTATATTTTGGTAAAGTTTGAGTTGAAGATTGAATTATGTAGCTAACAACTTTCCGATATTGTTAAGATCTGTAAAACTTTCTTCTAATATATCAATTAAGCTTTTATTATATTTAAAAGCTGTGATGTTTATGAAATAATAAATTGTAGAGATGCAAAAAGGTGCAGATCGCAATAAGGTCAATATTTCGCCTTGTGAAAGCTTTTAAAAAAATAAAACTAGTAGAATTTTGAAGTAGTCGGATATAATTAATTTTTATATATTTATATACATAATACTAATGTCTAAATCGTAAAATAATAATAGAGGGTGTAAGGTACATATTTCATAACATAATACCAGACAACGAGAAAGTGCATTCGTGTTTAAGCGTCTTGAACACACGCTTTCAGCACACCGTTTTAAATGGTCGTGCTATCTTTATAGCGTGTCGCCTAATTTTGGATGCTGGCTAGGAAGTATAAATTTTGGTTCAACGAACTTGGGTTATCGAGATAAGTCAGTTAAATACAGTTTACATCCTGTAACTTGTCCTCTTTTGTCTACTGCTATTAAGTTATAAACCTTTTATATGTAGCTATAGCTTTATTCCTTAAAAAAAAACTACGTTTTAAATTTTATTTGCATATTAATAATTATATGAAATCAAAACTTAATCATTAAATATCATAAGTATCTGCTTTATATCGCGTTTTTTCGCCTTACATTGCAATAATTTATGATGACCGAACGTAACGATAGAATTTTTTGAAACGTACGTGTTTGAGAATAATTATAATTTAATTTATTATAATAATATTTTGTAATAATTATTTATAAGAATATACTACACACTTTTTGTAAAAAAAATATGCATATAAAGCGCACAAGAGGCTTGAAAGTTTAAATAGGATAAAAATAAAGAAGTCACGAGCTCTTTAATAACACAATCTAAATATTATTATAATTTTATCTATATAAATTATAAAACATATGTACACAATATAAATATGTAGTTTAATATAACAATTTTATAAAACTTTACAAAATAGCTACTAGGCTTTCAAAAAAGAGAGCAAACAGCAAGATCAATCAAATCTGATGATAATACAATTTACATGTAACAAACAAATTCAATTTAATATTATGATATATGCCTATCTATAACAACGTCTAAATAACTGTTTTGCTTTAATTTTGTTTGGTTGCAAAAAGTTGATTTAGCTATAGTACTATAAATTCCAAAGATTTACATCTGTCGCACACGTGTCAGCAATATGCACAAGTATGAATAGAAGCAACTCGCTTCTAGCGAGTATAAAAGACTCCTTTAATCTTTTGTTTAGTTAAGTTAGGAATTGGTGTTTTATAAAACTGACTAACAATGGAAATAAAACGATGAAATAAGTACATACCAATTCTAAAATATAGCAATAATACGTATTATAAAATCTATGCTTGAAATTAGAAATGAACAGATATGTTTTAGATAATTAGATATTATCGATTTATTCTCGCTCAGCTCGGATGTGTCCCTGCGTCACGCGTGCGTAACAATATAGACCAGACCACACCATAGACAGACCAGACCATATTCTCAGACCAATAAAAAAATATTTTATTGGTCTGAGAATATAGAGTAGAAATTCAAACAAGACATTATTATAATTCGTACAAGTATTAAAATTGATGTGATTTATAATGCAAGCCCTAAAGTATAATAACAAGTAATACAAAGTTACTACTTGTTAAGTGTGAGTGAGCTTTAAGAACTATCGAGTGAGTTGCATTGGGTTTCAATCGTTTTTTAATGTTTGGTTAAATTTTATTGCCAAATATGAACCTACGTAATACATAATGGTATCAAGCCCTCAGTGCAAGAATCCGAGTTTCTTTGATCAATCTTTATACATAAATAATATTTTAATTATTTCATAGGAAATCTATCATTATATGTACAATACATATTTTGCAATAATTTCTCTAAAGTTTGCACGATTGTAAAAATAAAGCAGTTAAAAAGTAAAACCAAAATCCTTGGATATGAAATCCTACAGATAGACAATTTTCATATTGCGAGACAGGCGTATTGAGCTAACTAGCACGGTACGAGATATCCATTTTAATATAAAACAGTAATGGTAATACTTACTAAACCTTTTTAATCTGCTTAAATGCACTTTTGTATTTTATTAAACTTATATAGAACTAGCATTGCCCGCGGCTCTGTCTGCGTTCAAATGACCAAAAAGCAAATTCGTAGGTTTTACATATTAGTATATTCTTACAATGCATTTTTTGTATTTTTTCTCAGAAATGAGATATATTTCCGCGGTAAAAAATATCCTATATGTTGACCCAGATAACCAGCTATCAATATACCAAATTTCACCAAAATCATTGCGGTGGGTTTTCCGTGATGCGGTAACAGACAGACAGACAAAAATTCTAAAAACTATAGATTCGGACTCTGTATCGATAATAATGTCTATTTCAATTAGATTGTATCGATGTATATATGATAATGTATATTTCAATAAGATTTTCCAAAAAATAATTTAATGTACAGATTCAGCTTAGTTACAATTTTGTTATATGTATAGATTACATACAATATATAGAAATAGCGATAGGTACGTTTTAACGGTAGTTAAAACAACAAAAAAACTCTGCCTCTTTATAATATTAGTATAGATTATTTTTTAATCAAACAGAAATTACATCAAAAATATTCATATGCGCTATATTGAAAAGTAATGAAGATTATAAAAAGAAATATTTCACCTTTATTTTCAGGTCATGGTTAATAGAATCAAACTGTAGTGTACTTAATAATTTCTTAGATTTAAGCGAATATTAAATATTTTAAATGCAAATGTCTTTTTGAATTTTGTCGCGGTTTAAGTTTAGACGTTTCTTCCCGACGCGACGTTTCAAATGCTTTACAACAAGGACCCGGGAGAGACGTGAGAGTTTTTTGTAGTTTGTTTGTCAGTTTGCTGTAAAGTACTCGAAACATTGGGAACAAAAACATAGAAAAAAGAAAATCCCAACAAAATCCGAAAAGATAGTTTAATTTAAAAATACAGTTGTGCATTATAGTAAGGTCGACCAACCTGCGCTGCGCGTGCGCGGCGGCGCGCAGCAGGCGGCGCGCGGCCAGCAGGCGCGCCTCCCACGCGCCCGCGCGCTCGCCGCCCAGCGACGACACCACCCACTGCTGCTCCTCGATCTGCGCGTCACATGCGACTGTACCGACTGCGGGCTAACCTACATAACTATGTTCTTACCTACATACCTATTCATGTACATTTTTCTAAACTGTGTTCGCCGAATGAACCAAGCATTGAGATTGCATGCCGTACCGCTCGTCGTGTAATTACCTGATTTATTATCAACTAGCGACTCATTCAGCGCTTGATTCCTCAATCACCATACAAACTTTCATCCCCATTTTCACCCTCTTAAGAGATGGTTTCCGGGATAAAGAGTATCCTATGTCCTTCCCAGGTTCTCAAACTATCTTATTACCAAATTTCATCTAAATCGGTTCGGTAGATGTAGGTGATGACAGTGATACGTCAGAAAGAAAAAATAATACACAAATATTTAAAAACACAGTTATTTTTACTTTGATGTTGATTTTATTACAAATTATTAATAATTCCTCACTAAAGCATTAGCAACATGAACGAGCCTTATGATTTCAAACCAGTTGCATGCGTTAGTGGGCGGAGCTAGACAGTTTTCTGTCCTTATCACTTTGTATGATAATATGAGACAGAGAAAACGCTTTGCATGATTCACTCCGTGAACAGAGTATAGACTGTTAACGCTGTAAAGGCCAGTACGGCCAACAACAAAAGACATTTCAAAACAAAAAATCTACTTTTTTTAAATGTTATATATTTTTACAGATACATTGTTTTAAAAATAAAATCGAAATAAAATTTCAAATCACTTTGAAAATAATATTTTATATTTAAGCGTGGCTTTTATTTTAAATTATATATATATATATGAGACTTATATATATATGAGACCAAACAAAAGATTAAAAATTAAAATTTAAAAACGCCATTTGCAAATTAATTGTGATTTACTTACACTGCTGGACCGATACTAATCAAACATAACTAAGAACCACCGCAAGGAATCTGGCTTTCAAATGAAAAAAAACCGCATCGATACGACTACGATGCCAAAGACAGACACACACACACGCAGACAGACATCGACGTTAAACTTATAAAACCCCTCTTTTTGCGTCGGGGGTTAAAAAATATGTTAAATGGCCCAAAGATGTATGTATGTATGATGAGTGATTTTATGCATTTGCATACATATAAAGCGAATTTCATTGTAATTGTCATCACAGCAAATAATCCTTATTACATATTCTACAGGCGCGCAATTGCAAAAATTTTACTGATTTATATTTTTTTCTTCAAATTTTAACTTCATAAAGCAAGTGGTTCGCAATTCAGATGTTTATGTTTTCTTTGAACATACATGTATGTATGTTCGGGCATAACTCCGTCACATATAGACTTTCTTTTTTTTGTTCGAAGTGGTTAATTCTGAAATGGTCTCATTTAAATTGAAACAACGCCAGACCAATAAGTTTATGTACCATAATACGTAACATTTCGCATGAGAATTGATTATATAATGCAATTAAAAAAATGTTTTTTTTTATACCACGACGGTGGCAATCAAGTATACGGCCCTTGATGGCAACACCAGGGGCATCACATGTGCGTGTAGTAATAAAAATATAAACAAGTTTCTACCTTTGTTAACAACTCCTTGTAATCTTTTACTATCGGTATAAGCTTCTTCGTCTTGTCCGTGTAATATATCATGACCAATCTAGCACCCGCATACCAGACTTCCAATTCGTTTAGAGCATTTCTAATAGTTGCTTCGCTTGAGGCACTGGAACTTATTTTCTAAAACAATTGCTTATTATTTATAAAGTACATACTAGCGACTTACCATCGCTTCACTCAAATGCCTTAGGTACGCTTTGTACACAATTTCATGGATTTTAATTATTTTGCGCTTAACCTTGATTCTTTTTTTCTAAAATAAAATTTATAACATCAGCTATCTGCCCGTGAAAGTCCCGTCAAAATCGGTCCAGCCGTTTCGGAGATTAGCCGGAACAAACAGACAGACAAAAATTTAAAAAATGATTTTTTCTTATTAGTGCCGTATATACTTTTATATGCTGCTATTTTAACATTACAAACAGACACTTCAATTTAATTTATTAATTGAATTAATTTAATTTAGTACGTTAATAATAATTATGTATAATTCTTTATAGCATTAATTAATAATTACCTGTAAAGCTTTCATTTGCTTTTTAATATTGACTGCAGCTTCAAGTAAATGTTTAAGTTTTAGAGTATCAGGTTTGATATATTCAACTTCTACCAGGTTAAATATTTCTCGCCAATGTGATTCTGTCAATTCGGGCCCGCGGAGGTACTTTAATACTGTTGTAAGATCCTATTAAAATTGAGTTTATTAATATATTAATAGTTGATTGGTCATAAAGATACTAATTATTAAATAACAAAAGTAAAATATATTAGATTATATTTTGTATCAGAGTTACATAGCAGCAACCAACATGAAAAATGAGCATTTCTACGTTTCGTGTATTTTTTATTATATTGGCCTAATTTAACTGCCTCAGTAGTTTAGTGACTAGCATGTACGGCTGCAGACCTGGAGGTAGTGGGTTAGAGTCCCGGGCCGGCCAAGTTTAATTACTGAGTGTCTCTATTAAGAAATTCTCAGTAGTAACCCTGAGTAGGGAAATTGGCGATGTTTCACCCCCGTGCCTTGAAGAGCACGTAAAGTCAGTTCTGAGTTTGATCTCTCGCCGGCCGTGGGCGAAGTATTGTCCAATCGGACAATACTTCGCCCACGCCGAAATCGCCGGAATCGGTTAGGACAATCGGTTAGGCTATTATATTGATGGTAAAAGATGCTTAAACATAAAACGTATAGATAGATAGTTAGGAATGAATGCGGATGAATGATAGAAAGACATAGTATGCGGAATGAAAGTGCGAGAAGCATAAAAGCGAGAACTGGTATGAAAGAAGTAGAAAACACAGACTCCTTCCCCCATGTTGGAGGTTAAGTATAAAAAAAAAAGAAAAAAAAAAACATAAAACGTAACTTACTGAATATTTATCCAGTTCTTCTTTCAGATACAAAGTAACGGTAGTGTACGGTTCTAATAGCCCACACCATTTATCAACAAAATCATCTAGCAAGTGTAGTTTCTTTTGGAATATGATCCAATCTTGTTCAGCCAATGAGTTGTATTCTAGAAAAAAATTACAAAAACTTAGCACTCTTTTCAAAGAAATCATTGATAAGCTATCTCATTCAATTGGAATATTTTACCATCATCGTAATCCTTTAGTATAGTCCACAGATTTACGAACTCATTTTTTAGGTCTTCTGCCTCTTTCCATGCTTGTGACATTTCAAATTTCATATTAAACTTTTCACACTCCGCTCTAAAAATGAAAGATATCTTATGAGGACGGAAAGAGTAAATACTGCTACAAAAATGTATAATAACTAACATCATTTTATTAATTTAAACATTTACAAAAAGGATATGACATAAATTTACACAATAACCTTTAATTAAAAATACATCATCAACCCAATTGAAATATCATTATCTGAAGAAAGTAACACAGGCTCACATGATCTGATCCCGCTCACGGAGCAGCTCGTCGAAGCGCGCGGCGGCGGCGAGCGCGGCGCGCGCGCGCTGCAACAGCCCGGCGTAGGCGGCGGGCCGCGCCCGCGCCTCCCGCGCGTGCGTCGCCGCCCAGCGCGACGCCCACGCCTCCACCTTACCGTGCAGGTTCTCCCACTCGCCTTTTAAGCTGTTTTTCACTATCTCTGCCTAACAACAAAACAGACTTTTTTTAACGTTGGAAAATGCTTTTAAGCATAATCACCGGGGGGAAAAGCCAGTATTTTTCACTAAAACCCAACGGAACCGTTCCCGTCTTAATCGGGTAGCACAGGATCTCTTACGCACTCATCGACGACAATCCGATAGAAGAACAAAACATTATTAATTAATTAAAATTAGAGCAAGGTGTCATGCGCACCTCTAGTGATATTGTAGTGTGTGCGTAAGCGACCATTCACGTTCCGGTGCACTAAGATATTGCATTACACGTTGTGGATTTTAGTAAGTCTCACAATCCTAACTCGTTAAAAGCCGCCAGGAAGCGCGTCAGGGGTTTCCCCAGCGAAAGCAAAAAAATAAGGTACCATGCGACCATCCCTTGAATACGTGTTCATATTATCTATGGGACTCAGTAGCGTCCGAGAATTAAGCCGGTTTGAAGCTGTAAATGCAATAGTAATTATATAACCAACGATAATAATTAATTTACACATAATACATTAAACAATAGCGTTATTAATATCACACGTTTTTCATGTAATTATACACCATATGTACCTGGTGCTGGAACATGTCGGCGTGCGCGCGCAGGCGCTCCCGCAGCGCGGCCCACGCGCGCACGCTGTCCTCGGGCGCCGCGTCGCCGCCCCACGTGCGCAGGAGCTGCGCTTTGCGCTTCAGATCTTCCACTGTTTTCTCCATCTTTAATAATCGTACTATTATTATAATCGCGAAGGTTTGTCTGTATGTATGTACGTTTTTTACTCCTTTACACTGAAAGGGCTGGACAGATTTGAATGAAATTTAGGACACAGATAGTTCATGTTCAGGAGTAGCACATCTATAAGGTAACTAGCGATGCACCAGGGCAGAGCAAAATTCCTAGTATAGGATATTATGTTAGTAGTGGAGCTCATTCAGTTACTTTTTTACTTTTTAGTGTCTAGAAATAGGTTTTTAATTATTTTTCAAAAAGCTTTTGTTTTTCCATTTTAGTGTAATAGTAGCTGATAATGCTGATGAGTAGATATTTGTAAGAAGAAAGTATTTTAATAAAATATTCGGTTAAGCCGTTTAAGTTAGTTTGATTATTGATGCCAATTTTATAAGGACCTCAGAGACTAACTAAGGAACTCCATTTTATTGCTAACACTAAAAGCAAGGTTCTAAAATTTAATTCTAAGCCGTTGAAGATTTTCACTATCTACCTTTTGGTCTCACCCTCGGGTCAGGTCACAGGTGTCGATGAAACCAAATCACTGCACTATCACCAGAAACACAAACACTTGCAATTTCAAGTGAATGTAACAATTTTTTTCAAATTTAAATGGGACCAAGCTGACCAAACAAATAATGAAAAAGAATTTTCCAAATCGGTTAATAAACGACGGATTCTAAAGTAACAAGCGAAAATAATACAAGGTAATAGGCCATTTGATTGGTCTCTACCAGTAATTTGGTTCTGATCAGAGAGTGAATCGGGGTGGGAGAAGAGCCAAACAGAGCCAACCTCAGGCATTTGTGCCTGCAGCGCCTGTTGCCTGGCGCTGACTTCGGCCAGTTCCCTGGAGTTCCTCGGCACGGCGGCGTCGTCGAGCGCGGGCGCGGCGCGGCGCGCGAAGGCGTCGAGCGCGGCGGCGGCGGCGCGGCAGTCGGCCTGCAGCGCCGCCGCCAGGCTGCCCCACAGCGAGCGCGCCTGCGCCTCGAACTCGCGCCGGAGCGTCAGGCTGCCTACTGATATCCATTCTATTTTCTCATCTTCGCTAGAAATTCAAGTGGATTATATTAGTTAAACTTAAACGTTAGCTAGGTCAGAATCGTCTACTAAAAAGCAAACAATAAACTGACCAAAAAAGTAATTTAAAAAAATAAAGGCTTCAAAAAAAAACTTTCAGTCACTAAAAAGTAAAAAATAACTAATCGGGGGGTTTTCATTTACTGTAGAAAACTAATCAGATATTTTCGGAATTTAGAACGGCACGTGGTCGAAACGAAGGTCTCGTTAAATATATACATAGTTACAATTAGCTTTGCCAGACGTTTATATAACGAATACGAAAGTATACGTACAAGGTCATCTTAGCAACTGCCTGTCCATAAGCTTTGCAGGCTTTAAAGTTGCGTTCCCAGTCGTCGGGCGTCTTGAGGTGTAGTGAGCAGAGCGCGTCCACGTCGACGCAGGCGAGCGCCAGGCGCCGCGTCCAGGCGGCGGCCGCGCGCCGCACGCGCTGTAGCGTCGCCTCCAGCCGCGCCACCGCCTTGTTGCCCACCCAGCTGTGTCTGTGCAATACAAAAAGGTTTCATTTACTTTACTGTTATAGGTCTAATGCCCTAAGCATTAGACATAACTGAAACCTCCAGGCGCTTTATTGCAGGGATGGTGAGGTCATGTCCTTGCGAGTTCATCATCTAAAATGCTAAGATGGTGGACAGTCAATGACCTCCCGCGTGTTTGTGCCGTGCGCGGGGACCCGTACCGGAGGATGAAGGAGTCCTGGAAGTTGAGTGGAGCAGTGGGCCGGCAACAGTTGCACGCTGCACACAACACACTTCTTTGGTCTGGATTTCTCTGCACACGGGAGGCCGTGGAGTAGCTAACCATGGTCAATCGGCTCCGATATCCCATAAGCGGGCTATCAAGCGAGAGTCGGTGTCTAGGGGGGGGGGCAGTCGGCGCGGTATGGGGCCCAGGGTGAGCATGCGTCATTGTCTCATGATGCGTGCAGCCCCGAGTTCCTTTGCTGCGTGCGGATTCGTCATTCTTCCTTTACACTGGCTCTATACCGGAGGAGTAGCTCTGGCGATCATCTGTTGAACAGATGACGTCCCCGACTTGAGGACTCCGTGGCGGGTAGAGAGCTCTAACGGTGAAGCATTTACAAACACCTCATGGATAAAGAGGCCAATAAAGAAAAAACTAGTAAACCAACACAGGCAGCGTCATCTGATGCGCCAAACCCCACCATGGCAAGGGTTGCGTCTCGAGATGCACCAAGGCGAACACCGCCAGAGGTGACATTTCGAGATGCCCCGAGGCCTACAAACTCAAAGGATGCGCCAAACCAGGCAGCGTCCTTGGACCAGGCAAAGAGGAAGACGGCCAGAGATGCGCCAAACCGGTCTGCGTCTCCGTTCGTTCCCTCTGCGTCTACGTCCATCTTAACCCTGACAAAGGGTATGCACACTGCTGCATCTGGGACGGCCCCTGGTACAGGCAAGCCAAAGAAGGCTGCGCCTAAGGATGCGACGGCAACGTCTGCGCGTCCGAAGGTGCGACATCTGCGGCGAACCTGAGGGAGCTGACCCAGGCTGCATCAGCTAACATGCCCTCAACCTCCAAAACCATAAACGAAACAACAATGGACATGTCAGCTCTGAAAGACGCCATTCAGCAGGAGGGTGTCTTTACGGAGCATCTGACAGCGTCCAAAAAACGACGCCTAAAAAAAGCCAGAGCGGTGGCGCAGCGTGCTGCGGCAGCTGATGCCGCTAGGCAAATTGAGGACCCCAACCTTCGCAGTGCAGAAGCCACAGCTTCAGCGCCTAAGGCTGAGGTATCAATCCAGGCGAAATCCAATGCCGCGCCCACGCAAACCGTGCGCAAGCGCAGCTTGAAACCCAGAGGCCGCAAAAAGCCAACAAACAGCATACAAACAAACGAAGAAGTAACAAAGGGCCAAAAGCGTATACGACCCGAAGATACCGTCACGCCGACCGGGGAGAGCAAGAGAGCAAAACCTAGCAGACCCCGAACGGTGGGAGGAGTCTCGGTTAGTTACGCGGAAGCAGCGGCCTCCTACAGAACAAATGAACTCTGTGTTGCCGTCATGACCGAGCCTTTCTCGGAAATGACACAGGCACAGGCAGAGGACATCCGCGCTACTATCGAGGGGAAGCTACGGGATGAGCTTATGGCTGACCCTGAAGCTACCCTTCAAACGGAGCCAAACGACATCCGGTTTCGGGGTAGGGCACACTTTGCTGACGGCGTCCTCAAAACATGGTGCGACGATGCCTTCACATTAGGCTGGCTAACCCGAACGGTGAACAACATTACGTCACCAACAACAGAATCCAAACTGGTGGTGCTGCCTCAATCGGCAATACCAAAGAAGATTCCCTGCATGCTCTATGTTCCTGGACACACCGGGGACACAGAGATGCTGAGAAGACTTCTCGCGAGGCAGAACCGCCACCTCAACATGAAGTCTTGGTCTCTGACACACGAGAGAAGCAAACAGGATCCACCAGGAACCCAACTGTTCTTCCGTGTGCCGGAAACCGACATCAAAACCCTTAAGGAACAAGACAGGCGCATTTACTACCTCATGGGGAATATCTACGTCCGATTTTTGGACAAGGAGGATCCCATACAGGATGATGCTACTGCCACCACCGCTCCCATGGCACCGGAACCAGAGCCCTCACAGCCTGTGCATCCAGCAATTCCGATGGAAGTCGCTGTGCCAGCCACCGAGGAAACTGGGGTCCCGGTTGCAATGGAAGTAACACACTCTCCATCACCAGTGCCAAACACTACAGATGAAGAATGCTTTCCGGAAACGGGGGGGAGTGAATTCAGCGACAGCTGTCTCCGTTCCTCCCCTATCCCGGACTGTTGACTTCATCCAGACAAACCTCCAGCACAGCCAAACTGCGACGGCATCTTTACGCAGAGTGCTGGAAATCAACCCGAAGACCATAGCCTTAATCCAAGAGCCGTGGATAAGGAATGGCCGAATATGTGGTCTTGGCAATATGGGAGGAAAGATACTACTCGATACTTCCGTAAGTAATCCAAGAACCTGCATATTTATGCCGAAACATGTAACAACCTTAATAATAAACGATTTATGTTCAAGGGACCTAACAGTTATAAAACTTTCAAGAACCGACCAGAAACTCCCCGACATTGTCCTTGCCTCTGCCCACCTGCCGAGTGACGAGGACACACCGACTCCAGAGCTCAACTCACTGGTTGAGTACTGTGAGAAGGAGAAGCTGGACCTAATCATCGCGGCAGACTCCAACGCACACCACACGTTATGGGGGAATGCCACTTGTAACACTCGAGGTGAGGACACACTTAACTTCATTTTTAGTAACAACCTCACCCTACTCAACAAAGGCTCAGAACCAACATTCATAAACGCTCGTTCACAGACCATAATTGATCTGACGATGGTAACGACAGATTTGTCGAACTATATCCATAACTGGCATGTGTACAAAGAACTATCCTGTTCGGACCACAGATGGATACGTTTCACCGTCGACATGAACCTGCCCAAACCATTACCTAGAAGATTACCACAAAGGACTGATCGATCTAAGTTCGTTAGGCTGATCAGCACCGAGATAGGAAATCGACTTACAACAACAAATAACTTAAACATAACTGACATAGACAACTATGTAGAAAGTCTCACAACACTACTCCTGGAGAGCTACGAACAGTCCTGTCCCCTCACCATACCTAGATTGGGAGGGAAGCAACACTGGTGGTGCCCCGAACTCGAGAGGCAACGCCGGAAAGTCAGGAAACTGTTCAATAGGGCTAGGAATAGACGAACGCAGGTCGACTGGGACGCCTACACGGCAGCCAGAAAACATTATAAAAAACTCATACGCCTCAGAAGGCAAGAATGCTGGAGACACTTTTGCTCCAGCATAGAAAATAACAATCAGGCAATCAAAGTGAAATCGTGTCTATCTAAAGAGACAGACAACTCAATTGGCAGCCTTAAAAAACCAGACAACACCTACACCAAAACAGACGCGGAGACCAGTGAACTGCTGCTAACAACCCACTTCCCTGGCTGCCAAATTGCAAACACGCAAAAATGGGAGCCTTACGAAGAGAGAGCTACCAGCAGTCCAGACTGGAACGCAGCCAAAAACATAATTAACAAAGAGAAAACAATATGGGCAATAAACACTTTTCTCCCTTTCAAAGCCGCTGGCCTCGATGGTATCTTTCCCGGGCTGCTAAAGTGGAGCGTGGACATCTTAGCAGATTATCTGGTAACGCTGTTCCAAGCCTGCATAGCACACCGCTACATACCATTGAAATGGAGAGAAGTAAAGATAATTTTCATCCCAAAACCAGGTAGAGGGGACTACACCCTGGCTAAATCCTTTAGACCCATCAGCCTTACCTCGTTCTTCCTAAAGACGCTGGAGAGACTGGGGGACAGAGAGATTAGGAGCCAAATATCCCTCCAACACCCACTACACCCTAACCAACATGCCTACAGCGCAGGCAAATCAACGGAATCGGCACTCCACAGTGTGGTATCTCGCATAGGAAGCTCGCTGAATCAGAAACAACCCACCCTAGGCGCCTTCATTGACATAGAAGGAGCCTTTGACAAAACCAACTTTACCAGTATAAACAAAGCCCTGCTAACAAGTGGTGTAAATCCTACACTCATAGAATGGATAAATAACATGTTAAAACAACGAGCTATACAGTTTACCGTTAATACTACGATAAGGGGCATCGTAAGTAGAGGCTGTCCACAGGGCGGAGTTTTATCTCCACTTTTGTGGAACCTTGTTGTAAACGAGCTCATAACAGAGCTCAACGACAACAGCCTGTACACGGTAGGATACGCTGATGATATAGCCATCTTAATATCGGGAAACTTTGAAAGCACTCTATGTGACCGCATGAGGAAAGCTTTCAAAATAACGGAGAACTGGTGCTTGAAACATGAGCTCTCCGTTAATCCCATGAAAACAGAATTGATCATGTTCACAAACCGAAGAGTACTCGGACCCTATAAACTTCCGAAACTCTTCAAAACTGAAATAAAACTAAAAGAATCAGTCAAATACTTAGGTGTAATCCTAGACAGTAAACTGCTATGGAATAAGCACCTTGACTACAAACTTAATAAATCAACCATTGCATTCTATCAGTGCAAAAGAATGCTAGGCAAAAAATGGGGGCTCTCGCCGAAAATAACTATGTGGCTATACACGGCGGTAGTTAGACCAATGCTAACCTACGGGGCCTTGGTTTGGTGGACCAGAACGGAACTCCGGACTGTAATCACGAAACTAGGACGCTTCCAAAGGCTGGCATTGTCTGCTACCAGTGGTTGTATGAAAACGACTCCCACAGCAGCCATAGAAATAGCACTCCAAACAACACCCCTGGACCTATACATACAGCAAGAGGCGACCATGGCTGCCATAAGGCTGATGCACTTAGGTCTATGGGGGAAAAACAACAACAGTCCACACACATCCATATTGGACAGAGCAATAAAGCAACTACCGCTTATTGCTACCCCGTGTGATAGAACATATAACAAACACATCTTCAACAAAAAATTTAACATAAACATGATTGAAGAGAAAATAGACCAACCAGCAGCCAACGAGCTACGAATTTACACTGATGGCTCCAAAACGCAGAGTGGCTCTGGAGCTGGGATATTTTCCCTCGATCTCAATGTCAACATACACATACCATTAGGCATACACAGTTCGATCTTCCAATGCGAATGTGTAGCCATAACGGAAGCCGCAAGGGCAGTGCAAAGACGGGAGGTAAATAATTATACCATAAAAATCCTCTCCGATAGCGCGGCCGTTCTGCAGGCGTTAACAAACAAACAAACAAACAATAAATTAATAATTGAGTGTCACCATGCCCTCGATACAATAGCACTGACCAATCAAGTCACTGTTCAATGGATCAAGGGCCACAGCGGCTCACTAGGCAACGATGCAGCTGACGAACTTGCAAAGAAAGGATCGAGGTTAGAAGTAACTGGCCCATACCCACTTTTTCCTCTACCTTTTTCACAGGTTCGCACCTGGATCCGCCAAAGAACGCTGACGCTTCAAAATAAGAGATGGTCGCTAACGACAGACTGCAGGCAAGCTAGATCAGCATTGCCCGCAGTCAACCCACGTCTCACTAAACGCCTACTAAACTTAAATAGAACCAACCTAAAAATAATGATAGGGACAATAACGGGCCACTGTCCCTTAAACAAACACTTATTTAACATTGGCGCAACGGACAGCCCTCTCTGCAGAGGGTGTTTTAGCGCTGTAGAATCAGTCGCTCACGTAGTCCTGGAATGCGTAGCGGTAACTTCCCAACGAAATGAAATCCTCGAACCGGTGAGGTCGCTCCGCGAAGCCTGTGAAGCTCCCAGGAAGCTTTTGCGCTTTTGGACGGAGTTAGGCTGGCTGAACTAGCCAGGGTTCGCAACGTACAACGGACCAAATGCGAGTCTAAGTGCGGAAAACGAGTCCAATATACAATACAATACAATACAATACAATACACGCTTTTTAACCGACTTCCCAAAATGAGACGCTTTTCAATTCGTCGGAATCTTTTTTTTTATTTACGGATTACTCGAAGACAGACGAACCGATTTGGATTTTTTTTGTTTCGAAGGGTATACTTCCCAGGTGGTCCCATTTAAATTTTATAGAAATCGGTAGAGCGGTTTTTAAAAAAATCAACACTAAATATATTTTTTAAATAAATATGTTATTAAAAACTTTCTTCTTACAAATTACCTGCTCATTAAAAAAAACCGACTTCCTGCCTGGAAAAATGTAAAAAATAACTAAACGGAGGTTTTCATTTAGAATAGATACCTAATCAGTTATTTTCGAAGTCGGTTCCGACAATATTTTAAGATACGAATATCTAATAGGTAAATATGTATATTATATACTACCTGGGAAGTATACCCTTTGAAACAAAAAAAAAATTGCAAATCGGTTCGGGTGTCTTCGAGTAATCGGTGAACATACATAAAAAAAAGATTCCGATGAATTGAGAACCTCCTCCTTTTTTGGGAAGTCGGTTAAAAAGCACATTTTAACGTTTTATTTTAATTCGGGTGTATATATCTTGTAATATATACTATAGTTTTTATTAGTATTTTTTAATAATAGGCTTTACTACGACATTAGTTTCATATATATAAATTTTAAGAAAATATAGCGAATGAAAAACTAAATAAAATAATGTATGTATGTGTATTTGTATGTATTCAGCTCTTTTTAACATCCCACTGCTGAGCACGGGCCTCCCTTCAGTACGAGGGGAAACAGGCAAAAAAAAATAACTTGAAATGTATTACTTGTCAACAATAGAAGCGAATATGGAGGTGTCGTCGGCGGGAGCGGCGCGAAGCCCCGCGAAGTGCGCGGGCAGCGCCACCAGGCGGCGCAGCTGCGCGTAGTGCTGCGCGCGCAGCTCCTCGTCCGCTGGCGCCGTGCGCACGCGCCGCCCGCTGCCGGGAGATTGTTTCATTTAAATAACTACCCTTGTAGTTTAAGGTCCCAGTATAAAAAGACCTTGACAGAGCTGGTTAATGGATGAAAAGTATTTTATATCAAATTAAATATGTCATTATAAATTACACAAATTGTTAAACTACACAAAACAAGGAATAAAAATTATTACCGTAAAACTAAGTCTACTCTGACAGTAGGAAAGTGCGTATGTAAAGACAGAAGTGTCTTGATGTATTGACACTCGAGTGCCTTGTACAACTGAAGGTCCCAATGAGATCGCCACATTTCGGTGTTCTTGTAGCCATTAACCTCCACCTTAAAATATGAGAAGAAATACCACATTTACAATATAAATATCCAAAACAATAATATGCAGTAGATATTTTATGTATATAAGATTATAAAAATATAAATGTAGAATATATAGAATTTAATAATACATAATATGTACAATATCACCCTTTCTATAATGTCTCTTATTTCCTTTATTCCTCTTTTCCACTCCGCCTGCTTCGCCAGAAGCTCTGTATCCATGAGCCTTTCGACGATACCGCGTATTATTATATGTTGTCCTGTTAGGTAAGTGTTCTGAAACAGCGAAGGATACATTTATTGATACTATAAATTCTTTAAAAAATATTTGATCTTGTTATCTTATTTTTAAACTGTAACTTATTTAAATATATATGTATTATTTTTTCCATAGTGCATTATGACTTTTTTTCTAATTTTTGGCTAGAGTTGACTTTTTCTAAACATTTTTTCATTATTTTTTTCTAAACAGGATAAAATTCATATATTTTTTGATTCTAGTATTTAATTTATTTTTACTATTTATTTATGTGTAAAGAGAACAGCAATGTAAAAAAATAAAAAGATCTGACTGTTTGTATCAAAATGATAGTATAAAAGTGTTATCTATACATATAATAAAAGTGTAACTAACCCAAAACTAGAACCTAAAACAATGATTTCTAGATTTTTTGTCTGTTCGTCTGTGCCTTTGTGCATACTAATCTCAGTAACGGCTTAACCTATTTGGATGCGTTTTTCAAGTGCGGCAGATCCCAAGCCGTACATGCAAGCCTAGACTACTGAGACAGTTCAATTTTGCTCTTATAACACAATAATTATGTTTCCAGTTACAAGTAAAAGGTCTTTCAGTTTAACAAACAACACAAACCTGCCCTTCCAGCTCTAAGACCATACGTTTAAGCTTCTCAGTGTAGTCAGCGAGCCGGTCGTCGTGGTGCCAGTAGAGCGGCGGCTGGTCGCGCACCAGCGCCGCCAGCCGCAGCGCGCCCTGCAGCATCATGGGCCGCGTCGACGGGATCATGCGCTCGCCCAGAGTGTTGTGGAAAGATGCCACCTGAAATTGTTTCAATAAAAAAATATGCGTGACGGAGGGAATACTGTATTTTCTTAAATATTCTTCTATATTTTTGTACATGTATTTTAAAATGATAAAAAATTAATTTATTTTTATGTCTAATTTAATCTTACATGATACACTTGATTTTCTTTTCTGCAATTTTATGCTATAGAAACCATTCCTCTATAACCTCACTTACAAATTTTGATTAGTTCTATTCAAACACTGCAAACGTAAACACACACACACACAAAGTGCTTTATGTTGTTTAAAATAAGGCTGATTTTACAAAAAATATACAAGTACCTGGTGCAGGGCGCGCGCGTGCCGCAGCGGCGCGAGCAGCGCGGGCAGCGCGGCCGGCGGCGCGGCCAGCGCGGCCAGCGCGCGCGCCTCGCCCTCCGCGCGCAGCAGCCGCGCCGAGAACCGCACCACCATCAGCCGGTCGCTGCCGCTGAACTCCACCACCGGCCTGTCCCCACTCATCTGCGACGACTCCTCCTTTACTAAGTTCTGAAATTGAAATTATCAATGTGAACTGAACGGCATGTATAGATCTAGTGCCTGAGGTGAGATAGCCTCAGTGTGATGGCCGGGATCCGATTAAATCCCTTAGAACTTTTAAAGGTGCACTTAGGTGGTATCCATCTGATTTTGAAATAGTGTTCTCCTGACCGATTTCAACCATGGCGGCCAATTTCACAAAGACTAGCCATCTGCGCATGAGTCCAGTAGGACGTTGTGCTCTCGGTATGCTGCCACACATGCCATCCAATAGACCAGATCTTCACTGCTCATGTGGTTATAATTTGTCAATGAACGCCATGAGTGTCGCCTATTACATGTTATAGTATTTGTCCATTGAGATTATTAATTAAAGATTTTTTTATATTGATAAAAATGAGAAAAAAAGCATACCTGAATGTCTCTAACCCAGTCTTCATGTAAGTTTGTGTACATGGTTTTGAGCTCCTTTAGAACTTGTGAGGCTAGGTTAAGTACTGTATCGCTGTTTTCAAATTCACTCAGATAGTTTTCAACACACATTTGTATTTCTTTAACCTGAAATATAAATGTTATTTAAATACAAAATATTTTAAACGGCTGCTATTTTATTTACTACATCAATAAAGTTGTAATTTTCGCCAAAATAATCAAGAACATTTTAAGCATTATAACAAATATTTATTGATACATTTGTTATTCTGTTTGTTTGTCCATCGTCACGCAGCAACAATGTTGTATTTTTTGTGTAATGTTCAGTATATTGTGTAATGTTCAGTGTATTATGTAATGTTCAGTTTATTTCGGTAACTCAAGTGAATTCTGTGGGATATTCTGCAGAAAAAACTTAAAAACGCGCCCGAGCGAAACTAGCATCACTGTTAAAAGATAAAACGAATCGAAACTTTTTAAATAAAACCTATCATTTCGGATAAGAAAAGGTGGTTTCAATTAAAATGTCAAATATTCGCGTAAACCTAAGAAAATATTATGTTAGTATAGATATATCAATATTCTCACATATCTCAATAAATATTTTATTATAAAAATCTAAAAATTATATATATTAACAAACCTTAACTTCCATTTGCTTAGCCCACTGCACTTTCTGCACGAGTGGTGACATCTCCGCCGGCGTGTGCATTTTAACGTCCAGCTCATCTGAATCTAAGTCACTGTGAATACTCTTCAACATCGATAACAAGGAACTTACGAATTGCTCTAACTCATTACTGAGTACGTGTTTCACAAGAGGTCGGCTTATGAGAGTTTTATACCGAAGAAATTCATATAGCATCTGTAACATTGAAATTTTTAATAACATTAATTAGATTGTTATCTTTTATTACTTCTAGTGGTAGAATAATAAATATGAGTATGCGTGTTTTTTTATACATCGCTATATAATTGTAAAAAAACATCCAGCTTTTAAAAACTAAATTTTCGAAATATAATACAGATTCGATACTTTAAAGGCCCACCATTTTGGCGCGCTTGGTGTGACGTCATAGTCTATGACAACATTGCCATTAATGAGTGAGCAGGTCTAGAAGTATTATACAACAGCGCTTTGTTTATTATAGACTTTGACGTCACATTCGGCCTGACCAATGTCGTTGCGTTACAACTACTATGAACTTCCCACTTATTTTTGCACTTGTCAATAATTCTTTTTTTAATCAATAAGAAATTATATTAAAGGTTTAATTCAGAAGTAATAAAGATTATAAAAGAAATATATTTCACCTTTATTTAAATCACACGCATATACCCTATTGAGACGCTGATAGAAGTTTTTGGAAATCAGTAAGAGTATTTGTTAAATATTAATAATTAATTAAATAAATGAATTGTTGTTAGAAAACATAATATTATTTCTATATTCAAAGTAGTACCAGTAGTAATTCAAAAGTAAAATCATACTTGTTTGGTGGATGTATTATGCATGCGTGGTTTTAATTTTTCAGCTATTTTAGCTTCAGCAGGTCTCAAGTTAGCATTAAATCTAGCCACCGCAGATTCCCACGATTGATTTGGGCCGTTACACATCCAAATGCTAATATCTACAAAAAATAAAGTATATCAGATACGTATGTCCTCAAAATATACTTATTTCCTAATGATATATTTTATATTCATTGTACTTCTTGAATGTCGTTTGAACAATTATATCTTGTCCATATTAGACTCGGACAAATCAGCATGTTCATCATTTAGTTATCCCTGTGACTACTTTCATAATCGGGAAATTCTCCATTCACGCTTTCACAATTAAAGACTAAACAATGTCAGATGTTTTTTGGTAAAGTAATAGCTTGCAATCCGGACGGATTAAGGACAGGGTAATCCCTGTCCTTAATCTCCTTAGTCTTCATGCAAGATGCAAGTATTAAAAGAAATATTCCATAGTTTTTAAATAATTAATAGGTTCTCGAAACAATTTTCGAAATAAGTTTTGACTCTGGAAAAAAATGTGAATGTGAATTTAACATAATTGACTCTTGAATAATAAAAAAACCGGCACTTTTTAAGCCTAAGCAAACGAAAGTTCTAGCTGACTGACGTAGGTAAGTCCGTACGCACTGGACGTGGTTGGACAAAAAAGAGTTCTATTTTAACAAAATTATTTGAAACCCTATAAACCTGAATTTCTTATAATAAAGTAATTAAAATGCAATAGTTTAATGGTATTTTTGTTACCCGGATGCTGTAATACGATCTTGATCAAAATATTATATTAAAAAAAATTATACATAAAAAATGCTTACTTGCAAATGATTCTAAAAATTGGTCACTATTTAATTCAGCTTTTTCATTTTTAGTCAAAAGTTTGACCAATTGATTATAGGTTGATCTAATGTTATGTACCTGGAGATTAAAAATAAATATTTACAAACATATTTTAGATAATACACTCACAAAATATCTCGCCGAATTTGTTAGTGGGATTGAGAGAGATCCTTTATAGAATTGAAGCCATTATTGGTTGATGATTTCTTGGGCCATGTGAAATCTTTTTAAATTACATTATTAACTTTGGTAATTTTAACCAATCACCATAACTAAGAACCATAAAGAATTCTAATTTACGAATTGATTATTTAATTATAATTTATAAAATATACGAATGTATCATTGACATACAAAAACTATGAATTGAATGAATAGTAAATATGGATATTAGAATTTATGTCAATATTTGTATGGTCTATGTTACGTCGTTAGGAGTGGCGCAAAAGTATAATGGAGGGTCGCAGGTTCTGCGATGAGACCGGGTTCGCGGCACTTGCTGACAGGAGACAAAGACGACGTCAAGGCGACTCAGTACCATCCGTCGCAAACTTCTCCTGTCAGGTCTGCGGTAGGACATGTCGCTCTCGCATCGGTCTATACAGCCACCAAAAGAGGTGTATCTCGAACATTGCACCATAAATCGTCTGGAATAGACGCAAAGGCCTTTACTATGTTACTGTACTGCATCGGCAATTATTCTTACCTCTGTAAGTCGAATTTTAAAGTTATTGCAAAACAACGGTATATAAGGTTTCCCTTTCCAAGGATGTAGAGCATAATTTGGCCAGTAAGTTTCAGTAAGAGACTTGCACGCACTGACCCAAGTTTTTATTACAGTTAGCCCTTCTGATAAAAGTGTCAAAATTACGTTATCTATCAAACCATTATGAGCCACCCATAAATCGACCTGTGAAGCCGCCTTTTGAACAACTGTACAAATAATATGGCCTGGAAAAAAAACAAATATGTTGAAACATTAAACACACATCACCATCTAGTTCCATAGTAAGCTACGAGGCTTGTGTTATAGATACCAGATAGTAGATATACTACACATACATAACTTTAAATACATACATATTATAAATATAAACACCCATGACTGGAGTACAAACATTCATACTCATCACACAAGTGAATGCCCCCAGCGGGACTCGAAACCGCGACAGCTGGCACGGCAAGTAGTAAAACAAGACGACAAAGTTAAATTTTCAATAGTACATATTAATTAATATACGTGTTTGGGTATAGATTTGGGGATAGGGATTCTTTATCCGGCCTTTAATTCTTGAGTTAATATCATATCGGCTGGATAAATTTAAAATATGAGATGTCTATTGGTTCGTCCATCGTACGGGTGTGATGGTTTAAACTTATAAATTTAGTTATTTATTAAGCCAAAATGGCGACCGTAAAAGAAAAATGGTCACATTAAATGGCATAGCACTGAATTTTCAAAGTCAAGACGTGTTTTAAGATTTTTTTTCTGGATTATTTAACAGCCATAAGTAACAATGTAAAAGAAATTTGCATGTAACAACTAAAATTATTTATTACATTTTAATTGGATAATTTATTTCCAAATTCAAAACAATTTATTTATCACTTCGTACTTACAAATAAAAAGCAGGCCAAAATGAATAACAATATTGACTATTTTAACGTAATCAAAAACATTTTTTTAATTATAGTTATGTTTTCATCTTAACAACTCTAGGTAAATTTCTAAGTAATTAATTAAATTTCTAAGAAATCTATTGTTAACTGTAACGCCGGCGTGTCCGCGGTCTCGGAGGGATTAAATAAATAATATAAATAAATATGTTGGGAGATTGATACACAGCTCAATCTAGTTCCATGGTAAGCTACGACACACAAATAAATGCTCCCAGCGGGACTCTAACCCGCGACCGCTGGCACAGTAAGTAGGGTCACTAAAAACTGAACCATTAAACGCGTCGTTAAATTTTTACGCAGTCGGGTATATACCTGCTAGTAAAACAATTAATATTATAATACTGATTCATAGCCTCTGACTAATAAATTATATTCCTTAGTAACTTAAGGCTAATCGTAAGAACTAAACACGTAGATAAATAAATATGCGTTATAGGCACCTACGGTCTATAGATAGTGTCGTTTGTGTAATACACCGAGTAAAGAAAAAGAAGGAATTTAGAGAAAGATGTATGTACAATTTTAAATAAAACTTTTCTTTTCGGATATTTTCGCGGATTTATTTGGATTTTTGATTCCCCACGTTTCGAAAGCTTTACAGCATTCATGGTCACGGGAGAGACTGGGGTGTTACATGTCTCGAAGGTATAATTGTTACAGACAGCTTACCCACAATTAACAAAATGAACATTTCACCAATTACCTTACAATATTTTTTAACTTTAAACATTCTTATAATTTTAATTAGTTTTATAATTGAATGTGGAAAAAAATCCGAGAAGATTTAAAATGTCAAAAATTCGCGTAAATCTAAGAAAGTATTAAGTATGTACCTACAATCCAACGGCTGAGTGGTCGTTGGTACAATTCAAGCTTACCTATTATATCGAAAATATGATTCATTCGATTTTCAGAATACGCTATAGTAGTGCATCTCCAAACATCGTCTAGAATTCCCGCAATATTCTCTGCTGCATCCCGGGCTTCTTGTAGAGGGCTTGATTGCAACGATCTTAAATATGGATAACCAACATACTTAGGTATTACAAACATTTTTTGTAACATTATGTCCTGGGTTGAAAAGCGAGTTGAAGAGCGAGATTATAGTATATAATACGTATTCGTAGGTACGTACAGGAGATGGGGAGACATTAGGGTGGTGGGATCTTTTTACGTCTTATCTCCTTTGGGTATTTATCGTCTATACATATAATAAAATTGTAACTAAGCCGAATCTGTCCAATAAATATTTTTTGGAAAATCATATTGAAATAAACATTATTATCGATACAGAGGCCGAATCTATAGTTTTTAGAATGTTTGTCTGTCTGTCTGTTACCGCATCAAAGAAAAACCTCTAGAGGGATTTTGATGAAATTTGGTATGGTGATATCTGGTTATCCGAGTCAACATAGAGGATACTTTTTACCGAAAATGTCTCATTTCTGAGAAAAAATACAAAAACTGCAATCTAAGAGTATACTAATATGTAAAACCTAACAATTTGTTTTTTGGTCATCTGAACGCGGGCGGAGCCGCAAGCAACGCTAATTATTAATAAAAATCGATACATTTAATTAACGTATAAATGAATGTATTAATGTACATAATGTATGTATGTATGTATGTATGTATGTATGTATGTATTCTTCTTCTTGTACAGTAATAATTAAGTGTACATGTGTTTTGTATATAATTAAGTATGTTTGTAATTTTCTTTATTGAATAAATATAAAATACAATATAGAATACAAATTATCTTCTAATAAATTATATGTCAATATTTGTATATAACTATTGTTTACAATAAAAATATGCCTTTAAGTTTTATTGTGTTATTTATTCCTTTACATTCTAAGCATTTAATAAAACCAAAGTTTCTTTAAATATATTCCATGTAACTAACTACTGTAGGTAACTTCTTTGATTACTTTACAATTTACAGATAAAGGATTTTATTTATTTTTGATTTTTTAAGAATCTTTATAATTGGCACAGTTTTAATTCTGAAGATCATTGTGATCTTAATCTAGTAATAGAAGTAATTCAAAATACAAACCTAATTTCTTCGCATATATCCTCAAACAAAACACAAAATGAAGATGCAGCTTCTCTTTCCTTTTTATTAGAATCTCTCTTTTGGCCAACAGCTTTCCAATAATCCACTTCATCCTCAATGTTTAAGATTACTTTAAAATTAAAATGAATTAAAATATTTAAGTTTATCCAGGTCCAGCTATGCATGAGCAGGTCTATAAATTTCTTATTCTTTTATCATTTGTAAGAACTTTTTGGTTTAGTAGATACTATAACAATACCTAATGTAGGTACTACCAACATGGCTTCACTGACCTGTGACTTTTTAGTATAATGCCAATATTGCTATACTATACTTATAGGCTCTCAATATTTGTTTTTTAAGTCCAGTGGTGTGGTCTAAGTACCTACCTTATTGATGATTCAGGAGAAACAAGTAATATATAGAAAATAATAAAATATATAATGTACATGCATATCTTTAGTATAAATGTTTACTTACTTTTAGTATTTTCATATCCTTTTCCATGAGATAAAATTCTTAGGTTTGACTCCAAATCTGATAAAATTTTTTGTAATTTATTGGAATACAAATCATCCCCCTATTAAAAATTAGGAGCACTTAATAAGAGAAAAAATAAAAAAATTAAGTGTATTTTATATTTGTTGTATATTTCACTTACTATTGCAAGTATAGGGCTATAAATCTGTCTTAAAATTTGATATAAAGACTCTGCTGCACCACTAGCTAAGGTCATAATATTGATGTTACTTAGAGCATTCTGAGTAGTTAAAATTTGGGGTGAGGTTTTATAGAAAATTATTGATTTCTTGATTTCTTTTTGTATCTAAAAAAATATATTTATTTAATTATCTTTATACCTAATTAAAATTGAATTAAGTATTTTAATAAAAAGTCTTAACTAACGTTTGTGTGAAATGATAAAGTATGGTCACCGCTCACGTATGTTTGTAAAAGAAGGGTATGTGAGTTATGTATAAAATCATTGAGTGCTTCCTCATTAGTTCCATAATTTTCTCCTTTTGGCAAGCAAAATATTTTTTCTGAAAGATAATTTTTTTAGTAAAATTTTATTCATTTATTGTTTTATTGCTAGGTTTTAATTAGGCCCTTAGGGCTTTTAAAAATTCAAGACTCTTTAAGTAGTTTACTAAAAAGAATTTTGTTAATGTGAACAGAAATATGAATTTACCTGCCGAGCTTGTTATAAATTCGTACGCAATCGTCATTTTATTTGAATACCTACTTGAGAATTCATTGAACGCTTTGAACTATTACACCACAATGCAAAAAATCTTTGTTTTGATTTTAATGTCGCCATGGTAACGAGAACGCTAACGAATCAACAAATTCAAAGTCAAGATAGAGGTAAGGAGAACTATCTTAATGGGAGACAAGTTAAAATTTGTCTACCTGAAACGGTTTAAATACTAAATAACAGTTCAAAAACCCACCAGAATAGCGCTAGCATAGCAAGAAATTCAAAAATAACAGAAAAAAAATATCCTAGGCGGCCAAATAAAAAATTATTGTTAATTAAACAAAAAATAGGCACTTTCACGAAAGAACAAACGTATTTTATAAACGAACAAACATTAATGCATATTTAATGACTATTAGTAACAAAAAACCTTAGAGTATAAATAACTTAAGCATATTCCAAGCAAAAAAACATTATAAATTTTGATTGAGGGGGCTATTTTGAAGGTAAATTTTTGTTTAATCATTATTAATAAATAAACAACTTACGAACAAACAATTATTTATGGTGAACAACGAACAAACGGAAACGATAAGTGAAAATAAAAATTCAAAAATTACAGAAAAAAATCCTGGTGTGCCAGGTTTGGCGAGGCAACAAGGTACTGGGGAAGAATTTTGTCTTTTTCTCCTGCCAGATGTCGTGATCACTATGACTCAGTATATCGTAAAGCTCTATAGCGTAGATTGATTTTTTCCTTTTATTTAAAATTTATGTAACATGACAAATTGTGCAGTGCCAAGACGCAAAGAAAATTACTATCATTTAATCCTAAAATATAAAAACTTAAGAAATGGTGGGCTAAAACAATAAGACGACCAATTATTTATTGTATTACTTTCTGTGTAATTCACATTAAGAATGACTGAGTTTCATACAGTGTTTAATCCCCTATTTTACCCACTTAGAGATTCTTATCAGACGCCTACATCATATAAGGAATACCTCTTCCAAATTTCACGTTTTGACGAGCAGCGGTTTGGGCTGTGTCCATCAGTCAGGCAGGACCACCGCAGTATGCACATCTCCTTCTCAATTCTTAATTTAGCTGGTCTAACTTCCAGGTACAAATACATTGCACAATGCACAGGTAATATGTGAACGCAATAGAAGTAAAAAACCAGGTATAAAAGAGATATCACAATAATTTGCTTAACCTCAGACTAAATGTAAATAGGCCATACGTTTGGCGCCCTCCTTTGGAGAAATCTTCCCCATTACGGATTATTCGACGACTTTACTAAAAACCCGAAAAAATAGTAGTGGCTATAAATGTATGGAATTAATATTTCTATAAGTTTGACTACAATCTACACGCAAGAGAAAAACAGCTTGTTTTTTTAATCTTCTGTGACATTCCACACTAATATAAGATAAAAGCTTCTCTAGAAGCTTTTATCCTAGGACGACGTAACACCGTCCTAGCTTTTATCTCTTCTGTGTTGTGTGTGATGACAAATAAAATAGATGAATTAGTTCTGATGTGGCGTAAAAATTAAAAGCTCGTATTCTTATTTCTTAATAACCTGTGTCCTGTGGTAGCTATGTGTCAAGTGTCAACTGTCAAATTGAAATGTCCATACAAAATTATTTAAATAAAAATAAAATAATTAAAGATCGCTTTTAAATTTACCTACGTTTCAGTGTTTCATATTTATTATTTTGCTTTATGACATCATTTTCAAATTGAGTTAATTTTGGACATAAAACACTGTTAAAATGTTGCGCAATCGATTGGTAAATAAGTACCAATAGTATAACAGCTATTATTATTGTAATATTTTTACTTTCATTTTAATAATTTACAATATTTTACAGGTTTTGAATACTATTCGACAATTGCAAGCATATACCTATTCTAGTGATAGTACTAAGCATGTAGATACGACTTATATGGAGATTCCTCTTTATGATGTAGATAAACCACAGCCACTAGAAAAAAGGAAGGCAAGGTAGTCGTCTCTATAGTATTTTTCTAATTTTACATGGTTTTATGTAGACAATATTAAGAACTGATTTTTTTTCAGACTTCATTACCAGTCTCGTAAAAGGGGCATGTTAGAAAATGATTTACTACTTAGTACTTTTGCTAAGAAATACTTAGATGGATTTACAGAAAACCAAACAATGATGTATGATCGATTAATTAATTCTCCAAGCAATGATTGGGATATTTTTTACTGGATTGTGGAAAAAAAACCGACACCAAAAGAGTTTGATAATGAAGTTATGCATCTTCTCAAAAAGCATGCTAAAAATGAGAATAAAGTTGCTCTGTCACAGCCTCCACTTTATTAGACATCAATAATTTGAAAATAATGTTAGTAAATTAGATATTATGTACTTATGGATTATTAAATTATTGATTTGTAGTCTAATCAAATTAAAATATATTCTATTATTAGTATATACCAAGAGTTGTTGAGTTATTATTTAAAAAAATAACAATATTATTTTTTTAAGTATATATTGCGGTCCATGTAAATGGGTGATAAAAAGTGAGCTAAAAGATAAAAACAACAGTAAAAGTATGCAGTTGGTGACATACTTGTTTCAACCTTGCTGTGAAATGTATGTATGTCTCCAACTGTATACATAATACTTTTTTACTTTGTTAACTTGTTTATATCTTTTTGGTTCCCTTGTTATTCAATTGGTGTATTTTATTATTTTTATATTTTAATTGTGTTATTTACAGCTTTTTAGTTTTAGCCAGTTAGGCTTATATAGTTTTATTTAATAATTTGCTAATCTTAATTATTTTTAAATATATAAGTTGTGTATATTTTTGTGATCGCATTTTAAAAATCTTTGTTTTGATACCCCACTCCATAGATTTAGAATATAAAATTATTTTATGATGTTTTTATAGGGACGCACCATCTAGACTTGTGGGAAACACCTGAATTTATTAGGATCATTTTTCAATAATGTCAACATCAAGAAAAATTGTTGTTTTTTGTTTAATTTGATTACACTAAGTATTTTTAAAGTAAATTTTTTATACATACCATAATTTTCACATAATAAACATTTGACACACTTATTTGTAGTACAACTTTGCGTTTAAGACAGTTTCGCTTTTATTACTTTTTTCAACTACACCATAAAAATGGTTGGACTTAAATAATTTTTTACAATTTTATTCATAACTGGTTGTAATTAATATTTTCTTATTTTTTCACATCTTTATAAATATTCTGTATAAACAAATGAATGTTTTGATCCCACTGTCTTCTGGAATAAACTAGGGAGAAAATAGTTCTGCCCTCTATATTAGTCTAGTCAACAAGTGCCTTTTGGTCAACTTTTTACAGCAGTCTCAGAAAAATATGAACGAGGTGTCATTCGATTCTGAATGGCATGTAGATGATCTTTGAAATAAATCAAGTTCCATTTGCAAAAATTGCAAAAGTTATAGACAACTAAAAATGAAAAAGGGGGTTTAGTTTTTTGCAAATATCTCAAAAAACTAATTGAATTTTTCAAATCTGAAAAACGATTCAAAAAGAGGAGGAAATATCCAAAAAAAAAATATTTAACTCCCGGAACTGTAGGATCAATATTAATAATTTTCCCACAGGGACAAAAAAACTGCCGAAAACGGGTGTTTTGGCTTGCGCAAGCCACGCCTACTTCAGACACTTTTAACATATTAAATTTAAAATTTAAGAAATGAAAAAAATCTGGGGTTACTGGGTAGATAAATGAACATTAATCTGCCGTAAAATTGTTTTATCAGAATTATTCAATTAGTGAAGAATAGTTAATTAATATTTTTTTCTGCTTGAACCTCAGACCAAATAAAGAAGTTTTTTATTTGGTCTGAGGCTTGAACATGAACATTGCAACTTGCAAGTATGTTAATGGAGAAGATTTCTCGAAAGGAGGGCGCCACACGTATGGCCTATTTATATTCTGTCTGTCTGGAAAAAACCAAGAAACGATGTCAACTGTATGTATTACGGGCCAGCAACTTGGTTTCTTACCATAAGTCCTTCAGAATGGATGTGGGATGATTTAGGTGAATACCTCAAGAATGTTAATAGTCCGGAAATGGCGAACAAGAGCGTCAATGAGTTAGTTGCACTAGATCCTGTCTCCACTTCCCGATTTATTGATAACAAGTTTAAAGCTATATTGGATTTAATTACGTCATCCGATTAGCCGGTTGGCAAAGTAATACATTACTTTTGGAGACTTGAATACCAATCACGTGGGGCACAACACTTTCATTTAATTTTATGGGTTAAGGACGCCCCAATACTTCACGAGTCCTCTCTTAATGAGGTTGCCTCATTTATTTCAAAATACATTGCTTGTGCTATACCTAACAAAAATCTTTCACCAATACTTCATCAACGAGTTACGTCGTATCAAACCCATAAACATAACAATTATTGCATACGAAAAAAGAAAACAAGAAGAGGTTTTATGTCAGTTTGTCGATTTGATTTCCCACGCCCGGTCACTGTACTTACCATTAGAGATATCATTCAATCAATGGCTGCAAGAAAAACGTTGTCATCTAACAGTAGACTTTACAATATTGTGCGCAAAAGAGAGTGGGTAATGGTTAATGATTATAATCCTGCAACTTTGCTAGCTTGGAATGGAAATACCGACATCCAATACGTTGGCGAAAAAACCGCTATTTTGAATTATTACGTCACTAAATATACAACTAAAAGCGAGAAAACTTACGTTACTGATATGTTTCAGGACATAAACTCAACAAAACCTTTAAGAAGCCGTTTATTTAACTTTGGTCTTAGAGTTTTATCAAGCAGAGAATGTGGCTCTCTAGAAGCTAGTGATACTTTACTTGGTATTCCTTTGTACGGAACTGATCGTACAACAACAATTCGATGGCTAGATGTGAACATTTATCGAAACCGGCGCGTTAAATCTAAAGCTGAAATGATGATGCTCGAACCGGAGTCCACTGATATTTATTACGAGTCTTGGATTGATGACTACTACCCTAAAAGACCTAAAGAGTTGGAGACTACTAACTTGTACAGTTTCGCTCAAAATTACGACATCGTCAAATCACATCCAGTCTCTACCAAAGTTGAGTGCTATGAGTTAAATGACGGTAAAAAGTTTCTGAAAAAAAGGGATAAGCCATATCTTATTAATCACTATTTTTACGACGTAGAACAAGCACCAGAGAAGTACTTTTTCTCTTTACTTCTTTTGTTCAAGCCATGGCGTTCCTTAAATGAACTAAAAATGGGGTGTGATACTTATGCGGAGGCCTTTAATTTGGCGAAAGAAAATTTAAAAGATGGAGTTGATTATGGTAATTCAAGAATAGAGTTAAGATATAAGATACAAAAGGCATTTGAAATGATAGAAACGAAAGTTGCCGAGATAAACGAAGAGCGAGAAATCACCAATGATGAAGAGGGTCCCGAAAATCCTTTAGACTTTGAAGCTTTAGAGGCTGCAAACGTAATGGACGACTTTCACAGACTCAATCTAGTAGAATATGAGCAGTCTGATGTAGATCTTCAAACTATGATCGCAAAGCTTAATGCCGATCAAAAAAGAGTGTTTGATATGATTACAAATAAAATGATGAGGACGGATAAGGACGCTGACGTTTTGCGTTGTTTCGTGAGTGGAACTGGTGGCACGGGAAAGAGCTTTTTAATAAAGACGCTGAAAATTTGGGTACAAAGGCATTTAAATAAAAAAGTGCCCATTAGTGCTCCGACAGGAATAGCTGCATTAATGTGAATGGATTGACTATACATAGACTATTGCAACTGCCTGTGGAACATAAGCAAACACCTAAGTACAAGTCACTTTCTGATGAAGTCCTGAAAATTCTAAGGTTAGATTATGGTGAAGTAGTGTTATTTATCATAGACGAGGTATCAATGATATCCAATGTTACTCTGACATATATTCATTTACGTTTGTCCGAGATATTTTCGGGGATCTCTTACAGCTTCCGCCTGTAAGAGAAAAACTTTCGACCGGTGAAATTAACAAACTTTTGGGCTCCCTCAGTCTGCCCAATCTATGGGCTAAATTGTTTATATATGATGAAATTACCTTACCATAAACATGAGACAGCTTAATGATTCTGACTTTGTTGAAATGCTTAATAGAATAAGATTAGGTGTAACTACACAAAAAGACCGCGACTTACTCTGGACTAGATTAATAACTCTTAATTCTGATTCGAATGAAAGCAGATTACTTGAAATTACTGAGTACCTCTCCAAACTTCCTGATGATACCGTTTGCATATTACCTATAAAAAACATGTGCCAACAATTAAACAGTGCAATGCTTAAATCTCTCCCAAATACCGAAATAAAACTTAAAGCTGTAGATACCATAAATTGCCCCAGATACCTATCAAAAAGAGCCCGTGAATGCATAAAAAAGTATGAAGACGATGCTTCCATGACAGTAGGTCTGGAAGAGAATATAATTATAAAAATAGGAGCAAAAGTCATGCTAAGACGAAATATTGATGTAAGTCTTGGCTTAGTTAACGGTTCCATAGGTTACGCACGACGTGTGGGACTCACCGGCGTAATACAGCCAGTACTACCCACTAAAACCCAACAAAACCTTCCTCCGTCTTAATGGGGCGTCGCAGGATCGCTTACGCATTCAACTACGACGCCCCGACGGCAGGTCTGCCAAAGCAGACCACCACAACCATGGGGTTGCTCCAAGGTCCACTTTGCTATCAGAGAAGTACCAGGAGCAACCCGCAAGGTACACCGCCCCCCGAAGAGGGCCACCTCCCACCGCCCACCGAAGTGGGCAATCTCCCAGTGCGTTTCTTAGATTGCGCCCGGTTGGGTTGCCGGGCACTACTGAGCCCCCCCACCACGACAAGGTGAACGCACGTTGGGGGGGATGTTTACGAGCTTGGTCCAATTAAAAATAAATTTGAAATTATAAATAGAGCTTATGTTCATCGCGAACAGTTTCCAATATGTATAGCCTATGCTATTACTATACACAAAAGCCAGGGGTTAAGTCTAAAAAACGCACTGGTGGACATCGGTTTTTCAGTATTCACATGCGGTCAAGCGTACGTGGCACTTTCGAGAGTGACAAGTCTGAGCGGTTTACATCTAATTAATATCCATTTTAGTAGTATTAAAGCTCAAGAATCCGCTATTTCCGAATAAAACAGACTAAGAAGCATATACCGTCCAGATTTGTCGAAACTTGTTGCATCAAAGCCTCTGAAAAAATCCCACAGAGATAGAGAGTGGGCTTTAAGAAAGTCCGTAGCTGAAGTGCAAGAAATAGTACATGAAAAGAAAAAAGAAGAAATATTTACAAAAAGAAATGAGATCCCATCAAAAACATAACTGTAAAAAAATTGCAAGTCTCGCAACGCATTTCTTCTACCGCAAAAAGCTATAAGATATAATGTAAAACCAAGTCGGTTAATTTATTCATTACCTATCTATGGAAGCATCTATCCGACAACTTTGTCATAAATCGTTACCGAATTAGTTAAGTTACAAAATTTTATAGTGACCGTACTAATATTAGATATATTTATTTCTTTAATTAATAGAATGACTTGGCCATCGCACATGATAATAAAACCTACTGTTAGTTATAGTTGCTCATTTGACTATTATGGTTTATTATTTAAGGATCATATTGATTCTTCATATTCTGTTAGTTATAATTTTATATTTTATTATATTAATTTGATTGATTCATTATTTATAATATATTATTTACAATTTTATAATATTAATAACGATATCGGTTAGTTGTATTTATAATATTAATGTTTTAAGAGTATTGTCATCCACCGTTGGGAAATGTAATACGTAGAAGACAGATGCCGCCACGTTACACCCAACGGTGGGGAAATAATGTATAAATAGTTGTAATTGCCATTTTGTAAGGATTCTGATAAGTGATCGAAGTAAAGAGGTATTGCTGAATTTCTGTAGTCTTATTTAAAATTAATTACTAACAGTCAGAAGTGTTCCGAATTTAACTTTGTTATTACCACGTGCCAGTATAGACCGTCAGCATATCCTATCAAGAATTATATCTAGCGACTCCGAGGACGAAATAAGGGCTTCGCCACCACCAAAAAGGCAAACTAAAACTCGAAACGCACGACGCTGTTCAATCAAACAACGGCTAAGCCTATTGGAGCAAATATTGGAAAAATAATTAATCAACGCAACTTAACAGCGCCTCCGTGTGAAAATCCTACAGAATTAGTAAATAGTGCTCCGCCGCAAGAAGAATAAATAATTATTAGGACGTCACAATTACAGCAGGTAACCAAATTGTTGATATTTTTGTACCACTTAAACCCCAGCAAACTACCCTCAATAATTCATGTACATTGCCTTCAATCTCAAATCCGATACAAACTTGTGATTAACATCCATGTACATTATCATCATTTGTATAACATTATTATAATCCGATCAGAATTACTGAACAAATACCCTCAGGAGCAATAAACGAAGTCAATGAATTAAATAAGCCCCTAACCCCATCTACTGTACCACACTAAACTGCCTCGGTGGTGTAGTGGCTAGTGCAAAACCAACGAATCTTTATGATTTAAGACATTTCATAGGCTTGCCTAGTTATTTTCGAAAATTTAGTATATATTTTGCTAATAGGATACACCCTTTAAATGTTGCTAAAATCTAATAAACTATGCCACTGGGGGGATGAGCAATAAAAATCATTTGATGACATCTAAACTGTTTTAGTATATGAGCCATTCCTTGCAATATTCAATCCTGAATTTGAGACCGAATTACATATAGACGTGTCAAGTCATGGCGTTGGCGATATATTGTTTCAAAAACAATTAAACAGGGAATTAAAACCCATTGCTTATTTTCGTAATCAAAATACGGTTGTAGAACAAAAATATCATTCGTATGAGCATGGAAGCAATAGCCGTTGTTTTAAGTACCTATAAGAAAATTTCGTGTTTATCTGTTAATATCAACTTCCATAGGGAAGATAGCTGGATACTACCATCTTGGAATTTTGTAATAAACATTATAAAATTTAACAACAAAAACAAATATAACAGACCAGTTGATGTAGTTTATACTGTGTGGGATATCCAAATAAAAACAGTAATTATGATTAGTATTTTCGTTTATAAAGGTAGCAATATAGTGTTGCTTAAAATTTTAACTTTAAATGATAGCAATCTAAATTGATGAATTTATTTATTATTAAGCACGCTTTTATTACATGTTAAACAATTCATTACAATAATTAAAGTGAAAAAAAAAATCTGACATGCATATCAATTACGTTAATTAAGTGCACATAGCATTTATAATGTATGTATGTATGTATTCAGCCCTTTTTAACGTCCCACTGCTGGGCACGGGCCTCCCTTCAATACGAGGGGGATCAGGCCATAGTCCACCACGCTGGCCAAGTGCGGGTTGGCGGACTTCACATGTCTTTTGAAAACTTGCTAGGTTCTCTCAGACATGCAGGTTTCCTCACGATGTTTTTACTTCACCGTTAAGACAAGTGGTAATCATGCTGGAAATGATTCGCACATGAACATATCAGAGGTGCGAGACCCGGGATTTGAACTCGGTTCACTCGGTTTCCCAAGCGAGCGTGTTACCACTGGGCTACCACTGCCTTTGCATTTATAATATTATGGAATAATTATGGTAATTGAAAAAAAAAAAACAAAATTAACAAAAATTATAAACAACATAATTTAAAATATAAAGTAAATATAAAAATAATAATAATTTGATTATACTTAATAGTTTTATAAAAATTATTATATCTATATTTTTAAATCGCAGTTTGGATAAATAATATTCTAATAGAATATAATATTCTTGAATTGTCAATTTGATGTCGTTGTCAAAAATTTTCTCTCTAATATTTTATTACAAATTGTAATTTATTGACATTATTTCTTTACGAAATTGACATCAAATTGGCTTTTACAATGCATGTATTTCGTGATAATATTTGCAGATTAAATTAATTCCTTCGTATGTTTTAGATGGCGTCGGCGAGGTGCCGGGCGCTTGGCAGCCGGGAGCCTCCGGAGCTATCCAGGACGCCTCGCCTCGGTTTATGGACAATATATTCGTTCTAAGTGTAGTGTAATAATATGTCATGTAATACGAATAGTGTTTCGTCCCAGCCGGTATTAAGTACTAGAGTGCCCGCAATGCGAAAATGGAAGGCTGTTTATAGTAGGGGAGCCCAAGAGGGGATTTTCTGTAGTTGCTCGAGCGCGCCAGATTAACATAAAAGAGGTTACCTTGCACTCTATTGAGTACTTTCACCATAATATAAGTCTTCTATATAAAGGGGCGCGTCTAGGGAAACCGATTAAAATATTTAAAAAATGTTTTGATAAGGTAGAAATACTTGAAACCGTCAGATTAAGGTGTGGTAGGCTAGTCACATCCTGAAAAGTGTCCAATTCAATAATCTGCCGATTTGCACAAGCCGAAGAGGCAAAAATCGACTATAAAGTTTATGATGATTTTTGCCTCTTAGGCTTGTGCAAATTTGCAGATTATTAAATTGGACACTTTTCAGGATGTGACTAGCCTACCACACCTTAATCTGACGGTTTCAAGTATTTCTACCTTATCAAAACATTTTTTAAATATTTTAATCGGCTTCCCTAGACGCGCCCCTTTATATAGAAGACTTATATTGTGGTGAAAGTACTCAATAGAGTGCAAGGTAACCTCTTTTATGTTAATCTGCCGCGCTCGAGTAACTACAGAAAATCCCCTCCTTGGGCTCCCCTACTATTAAGGGTCAAAAAGGGTTAAAAATTCACATTTCACGGTCTTCCTTCTTCAGTGCAGACAGTCCCCATAAATTCTCCGGTTTTATAGAGAGTAGTTTTATCGCAGTGGAGTTGTCTTTAATAAAATCCCTTTTAAATAAGCATAGTTTTATTTATTTCAATTTACAATTTATTAACACAACCTGACACATTTATTTTTTACCGACATCTATCAAAATTATATTCTTATATTTAAATTTTATTGCGAGGCAGTATTCTCTATGACAATATATATCTATCAAAACGGGAGAAAACCTGCTAGCAGCACCACTATCTGATCTCTTTAACAAAATATTAAATGAAAGAAAAATACCCAAAGAGTGGGCTGAATCCGATATTATCTTACTATATAAAAAAGGTGATCCTTCGAATATAAGTAACTATAGACCTATAAGCTTACAACCGAATCTGTACAAACTTTTTGCATCACTTCTTGAAGAACGTCTCGCCAAGTATACGGAACGACAACAGCCTGTAGAACAAGCAGGCTTCAGAAAGAACTTCTCTACCATAGACCACATACATACACTAGATCTAATAATAGAAAAATACGAAGAACAAAGGTGCCCCTTATACCTGGCTTTCATAGACTATGCTAAAGCGTTTGATTCAATATCCCACAACAGCATGTGGCAAGCTCTATATGAATGTGACATACCTTTGGAAACAATAGAACTCATAAATGATATATACAGTAAAAGTATAAGTAGAGTCAAATTGGACGTTCGAGGCTCAAAAATTAAAATATGTAGAGGCGTAAGGCAGGGAGACCCTATGTCTCCGAGAATCTTTATAACAGTCCTTCAAAACATAATGAAAAAACTAATCTGGAAAGAAAAAGGTATTAACATAAATGGTGAGTTCCTAAGTAACCTTAGATTCGCGGATGACATAATACTTTTCTCAGAAACTGCATCACAACTTCAAGAAATGATTAATGAATTATATACTGTTAGTCACGAGATTGGCCTGGAACTGAACATAACAAAAACAAAAGTAATTACGAACTCCTCAAAAATAAATATTATAGTCAATAATATACCATTGGAATATGTACAAGAGTATGTGTATCTTGGCAAGCAAATTTCATTCAAAAAAACTAGACACCGCGAAGAGCTTAAGAGAAGAATAAATTTAGCCTGGAACAAATTTTGGAGCAACAAAGAAATACTAAAATCAAACCTTAATGTAAAACTCAAGAAAAAAATCTTAGACTCATGTATCTTACCCTGTCTCTCTTATGCATCACAAACCTGGATATTTAACAACTATACTAAAAACAAAGTTCAAACCTGCCAAAGATCTATGGAAAGAAGTATCTTAAATCTTAAAAGAAAAGACAAGAAAAGAAGTGTATATTTAAGAAAAACCACAAATGTAATAGACGCCTTAAAGCACTGTAAAAAACTTAAATGGCAATGGGCTGGACATGTTGCACGTATGGCTGATGACAGATGGACTAAAAAGGTAACCATATGGGCTGGCCCTAGCGGCAAAAGAAGAAGAGGAAGACCTATGGAGAGATGGATAGACGAGGTACTAAAAACAGCAGGGACAGACTGGTTAGACGCAGCAAAAGAAAGAACTACCTGGAGACAAATGGAGGAGGCCTTTACTCGAAGAGAGGTCCTTAATTTAAAATAAAAAATTAAAAAAAAAATACCTAGTTTCAAATAATTTATAATATATAGCTATGATAAAAAAAAAAATAAGTGAAGAAAATATGTAAAATTTTATTTAACTTATATAATTACAATCTGCTAAGTGTAACTTATTTATATTATAAGTTAATTAATTTCTTAATTATTATTTTTTCATAGTTTAAATTAATTATAATGTTGCATAAAAATAATAACTAATCAAACAAAATAATTGTTAAACAATGTTTTTTTTTTATATTTTATAATAATGCATATAAAAATAATGATAATGATTAATATATAAAACTAAATTTAATATAGATTATGTAATAAATTTGCTAGATATAATTTCTTTAGATTATAACTTAATGTATCTCATTATAATTATGTAGTTATTCATTGAATTAATATGTAACATATAAATATTCAACTATCTAATCAAATCAAAACCTAATAATGTTAAACCAATTGTCAATTTTAATTAAGGAAATAAAAAGGCTTATTATTATTATTATTATTATTCTCTATGACACTTCCCCTCACGAAGATCTTGTGGTGTCACCTCAGGTCTGAGTGACCCTTATCATCTTCAGCAGTTTTATTAACCTTGGCTGGGTTAAGGCCTTTGTTAAAAGATCTGCCTCCATATTGTCTGTGTCCTTATAATGAATTGTTATTAGTTTCTTTTGGACACAGTCTCATATAAAGTGTTCCCTTATGCTTATATGCTTTGATCTTTTTCCAGTCATTAATTTGTTGGCTAACTTCTGTGCAGCTAAATTATCGTTGTAGATTGGTACAGCTTGTGTAGTCACTCCAATATCTTCCAAAAGCTGTTTTAAGTGTAGTGCTTCCTTTGCGGCTTCAGTCATTGCCATATATTCTGCCTCAGCAGTTGACAAAGCTACAACTCGTTGCTTCTTTGTAGCATAACTTATTAGACCACCTCCATACTTGAAGATGTAACCCGTATATGAACGACGGTCAAAGGTACGTGCTGCCCAATCAGCATCAGCCATTCCTACTAATGCACTTCCTGTTTTACTATATCTGATGCTAACATTCTTCGTGCCTTTTAAATAACGCAAAACCCTTTTTGCTGCTTGCCAATGCGTTTTTCCAAAACAAGTATTATATTGGCTCAAATAACTTACTGTAAACATAATATCTGGTCTCGTAGCTATAGCCAGATACATCAGAGAACCAATCAATGCCTGGTATGGTATGTTCTCCATTTCTTCTTCTTTTTGTGCTCTTTCCAATTTTAAACCTGTTTCCATCGGCTTTGAAACCGTTTTACATTCGCCCATGTTAAATTTTGCTATTAAGTTTTCAATATAACTTGTCTGTGACAACCTCATTTCTCCCCCTACATGGGTGAATTGTATGCCAAGGCAATGATGTAGCGAACCCATATCTCTTAATTGAAAAGCTTTTTTTAATTTCATTTTGACCTCTTTTAACAAATTTTCTGATTTATATGCCAGTATTAAATCGTCCACATAAATGTTTGCTAATAGCTTTTCACCTTCTTTTTCTAAAATATATAAGCAAGGATCTGCTGTAGAGTTCTTAAATCCGATTTCCATCAATTTATTATGTAACTTCAAGAACCATTGTCGTCCTGCTTGTTTCAACCCATAAATAGCTTTGTTTAATTTACATATCCCATTATTTTTATATCTATTTATATCTAATAGCATTTCTTTTGTTTTTCTTATTAATTCTTTATCTTTTCCATTTGTTATTATCATTTTTAAGTATTTATCAAAAAATTTCGGCATCTTCATATAAATTTTGTTCGTCTATATCGCCGTTTAAAAATGCAGTACACACATCTAGTTGTGATAACTTCATGTCATTTTCAATCGCATGTGCAATGAGTAGCCTAATAGTACTCATTTTTGCAACAGGTGCAAATGTTTCTGTGTAATCAATACTTTCTTTCTGATTAAATTCACGCGCTACAAGTCGTGCCTTTCGTCTATCTATTTCTCCTAGTGCATTATATTTATATTTCAAAATCATTTTATTATCTAGTTATGGTTACACCTCGTCCATCCGCTCTTGATCAAGATTTACTTAGAATAAGAGAGACGCAAACTCAGCGTCTGGTCGGCCCACCTGGTATCCGCCGGCCGAGTATGTATTTAGACAATAAAGGAGCCTCAAATCGGATACATGTGTCTCATTTAGTTTTTTTTTATTAATTTAATTTAAGTCAGTATAAATAGTTTTCGAAACGCTCCGAAACCAAAAGTAGGTAGTACATGGACAAAAAAGATATGTTGCCAAAGATGGGGCGATGGTGGCTAGAATTACAAAGTTTTGATTTCAAAGTACATTATCGGCCGGGTGTATTAATGCAGCACGTGGATGCATTAAGTCGTAATGCCCTAACTATGCAACATATTAGTGAGGAAAATTGGATAGTAACTGTTCAGAAGGATGATTTAAACATACAAAACATAATAGTAAATTAAAAAAAAATACTAGAATACAAAGAGATTTATATATTAAAAGACTATAATCTACATAGAAAGATAGCAGATCAGTATTAAATTATTATACCAAAATTTGTACGTTGGAGAAGTACTAAAATATTTTAGGACGACAATGGCCACATGAGCGAAAAAGTTATTGAGTTAGTGCAACGC